CATTCTATAGATATAGTGAGCAGATCTAAATTGTTGGTTAATAATAATAATAATAATAATAATAATAAACTAAAAAATGGAAAAGTTTGTTTGGGGATTGGATTGGATTTATATTATTCATCTAATTTTTTTTAAAAAAACATCAAATCAAATACATATTTTTTATTTTTTATATTATATTAAAAATTCAATTTTACATTCAAAACATCACATCAACATTTATTTATATCATATCATAAAACTATTCAAATTCAAAATTTTTACTATTTAAATCCCAACTCAAAATTCAAACTCCCAAACAAACACACCGGTAGTGAATAATGATAGTGAGTGGAAAAGGTTGGGAGAATCTTTGACCACCGTCGCATATACTCAGAAAGAAAGCTGTCAATAAATGTCAGTATATACCTAAAAATCAGGGGCAGGCCACGGGGCGGGGGCACCCAAGTCCAAATAATTAAACTGAGAATACGTGTGGGTCCCACCTAAAAAAAACACGCTTTAAATATAATTGAATATTAAATATTTTTTTTTAAAAAAAATTAGTTCCTCTATTTCGTAACAAATATTTATTTTCTATTTTAGTTCGTCCAATAACAAAACAAAGTATCTATTTTTTTTAGTAACTGTACTATCTACCTAACATTACAAATACTTTTACAACTTATAATATATTACATAAATGTCATTACTTTTATATCACACGTACTAATAAAGTTATTTTAGTTATTTCTACTTTATTCCTATTATATCCAATATAATACTAATATTTCTAAAACTACGTACAAAAAGCAAATGGATACTTAATTCCGGAACAAAAGGAGTATATTGAAATGAAATTTAAATTTTAAAATATTAGTATTATATTAAATTATAATAAAAAGACAAAAATATCTAATATAAAAATAATTACGTTTGTGAAGTTAAAATGATATTTATTATATTAGATATGAAATACAGTTACTAAATTATAAAATGATAACCTTATTTTGTTGAGATAAACGAAAATAAAAAAGGACCTTTCAATTGGACAGATCGAGTATTAAAATTTAATTTAATTTTTAAAATATCAGATCAATTATATTTTTATCATATCAAATAATTATTTTAATTTTAAAAAAAATACGATTCAAATCTTAAATTTAAATCTCAAAATCCCAAATATTTATGTGATAAGTATAATAAGTATATAATTTTATTTACTGTTATTTATATATTACTATTCAAAATGGATTTATAAGATTATAATTAATATCAATATATAATATTATTATATTGCACACATCAACCTTAAATAAGTATAATAATAATTTGCATATACATTGAATTGTAATTAGATTTTTGGAATGGACAGTATTCTCCATTTTACTTTTTTCCCCTTCAAATAAATTATAGGAACCTCGTAAATTAATAAGGAATTATGGGGTATTTTTTATTGATAATTTTTTTATTTTTCGGTTTATTTATTTATTTAGATCAAATATTCGGATCAGTGTTACAAAATTGTAAATATTGAATAATAGAAATAATACCCCATACTTACTATAATACATTTGCAACATATATATTATGCAATACAAAATAGGTAATGTTTACGGCACAATTTTATTTATATATGGTTTGAATGAGAATGAAATTCGATGAGTAAATAATACACTATAAATAATTTATAAATTATAGTCAACCGACTATCTCATTATATCCTATTAGTAACACATCAATGTGTATTTTGTTTGTGTGAGTTTTTAAATAATTCTCAATAATTTATTTTTTTATATTTTCAATAAAATAAAATTTATTTAAAAATTTAGTATTATAGAATCAAAACCTTTTATCGCCAACCTTTTTATTTATTTACTTTTTAAATAAAATATTTCTTTAATATAATATTCTAAAAAAAATAATAATAATATGATTAAAAAAAAATCATAAGTATTATTAACATAACAATATTCAATTCAATGAACTTGAACTAAACTAAAAATTGCATATAAGAAATTAAAACAAACATATTAGTCACTACTAATTAACATATTCATTGAATTTGATCTAATTTTAGAATTACATTTACTAATATGTCTAATATTTTATTTTAAATATTAGTAGCATTTATTAAAAATAGTTAATATATAACTTATGTATTGTTATACAAAAATGAAGCAACTCAACTAATAGCATCTATTAAATACACATGCAATGTTTTCCCTAACAATAATTGACATAATTTGATTTTGATATTTAAATCGACAATAATGATTAAATTTCCTATCAGCTTTGCAACAACTTGAGCAGCTTTTCGTTGTTTGGTTACCTTTCGCAGCTTTCGCTCAACTTTTTCGATCTCAAGATTAAATATCAGTTCACCTGTACGATAAAAACGGGGCATAAACATAATGATAAATAAAAATAACACAAAAGAGTAAAACAAAGCGTCAATCCCGGCAACGGCGCCAAAAATTGACCTGTCGTGCGGTCAATCAAATATTTCACCTATTATGTGATCATAATTTAATGTAATAAGGGGAATGGATCGTCTCCACAAGGATTGTGTGATTCACTCTTTCGTGTTCTCTTTTATTATCTAATGAAAATAAAACAAAAGCAATTAAATTAAGGGAGAACTAGCTATTAAGGGGATGCAGTTATAACACTAGTGTTTTATCGTTGATTCAATAAAGTTAGTTTTTATTAAAGTATCAATAAATTAATTATAGTTATCAATAAGCTCTGACAACCAATTTTTCTTTACGGTGTAAGTAATTAAGGTACAACCGTTAACTACCCATAATTAAGCAAATAAACGTAAGTGCGCCCATAAGAAATATTGTCTAATCGCATTCTAATCTAAAAAAACCTAATTCAAAACAATTACTACCTAAGATGAGCAATTAGATTTGATTGTCTAACCCCCGGGAAGGAACTATTCAAACCGGTTGTCACCTATTAAAGTGCGAATACAATTATAGATATCCTACTTGAATTGACTTTAGATTATCAGACTAATTCAAATATCGGTACCAAAATATGCAATCAATCTAACAATCACAAACGTTATTCTCAAAATTAGACAAATATTGATAAATAAAAAGAACTTTTATAAATAAAATTAAGAATCTCTAAAACAAAAGAACCAAAACATTATCACTCCTCAAACCAAAAAAATATCTACTCCATAATCAAAGAACAAAAAACAAAAGAGAAAGATAAAGTCATAGTGGGAGGGGAAATCTTCTTTGTCGATTTGCTCCTGCGCAATCTATGAGTCTGCGTATCTGCTCTGGCCGTCCCCCTCCTCACGTGCGTATCTGTTTTGGTTGTTCTCCTTTTCATGTGCGTATCTGCTCTGGTAGTTCTCTCCTCTTCTATGTGTGATCCTTCATTTTTATTTAATTTTTGCCCTAATTATTTTGTAGCTGTGCTTTTAATTAAATTTCCAGGAGGGTATTGTTAGTAATAGCCATGACTAACTTGATTGTCCAATGCTAATTTTTTTTTCTTTTATTTTTCTTCAAATTCACCAAAATTGTCTTTTATTTCCTGTATGTCGGAAATAAACAATACGCACCGAAATTAAGCAGAATTTAATCAGAATCAATCAAATAACGCATATGATATGAAAATAAAACGCATGCGATTTCTAGCTATCAATTATAAGATTATAATTAATATCAATATAGTATTATTATATTGCACACATCAACTTTAAATACAATAATACTACATATACTCTGAATTGTAATTAGATTATTACAATAGACAACATTCTTCACTTTACTTTTTTCTCTTCAAATAAATTATAGGAACCTCGTAAATTAATAAGGAATTAGGAAGTATTTTTTTATTGGTAATTTTTCTATATTTAGATTTTATTTATTTATTTTGATCAAATATTTGGATCAGTGTTACAAAATTGTAAATATTGAATAATAGAAATAACACCCCATACTTACTATAATACATTTGTAACATATATATTATGTAACACAAAATAGGTAACTATTTCCAGCACAATTTTATTTATATATGGTTTGTCTTCAATGATTATTTAAATGAGAATGAAATTCGAGGAGTAAACAATTATATAGAGTACTTTATAATATATTATAAATAATTTATAAATTACAGTCAACCAACTATCTCATCATACCCTGTTAGTAACACAAGATATATTTTGTTTGTGTGTGAGTTCTTAAATAATTGTTAATATATATATATATATATATTTTTTCAATAAAATAAAATTTATTTAAAATGTTAGTATTCTAGAATCAAAACATTTTATCCCCTGCCTTTTTATTTATTTACTTTTTAAATAAAATGTTTTTTCAATATAATATTCTAAAAAAAAATAATTTGATAAAAAAAATAAAATCATAACTAACAAACCCTAATCATTATTAGCATAAAATATTCAATTATTGAACTTGGCCTAAATTAAAAATTGCATATAAGAGATTAAAACAAATATATTAGTCACTACTAATTAACATATTGATTGAATTTGACCTAATTTTAGAATTACATTTACTAATATGTCTAATATTTTATTCTAAATATTAGTAGCATTTATTAAAAATGGTTAATATCTAACTTATGCACTATTATACAAAAATGAAACAACTCAACTAATAGTATCAATTAAATACACATATAATGGTTTTTCTAACAATAATTGAAAAAATTTGATTTTAATATTTAAATTGATAATAATAATTAAATATTATATAGAAATTTATTCAATATAATATATTATTTTAAAACAATAATATATATTTTAAAAAAATAATAACATAGATAAAAATTAGGAAGAAACGTGTGAAATGCGTTTATTAATTTTAAACTTTTAGTCTATTAATTTTAATATAAAATATTATATTCATAATTATTTTTATAATATATATATATATATTATTTTTTTAATTGCAGAGGTAAGAAATGAGTTTGCGACAGCTGATGTTTAATTAATGAGAGATCGATAGATGGAGATGGAGTGGGTCCAATAAATTTGAAGAAACCAACAATGGCGATATATAAACTCACTCACTCTGCTATTCATTGGATCAGTAGTACAAGTGTTCGTGTCGCCTCAATTCTCTCCTTGTCGTCGATGCCATTGCTGCATTCGCATATCCAATCCCTTCGTAAGCCATTAATTTAACTAAAGGAGGAAGGATCCATTGTTGGTGGGGACGCGACAAATCAGGCGAAGAAAGCGTGTAGACGAACAAGGAAGAAGGATAAGAGGGAGGGACTTTTCTCTTCCTACCAGATTCTTATAATTATTCTCCGGCGGGGTTTTGCCTGCCGGAAAACAAGCAAGCAACCAAACCGATTCGCTCCTCGATAAGGCTCTCTCTCTCTCTCTCTCTCTCTCTCTCTCTCTCTCTATATATATATATATATATCGCCCGCCATTGTTATTTCTGGCAAGGTTATTGAAGTAGGTTCAGGTTCGTTCGGAATCGAATCCGCATTCGGTGTTTTATTTATCCAAATATACTGTCAACAAGGCCGTGTTTTGTTTTGTTTTGTTTTCATCTCTGTTTGTGTGTGTCTGTGTGCAATTGCAGGAACGGAACCACAATGGAGCAACTACGGACTCCATTCAAGGGAGTCGTGAATGATTTTAAAGGAAGGCTGGCATGCTACAAGAAGGATTGGATGGACACTTGTGGCACCGGGGCAAGGTGTGTTCTCTCTCCATCGTCGCCATGTTTGGTTGGGATTCAACTTTCAATTAAGTTTCTCGATTTGATTGGATTTGATTTTTGTTGAATGAATGTTCTTCTCCTTCCCAGGATTCTGGCGCCAACTGCTTACATTTTCTTCGCCTCTGCCCTCCCTGTGATTGCCTTTGGGGAGCAATTGAGCCGAGAAACAGGTCGATTCATTAATTTCTAAATATCTCATCATATGGCTGTTGATGACGATGATGATGATGATCCTTTTGTTTTATCAACACATGTTTTTGTTTATGCAACAAACAGATGGAACGCTAAGCACTGTCGAAACTCTTGCTTCGACGGCCATCTGCGGCATCATCCAGGCCATTTTTGGTGGACAGCCTTTATTGATACTGGGGGTTGCCGAGCCTACCATTATAATGTACAACTACTTATATAGTTTTGCGAAAAACAGCATCGGGACGCACCTATATTTGGCTTGGGCCGGGTGGTAAGTGAGGCGAATCGACAGAATTCATTAGGAGTTGGGATGTTGAATTTGAAGTATATATTCTTAGTTCTTACAGTGTTTGACAATCGAACAGGGTCTGCGTCTGGACTGCATTGCTGTTGTTTCTTCTTGCAGCATTCAATGCTGCCATGATCATTAGTCGATTCACAAGAGTTTCTGGAGAGCTTTTCGGCATGCTGATCACAGTTCTTTTTCTTCAAGAGGCAATCAGGGTATACCATTTCTTCATTTCAGTTGAGAAAACTTCGACCTTGTAACAATGGTGTTTGCTATAATTATTGAACCTCAAATTGCAGGGTGTGATTAGTGAATTTGATCTTCCACATGGAGCAGTTCTGATTGCGGAGGGAAACCAATTTCAGTGGCTCTACGTTAATGGCCTGCTTGCTGTTATATTCTCCATAGGCCTGCTTATCACTTCCCTCAAGATACAGCAGGCCAGGTCGTGGCGATATGGATCAGGTATCCGACATTTGTTTGGCAGATTTCGTGAATTCGAAGTTTAGTTAATATCAATATCCTAATCTTCGGTGGATTTGCGCAGGCTGGATGAGGAGTTTCCTTGCAGACTATGGAGTACCCTTGCTGGTTGTGGTGTGGACAGCATTGTCCTATTCAATGCCACGCGGGGTTCCTTCAGGTGTTCCACGACGGCTCGTCTGTCCCCTTCCCTGGGAAGAAGAGTCACTCTATCACTGGACAGTGATTAAGGTATCTAATCAACAAAACACCATTCTCCAATGGCGAAAAGATGGAAATGTGTTTCACATTTAATTGTATTGTGATGATGCAGGACATGGGGAATGTTCCAGCAGGTTACGTTTTCGCTGCTATCATTCCGGCGATGATGATCGCCGGGCTTTACTTTTTCGATCACAGTGTAGCTGCTCAGATGGCACAGCAGAAGGAATTCAATCTGCAGAATCCACCTGCTTACCATTACGATCTCTTGGTGCTCGGATTCACGGTGCGTGCGCCATTCCTCGCCTCTTGAACATGAATTTCTGTGTGCCATAAGTACTTACAACCTTGATATTCTTTCAGACTTTGATTTGTGGATTACTCGGACTTCCTCCATCCAACGGTGTCCTTCCGCAGTCGCCAATGCACACGAGGAGCCTTGCAGTCCTCAAGAGGCAGGTGGGAGCTGCAAACTGGTTTGCGATGTTCGTTGTTAGAGCCACGAAGCAAATTCAGAAGATTTTACGATTTTGTTGATATGTTTGCGCAGATGATTCGGAGGAAAATGGTGAAGAGAGCTAGGGAGGGCATGGAGGAGCACGCGAGCCACTCAGAGATATTCGGTCGAATGCAGGAAGTGTTTCTTGAGATGGATCATTCTCCTGATGTAAGCGATTTCTTCTGTCCACTCTCCTCCGTTTATATACCAATTTCAGCGACAGTAACAACAATCGATCACTCAAATGCAGCACGGTGTCGACAAAGAATTGGCTAACTTAAAGGAAGCTGTCCTGCAACACGACAGTGAAGATTCAGACGGCAAATTCGACCCTGAAAAGTGCATCGATCTCTACTTGCCTGTTCGCGTGAACGAGCAGAGAGTTAGCAACCTGCTGCAATCGTTGCTGGTGGGGATCGCCGTGTGTGCCATGCCCGTAATCAAGATGATCCCAACCTCGCTTCTGTGGGGATACTTTGCTTACATGGCTATCGACAGTCTCCCCGGGAATCAATTCTGGGAGAGGATTCTGCTCCTCTTTGTTCCTCGCGGGCGTCGTTTCAAGTGAGCTTTCGTTTTCTTTTCGCAAATGTCGACAGAGGATGATCATTTCAAGGCTCGTGATATATACGATTGATCGTTTGGCAGGGTTATCGAAGAGTTCCACGCCTCGTACGTGCAGTCGGTGCCATTCAAATACATCCTTAAGTTTACGCTCTTCCAAATCGTGTATTTCTTGATATGCTTCGGCATTACGTGGATACCTGTTGCCGGGATTTTGTTTCCGTTGCCGTTCTTTTTGCTGATCAGCATAAGAGAGCATGTACTTCCCAAGTTCTTCCCACCTCAGGTTCTTCAAGAATTGGATGCAGCTGAGTACGAAGAAGTTATCGGATATTCATTCCGGAGCAGAAGTTTATCGGTCGGGGTAGTCACCGTATTCGATTTCATGTTTATTAAGTATTGTTTCGAAACATTGTTTTACATCTCTTCCTTTTCGTCGATAAAAAAACAGGATCGACAATTACCAGATGCTGATTCTGATGAAGGTCCTCCGGACGTTTCCTCTGCCGAAATATTGGATGAGATGACGACGCGCCGAGGCGAATTGAAGCATAGGTCTGTCAGCTTCAACGAGAGGCATAATCTACAGGTCAGCAACCTTAACAATGTTGTGGTAAAATGACAATGTCGGCAATTTTAATCATTTTTTGTCGCACCGTTCTTCTCCAGAGCATCCCGGAAGGTTCTTCTGGGTCGTAACGAGTTAAAGCGAAGAGAAGCCATCCCCATCGTCGCCATGTAAAGACTTATACTCTATTGTCTTGTCCATCTTGATGACTATAGCTTGAGGAAAAAACATATACTTCTTCACTAACATTAAAGGGAGAAAGAAGACGACGACAACGACGTCGAATGCCGAAAAAACGTGTGTAGGCTATTATTCATTACAAGGCTCGATGTAGAAATTTGTTGAGGGTTGTTTGCTACCAATTTGGTTGAGCCCTTTATTGTTTGTTACATTCTTTTTCAATTTGGACAAGTAAAGATGATGGGGATTGCATGCAAAGAGAAGAAAGTTTTCATGAAAAATTTAAGGCAGATGAATGATGATGATGATGATGATGATTATAAATGTTAGGTATTTATTGTTGTATTATTTGCCTCATCTTTGTAATTGTATTACACTCCAAATTTTTACATCAGATGGGGCCAGTTAGGACATTGTTTTTGCATAGATGATATTAGCCTTTGCAAGAACCAGAACAGTATACAAATTTAATTTAGATCTCTCTGAACCCTGTATGTAGCATTTAGATCTTGGAGGGTTCAAATGGCATAAAATTTCATCATATCAAAATTTAATTTGAATTGAGTTGTAACTTTTTAATGAAAAGATGTATGTTGTAGATTTAAAAATCACATCTTTACTTGAAAAAACACTACGATTCTTGTCTTAGTAGAAAATAAATTTTGATACAAAATTTTCAAATTTCTAAAAATTATTTGTTTTTATCCTGATACTGAAATTTGTGAAATTCAAAGCATTAATAGGATGGAATATCATATAAGAAAAGCAATCTTACCGACTCAAAGTATATCAAAGATTATTTGTTCCCTTGGTGAAATTCTATACTGTCCATATTTTCCTACAATCTCATACAGTTTTCTAACATTCTTATACGGTAGTTGTTCCTATGCATACAACTCTTAAAAAAAAAAAGAAAAAAGAATTGTGTGATAAATATTAGTATGAAATAAGCTGGTGATTCTGAAAGAGACCTTATGAGTACAGATACGTATACATACATAAAGGTCATTCTCATTGCCAGAGTAATTGATCTGATCTGATCTGTTCACAAGAATAACACACTATAACCTGTATGTCTTTCTTGCCTATATCTATCAATCAGTCTGTAATCTGAAAAACTCGACTCTTCTTTAATGTAAATTCAATGCAGGGGGAAAATTGCATTTGACAAAAATTCTAAAACACAAGTTCAAGATATTGTTCTTCCTTCACTAAGTGTTATAGCTAAAATCGGCTCCGGCTCAGGTAGCTCCTTCGCCTGCAAGAACAAGATGATCGCCGTCTCTTACCACAGCCAAGTCCTCGACCAAATATCCTGTTTTGGTTAGAATCTTGGCTGGAAGAAAACCAAACTTTTGACGACACAATTCCTTGAGCTCTTCGAGTGTTCCAGGCAAAAGGATCAGCTTTCCAGATGCGTCGCCCCTCTCCGGGCAACTTACAGTGACTCTGTCGCCGTGTTTCTTCTGCACACCATGACTTGCAGAAGACCACAGCACGGCCTTTCCACCTGCATTTTCCATTACACGCCTGTCAATACCTCGAATGTTCAAGCTGTTAATAATCCAAACATCGATCCTATCCTCACCTTGGATTTGTTTGTGCCCTGTTGTGATAATCCCCGCGAGCGAATTCTGGAAGTAGCTTGGCCTTCTTCTCACGGGAGGTACATTGGGATCACTGTACTTCTTCATCAAGTAAGGGGCCTCGTCGCCAACAGGTGGTGCCTCGACTTTCTGGCTTGAAGTGCTCTTGTTCTCTGAAATTGGCTTGGTTTTGAATATGGCATTGATCTCTTCATGGTCTAGGTGCTCGGATAAGGCCCGAGGAGTCCAACCGTGCTCATCTGGTTTATCTATATCAGCTCCTTGATCGATCAAGAACTTAACTATTTCCAAATTATTTTCAGATATTGCTGTGTGCATAGCTGTAGTTCCTGAGCTGCTCATCGATGTCACGTCCCCTCCACGCTTGATGATCTCCTTGAGCAAGTCCATGTTGCTCTGCTCAGCTGCAAAGCAAGCAAACTGGCCTACATCGCCTGACGACAGCGTTGCTTTGTTGTCAACGAGCACTTTTATTACCTGCTCGTGCCTCCCTACTATGGCGTCCCACAGTGGAACATTGCCCTCAGAATCTGCACAATGTGCGCGCATCAGAGAAGAGGAAAGCATTTTCGTAGCATTGATTTAGGGGGATTTTCTGGTACCTTTTCGGTTGGGACTGGCGCCGTAGTCGAGGAGCAAGAGCACACAGTCTAAAAAGCCTTTGGAAGCTGCAAGATTCTGCTCATGGAAGAACAACTTGAATGAATCAATCTATGGCATGCCATACTTTGTTGTGTTAATAAAAATTCATAGCCGATGGCGTACCAAAGCACCACGGCCGTTGCTGTCCAGCTCATTTGGATCCAAACCTCTTTTCAGCAACTGGTGCAGCAACAGATCGTCTCCTCTGTCTGCGGCGAAGCATAAGCTTAGAGGCATGTCTGTCTTCCCTTGTGCAAGCATTTGCTCTGTGTGGTTCATTATTTCGTGCATTATAGGATCTTTGTGCTCTTTCAGATGCTGCAATGGGAAAATCCTTAGCTCGCCGCGATTGGATTTGTACCAAAAATAACAACAGAGTCTGAGATCGCCGGAGCTTTTGTTTACCTCAAGAAGATTGTTCATGATGATTGTTCCATCTCCAACATTAGCCTGGAGGATGTTGAAGAAGCCGGTGCGGCTCAAACGCAGAAGCTGACTCAATCGTTTCGTACGAGCAGTGAAAACTTGAGGTCTGTAGCAGAGGAGACCTACTTCCCCACAAACATCTCCTGTCTTCAATTCCCCAACAACCTAACAACACAAAGTTCACGTCGAGATTACATTTGTGTTTTGCCTCTGTGATATATTCAAGAAGATAAATCCCACGTCAGAACTTACCCTTTCTGTCCCATTTTTTTGTGAAATAAGATCCTGCGGCCAAGAAAATGGTTTCAGAATGCGAACTCCATTAACATGCCCTGTAAGGTACAAGAGAGGAAGGGGGAGTTTACCACTGCTCCATTAACCAGAATGTACAAATCAGTCGGTGCTTCATTTTGTAAAATGACGTCTTCCCTAGGGGGAAAATACTCCGGCTTCATCTCCGAGACCTGCAACAAAAGCATTTGCTGGCTAATGAATGAAAGAGGGGAGAATCAAGGAGAAGATGTTGTGAGTAAAGAAATGAGTTCTGTGTGATCACCAGTTGGAAGAGCAGATCATTCGACACACCCTGGAACAAATAGACCTTTTCGACAATGTTGTAGAAGAGAAAATGAGATATACTCGTACGAATAGCTTTTGGAAGTGCTTCTATAGTTTCTTGCTGCTGCACTCCTTCGGAATCAGTTCTATACTTTAGGCTCAAATGAGCTGAAATCTGCTCTTGCAGCCTTGCAGGAAGTTGATTCCTTTTTGCAAAGCTCATGGCGCCATAAAAGGTGTCTCTCTGCGACAATGTTGTGTGAAATGTACATTCATGATATTATCTCCTAACAACAGCTGAAATATTTTAGGATCGACCAAAAGTCATACTCACGTATTTCCTAGTTCTGAAGGTCGACTGCACGATTAAGTTGGTGATGTTTCCGATGATATAAGATGACAGTCCGAGGAGGTAGAGCAAGTAGAAAATGTCGAACACCATTTCTTGTGTATTCACAGGATGCAAATCACCATAGCCTAAAGTTACTGCCGTGACGATGGACCAGTACATGGATATAACATACCTGTCCCACAACGGTTCTTGGTGAAAATCCTCCATCATAAGTGCAATCCATGTGTTCTTCGGGTCCTTGTTCTTGTCGGCAATGAGATAAAAGACGCAAGCGCCGCAATGAATCGAGAAAAGAGTGACCTAATTAAGTTTGAGGATCAATTCCATTTCAAGCATCTTCATGAATTCAGTTGCATCCAAAACTGTATTCTTACCCATGCTATCCTCGCGAGTCGAATGGTGAGATAGTCATAGTTCTTATCTTTTTCCAATCTGCAGTGATACTAAGACAAATTATTATTATTGTTACTATTATCATAGGAATCTTAAGCATGTTGTCTGTATCTATCCATTTGTCGCAAGCTGAAGATCATATCATACCTCTCGAACATGGAATTAACTCGTCTGATACGCCATAGTCGAAGCATGCTGTAAATGCCGTATAGATTGAACTTGGAAGGCACAACAAGCCGCACAAGCTCATAAGGTAATGTAGAAACCACATCCAAGATCAATCCTGTTTTTGCATACCTCAAAGCTATCAGTTTTGGGTTGTCGATAAGAAGGTAACTAGATGGCTCGCGATAGGCTAGAAAAAACGTCAAGACAATGTCGATTGCGAAGAATCCATTGACGATGTTGTCGGAGATGGTGAGAAGCTTTGTAGGCTGCTGAATGAATCCGAATTCAAAAGGACATATCCAGGCTGTGTAGAACACCAACACTACCAGGAATGATTCCCAAACTCTGACAACACACCAAAAAGAGCAGAATTGCGAATTTTACCATTAGCAACAAATTCGATGAACAGAAATACATCACTAGTGATTATTGATGCAAACCTGTAGCGAGGATCGAAGGGGGAGATAATGAAGGGACGAAGCTTGACCTTGCGGCTGGAATGGGCGCCGAGGGGAGGAAGAATTCCGACACTGTGGAAGCTCTTGGAGCTTATTCCTCCTGATGATATCGTTTCGATTTCATTGTCTATATCTCCTGCCTCCCTCATCGGTTTCTTGCCTTTAGCAGTCCGCATTGTTAGATTGCTTCTTCTCTATCAACTGTTTTTTCCCATTGTCTTCAAATCAATGTCGCAGATTCAGTTTTGCATTTTCTGCCATGTCCGTCTCTGTTATTACCTCCCTGGTTTTTCTGAGCCTACTTTTCCTCCGGCTCCTCCACTTGAGCTTTGAAAGTTTCTGCAACTAAAATTTGAAACATGCTTTTTTATAGTCGCGTTTTCAAATGGGTAACTGAAAAGTCGCGTTTTCAAGTGGGTAATTGTAAAAGTCGCGTTTCTAAGTTTAGCAATTTTTGTGATCGGGAATTTTGTCTATGTATAACAGGGTATCTGAAGAAGGCAGGGAAACATCGGTTGAGGGAGCATTCTAGAAAGGCGAAGCTTGAGGGTTTCAAGGAGACGAGGAAAAATGTTGTCCGGTCTATCGAAATGGCTTGTGGATCCCAAGCGCAACCCCCTCGCGGCTATTCATATGAAGACCATATCCAATCGCTTGAGGAAATACGGTAGGGATTTGAATTTGGGATGGTTTTTTTGCGTGGGCTTGTGTTGGTGGATGATTTCTGATTTTTTGTTTTTCATAATAATGTTTGAAAATCAGGTCTCCGATATGACGATTTGTACGACCCGATGTACGATCTTGATGTAAAGGAGGCGCTGAATCGGCTACCGAGGGAGATCGTGGATGCGAGGAATCAGCGGCTCCTGAGAGCTATGGACCTTTCAATGAAGCACGAGTATCTTCCAGAAAATCTCCAGGTATACCGATACAACAATAATAACAAAATAGCCGTATTTGGTAGAGTTGTACTATTTTCTTTTGGTGATGGAACATTAGCTGCTTGAAAGTGAGCTTTTCGTGACTGGATTGTGCTGCGCGTGTGTACATACGTGAATATATGTTTGGTGTTGCATTATATTTCAGCTAATGTGGAGTTCTTGAGTTTGGTTTATTGATTAGGAGGTAAATTTGTTCTTTTAATCCCTTTGTCTGCTTTCCTTGATAGTTTATACATGAGAAATGTAGAAATTAAATAGCTCTCTTCTGTCAGATCAGAAGCTTATAAGTTAGTGGTGATGCTACTTATTGGTTAGGCAATCTCTACTTGTACATACCAGTGCTTATTGTATATCTTGCTAAAGAATCTATTTTTATCGCCTCCTGTATATTTTTCACCATCTTTTGCCTGTTATCTTGTGATGAGCTTTTTCTTAAAATTACTCATATTCAAAGCTCATCGGAAAAAATTGCTTATGGCCTATATATGTGGACACCCATAATCTCAATCTGTTTACCAAGTAGACATATATCTTATAAGTTGAGTGAGAGGTAATGCTATAGTGCTATATTATGTATACTGTTAGTCCATTTTGTAACTTGCTGCAGTAGATGCTCTTGCATCAAGCTAGATCATTTGGAATGATTGATTTTGACCCTTTGTGATTGTACTTGTGATTTGTGGAATAGTTCAATTGAAAAAAAAATAAAATATAAAAAATGCACCTTTTACTCTCGCAAAACATCACTCCAAACCCAATTGAAACTTCAAAGAAACACCTGTCCGTGCATCCATAGTGTTAATGGCTAGTAAGTCAATTTGTAAGAGTTGATGTCTATAGGCTGATATTATTGTTTAATTTTTAAGAGCTGATGTCTTAGGCTTATATTACTGTTTTGATATTTCTGTTTTTAAGGTTTTGGTTTTATCTTTGCCTGTTCTTAATTTATAATCTATTGCTCTTCCATTTTATACAGGCTATGCAGACGCCATTTAGGAGCTATCTTCAGGAGATGCTGACTCTTGTAAGTACTCGCTTTGTTATTGCATGATGTTTTAGAGCCAGCGTGTTAAACTTAGATTTAGATGCTTATCTGAATTATTTTCTCTAAAGATGTTTATACATACTCGTTCAGTTCATTATCAATAATTGCTTTGACAATAGTTTGTTTATGAGCATCACATCTTATTAGTTTCTTTGCAAAGGGAGTTATTGTTCTTTTGGTAATATTATCTGGTGTGCAGCTTGATTTCTTCCCGGGTTTTTATGCCCTGTCCTTATAATGTTATCTGTAGGTTAAGAGGGAGAATGCCGAGCGAAAAGCACTCGGTGCATCGCCACTCTATCAGCGCACCCTTCCTTGAGTTCGATCTCAATCCATGGCGCCTGTCGCTGAATAAGGGAAAGGCAATCTTGATCCCTTACTGAGACTGGACTTTCTTTATTGTCTGAATTTTGTACCTCGTTTTTTCTTGTTGTTTGATTCTTGGGTTTAAGCATATCATTTAATAATGTTGGACCGATTAGTTGGTGCCTCCATCTCCATCAATCTGGAAAATGGCTGCATTTCTGAAGAATTATGTTATAATTTTATGAGGATTTTTATTGAGGTTCTCTCCCGGTTGTCTGAAGTAATAAGATGTGCATACATTTGTTTGTTTTCTTCTTTCGATTCATTATTGTAATATGCTAATAATTGTGGCCGATAGATATTTATTTTTTGTTTTTTATATTATATTAAAAAATAATTTTACATTCAAAATATAAAAAATATCACATCAATTATCATTGTTTTATAATTTAAATTTTATGACAAAAAATTTATTTAAATCAAGATTAAAATGATAAAAATAATAATTAAACACAAACTAGACAAATACAATGATCTGGCATAAACACAATTGATTACTCAATTACGTCATAAAATTACATTGCTATTAGTTATACATAACGATATAAAGTGCCTAATAGTTAAATATACTCATTGCCTAAATAACTATATAAGTACTGTGATTATTTTATTTTAAACACACTTAGAGCATTTAAAACAAAATTCTTGATTAACCAAAGATAATCAAATTCAAATAATAACATTTGTATATGTTACATGCCAACATCAATATGTATATATACATCTTGTTGAAGAGTACCAAATAAATTCCACATATAATCACCACCTACTCTTACATATACATCGTCTATATTAATTACATATCCATCTTCGCGCACACATGATATCTATATCTATATATACGTGCATGTATGATCAAGCAGCAGCAGCAGCTCCGCAGTGCTCATATTAGGTAACAAAAATAATCCAAAAACTATGCAAAGAAAAAGCAAGCAAATCACCTTCAAGCCTTGGAAGCAAATGGTTCATGCCTCCAACTCTGGCCTGGAAAATGCAGGGGAGATCGGAGATTGATCAATAACCATTCTCAAACTCATACCATGCGAGGCCACATTACGTAGGCGCAGTCAAACTAATAGCAACACAGAGTGTTGGTAAGTAACAAAACACATCATTATCTAACATAAAAGAAAAAGAGAGCCATCATTCAGCAAAGCACGATGTAAGCCCACCTGTATCGGCTTCAAAGTTTGATATCTATAAATGAGCCAATCTGACGATGCCAATGTTCTGTAATAAATTCAGCGCCAACGCCTGCATCTTAGAATATCAGAGTCGCATGAACACAATCATGTGATTTCAACATGTAAAACACCTCTGCCATCAAATGGAACATTCAAAAACTCATTTGCACCATAACTCATATATATATATATATATATACAACACCTGCATTGATCTTTAAAACTTGACACAAGCCAAACTTACAACAGAATGTGCTTAGCAAAAACTGAAAAGAATAAAATCGATCATTATTCAAGTACCAGAATCAGTAAAAGCAATGCAAAATGAACAATGTCTAGAGAAGAATTTGTCTACATTAATTGGTATATGAGAATTTGATACACATCCTTTTAGATACAGAATGGCAACAGTCTCAACACAAGAAGATATAATAACCACAACTGAAATTACAGTCGCAATAAAGTTTATTCTTACATTGTCAAAACCAAACATGCACGTCTAAAAGAGTCTACAAAACAAAGTGATGAGGACACACTTATTTTTACCATTATCTAACATTTTCAGCAGTTTTAGCTGAGATTAGGTTCTTCAGCTCCATCAAATGTTCGTCATTTGTAATATGGAGCATGATACGAAGATTTGTCAACAATGCTTCCTGTTCCCAACTCAAGGAACCAGAAGCATACAAAGCTTCTAGAGTTCTGCGGTAAGCATGCAACTCTAACCTACGGATACTGATTTCTACTTCCTCTTTCGGAGGAAGAGAACTACTTCTCTCAGAGCCTGAACCATAACAGGACTCAGCATCACTACAAAGGGCGTCAGTCTCTCGGAAGGGCTGTAGTGCAAAGGGAATTTGAAAGTTGTTTGGGTTTTGATCAGTGATACTACAACTACCAACAGAACATGCATCACTGTCTGAACTATTTCCTGAGTTTTTGGCCCCAACATTATCAGTTAGTTTTGCCCTCTGTTCTTGGTTAAATGATGCAATTTTAAAGGAAGCATGCATGTTTTTTTCACCCAAATATTCTTTTGGGTATGCAACAGCATCTACCTTTTCAAGAATAGGGCCAGCAACCCTTCTCTGCTTCTCGCCATCTTTCTCAAGAACTCTTAATTTTTGGGCACGGCAATGATGCATTTCAACAACCGAGGAACAATAGGGAGACATCCTCTTCTGGGATCTTGATGAGATAATATGAGACTTCCCAAATGCAGATTCATCCTTAGAGTTTGTACAATTGGTTTGGGGAACGTTTCTAGGCCTTCTGTTGAATTGTTGGGTTTGGAAGTTTGTCTTCTGATAACAATTTGAAGTAGACGGCTTGCTAGCTACAATCTCCTCTGTTACTCGGGAATTCTGCCAACAAGATTAACTAAATCGTCAGAGACTTGCAAGATTATGACAGAGAGCTATTTTCGGGGTTGCAATGAGGAGCACACTACTAAAAACTAATTAAAATCCCCATTTATATTATTTCTTCATTAAGAAAAAGGGCTAAGGTTAAGCTAGACAAATTACAAAACTCATGAGATCTGCTTTCACTAAAAATCTTTACCGTAGATTTAAAAGGAATCATGCAAAGAGCAGGAAGACGAGAGATCAACACCACAATAATTTTATAACTAAAGGCCACAAATGGAGACCTCGTAAAAGCAGAAGAAAAAGAAAGTAACAGAAAGCTACCTTCCCAATCAGAATCCAATTCCCATCTTGCCAGGCATGTCTCATCCTGATGTTTGATCCATCGGCGATGAATTCCTGAGAGTTCCCAAGTAGCCTCACATAAAATTGCTTCCGTAATGCAGAAACAACTTGGAGAGGAATCTTCTTGCTTTTAACTTGTTTTTTCCCTTCGAGAGTCTTCAGTATTACAGCATTCTTCCACGCATATTCATGAAACACCTCCACAATATCTCCAACACCACAATTTTCAAGACCTTGCACTGTGGGTGGGCATGGCCTCACAAATTTCCTTGGAACTGTCTCAACCATTTGTTGATTTGGCATAACTGGACAAGAATCGTACTGCACATGATAATTGTGTCCATTACAAGAAAGGATATTTGCAACGTGCCATGAAACAGGAGAATCCTTTCTATTCATGACCTCCACCTTTTCCCCCTTCCCCAATCTCATTCTAAGCAATTCCTCTTAGATAAATTTCAGAATCCTGGATTGAAATCATAAAAAAGTCAATATTATTCAACAAAAAATAAGTTTGGGAGCCAAACAATTGAACTGAAAACGTCATTCCAATAACAGTCGGATGATAAATCAAAACCAAACCCACATCTTACTGATAACCAACATAAATCACACCTAAACAGCATCAATTAATGTAAAGTGTTTACAGCACTACTTGAATATACAGGAACAGTATATAATATTCCAATCGTCACTAGATTAACGGAAAAACAAGCTGTCGTTGTGAAACTGAATCCGAAATATTCCAGAAAATATAAACAAAAATAAAAATCCTTCTTTCAATCCCGCGAGAATCAGCAAGCAGAAGGAATTGGAAATTATTTGCGGGTATTAACAGATCATAAAGATCAAAAACATTATAAACACCAAAAACCTCACATTCTATACCACAGAAATTAGAAATAATTCCATTACCAAAGAGCTTGAAGATTCGCAGGATTTTCCAGCAAGAAAAAGAATGAACTAAATCGTCAAAACAAACACAAACAAAAAAACAGGCGATTTAAAGAACAAGAATCAAATGCAAAAGGCTGCACAAAACTTGCGTATAAAATTCAAACGAGACGACAATCTAAAAATGATCAAACGAATTGTACTTCAAAGCCAAAATCACGAATGACTAAAATTTCACAAAATTCTGTCAACGTCGTCTTCAACTCTGATCAATTTAGAAAATCAAAACAACATGACTTTCAAATTACTCACCTTTTCTTCGAATTAACGAGGAACATTCAACACAGCACTTTGCAATCCGATCTACAATTCTACTTATCTCAAACCTAGTCTGATTTTCAAATTCTGTTGTAACTTTTTTATTATTGACAAAAACTAAAATAAAATAAAATAAATAAATAAATTTGTGGGTGAAAATAATAATAGGAGTATATAAATTATAAAAGTAGAGCCTGGGGTGCGTAAAAATATTCTCCACTCGCCTATCCCGTCGTGTGCTACACCGCTCTATTTTCTATCGCATTTTAATTTTATTTTGTAAAAATATGACAATATTTATTTTATTGGATAATTTTGTTATGAAATAATAATTACATGCGCTAAGAACATATCTATTTATTATTAATTTTTTTAATTAATTCCTTATTATATCTATTTATTATTAATTTTTTTTAATTAATTCCTTATTATATCTATTTATTTAATCGCATGCACGTTCTATTGTATGCTAATTAATTAATAGTATAAATTTAGAATATATTATTTGATGAAATTACTGCTACATTTATAAGACAAACAATGGTTCGGCTGCTAAAATCGAATTTCAATCAACTACGCCAGCAATTCAATGGTCAATTAGGTCCAAAATTAAAATAACCAAAGAAAAAAATAAACATTTAAAAGCAGCATGGTTTTAATTAATTGGTTAACTGTCCTTATTCTTTTAATTAATTAATTAATGATACCTAATTTGTAAGTTATTAGGATCAATCGGAATTTACACAACGAGCATCCGGAAAAGCAACAATTATGAATTCACACATTATAATATATATATATATATATATTCTTATCCCAATTGTGATTCATCACTGTGTTGATAAAACATAAAATATGGACTAACAATCGGACTTCTTTGAGGCCTTGAGTAAAAATAAATTATAGGTCCTATAAACACGTGATTAAAATATATTTTTAAAATAATATCACTAATTTGCATCGATTGGACAATGAATTTTAACGTGACAGTCCGTGCCTGGTAGATTTGAGAAAAAAATGAAAGATTAACTGTTTGAAAGTTCAAAAAGCGAGAAGGACTGAGTAAAAGCGAAAGAGAGAAGGTGAGCGAGTTTGGTCTAAGTGGATGGACGCAGTGCTATAGGTGTGTAGAGAATTGTAAACGACGATTGAATTTGGAAAAATGAAATGAGACCAATTAAAAAAATATATATATATATATATAATTAGAATTTTAAAATTTATTTAAATAATTATAAAAAAATATATAAACTACCAAATAAAATTTAATAATAATTATGGGTAAAATTTTAAAATTTGGGCCCGGAGCCCTGAGCAATGCTCACTCTATTGCTGCTAGGAGCCGCTCCTGAATTATTCCTTACCCTAAGTAGAATTTAACATAGAAATTTTATAACCCACTAAACCCAATATACATTAAAAGTCCAATTTAAAATTGAAATCTACAATGAATTGAATTCAGAGTGGATTAGGGATTTAACAAAAGACCGTTCCAAAGTCATTTAAATTAATATTCTTACATTAATTTTTATATATTAAATGTATGGACAATTGCTATATAATTTTAAATTAAGACATTTCAATGAAAAATAATAATATAATGCCATATGCATAAAACATGCTTTATAGTTTCTAGGACCTAAAGATTATGCCTTACTTGGTTACATATATTGTTTTAATTAAATATATTTAAAAGGTTTTTATATATGTGCTGTAAATTTATATCTAATACTATGTTGTCAACTATATATATATATATATATATATATGTAACTATGCTATTAGCAGAGTCTTGATTATATTATATCAGTATCGTAACCGTCGTCATTGAACAGGTAACATCTAGTTAATATGTGCAGTTAATTTATTTTATATATGCCCTGTAAATTTATATCTAATATGTTGTCAACTATATATATATATTATTATGCTATTAGTAGAGTGTTGATTATATTTATATCAGTATTGTAACCGTCGCTATTCGACACGTAACATCTAGTTAACCTTTAAATACTTATCAAACCAAAAAAATTACATATTATTTAAATAAACTTAAAAAATTTATCATAATATTAGTATCAGGGAATGAAGCAAAATGAAAAATAAAAAATAAAAAATAAAAAATAAAATAAAATAAAATAAAATAAAAAACATGGCTGCTAATAGATGTTTCAATTGAATAGGAAAGGAACGTCGATGCACTTGGAGACAATTAGAACAGAAATCATGGAAAATGATTAAATTACATGCTCCCTATTTATTTTATTTTATTTTATTTAAATATGGTGTTATATTGTTATAAAACGTGACTATGATTCGGCTTTGAATATATATTGTCGTTGTACGTTATTAATGTGCATCATGTATTTTGTCATTTTATTGTTGCAATATTTACACACACATATATATATATTTTTTTTTTTTCTCGTAGCTTCAATAGAGTTTGAACATATATATCGATGAAATAAAATTCTACTCTTTAAATGTATTTTTAGGGTGTGTTTGTTTGGGGATTTGGATTTTGAGTTGGGATTTGAATAGTAAAAATTTTGAATTTGAATTTGAATGGTTATATAATATGATATAAACAGGTATTGATGTGATGTTTTGAATGTAAAATTGATTTTTAGTATAATATAAAAAATAAAAAATAAGTGTTTGATTTAATAATTTTTTAAGGGAAAAATGAGATGAATAGTATAAATCTTCGCAAATCCCTCAAACAAACACACCCTTAGTAATTTTTTGTTGAATCTAATGATTTATAAATCAGACCACTTAATAAGTTATACCAGACAAATCATTTATGACAAACAAAACCAAATGATATGGCTAAGTTTGTATATGTTTTGAAATAATGAACAATGTGTAATAAAGTATCTAGTGTTACATTGAATAATAATTACTATATTGTCATCCTTTTAATTTATACAAATGAGTAAAATTTTCATGATGGTATCAACACAAAAATTTATTATGCCCATTATTCATAATGTTGGGACTCCTGTTTGTGGATAAATACATTAATGATATATCTTTAAAATTTTAAACTTTCAGGTGAAACGATTATTTTGCGCATTCGACATAATATCAGATTTAGATCTCAAATTCATAACTCCTTTGTGTAACTTCTTCAATTCAACTCCATTTTTCTTTATAATTCAAAAAAAAAAAAAATGTTTCCTCAAATATATATGCATACGAGTACTTGGTTGTAAGAATAATCTCACGCCAAGATATTCGATGTGGGACGACCAGTCGCGGTCATGTCCTTCAATTACGTCTATTTGTACATGTGTCTGGTACGACTGCTTACCGTGTCTTTAGAATTCCAGTGTCAAAGCCACTAATTAACTAATAAAAATAAAAATAAATAATTATCCCTCCATCATCTAAATAAAATAAAATTAAATTAAAACCACAGGAATCAAATATATAAACAAAAATACCTTTCAACCTTAAACACGTGACGAGAATGAGAGTCTTGGGGAGTCAAATCACTACGTTTCATTCTCTCTATTCAAACCTTGTTTAGTATTTAATTTTACTTAAATACAATTGACCCATTTTCAGACCCAAAAAAAAAAAAAAAAAAAAGACCACAGGAAAAATCAGCATTGATAAATTAACTTGACGAAAAGAAAAACAGGTGAGAAGAAAACTAGGCAAGACATATATCAGAAATTGAACGCCCATCCACATCTATACATTTTCATTTTTATTTTCTATATGTGTAGAAAATAAATAATATTATTATTTTCTCAGTCATTAATTGTCAGAGAAACTAGGAAGGAATTTCACATTGCCTGTGACTGTCTATATAAGAAGCTTTAACTTGTGTTTCTCCTACACCACATTCTTATTTCAAATTAGTAAATTAATTACTTTACATTGCTAAATTAACACAGTGCGTATATAGCTCCGATCGATCGACATCCATGGCGTCAGCTCAAGCTCAATACACTGTAACTAAGTATGAACAGGAAGGTGATCAGACTGTTCGCCCCGTCGCAAATTTCTCCCCAAGTTTGTGGGGTGATCTTTTCTCTTCAGTTTCCACTCACATTCAGGTCTCTCTCTCTCTCTCTCTATATATATATATATGTATGTATGTATTGGTGTAATTGAATGCATGAGAGAGCAGGAGGCGGAATTCTACGCCGGAGAAATCGAAGCTCTGACGGAGAAGGTGAGAGCGATGATCGTCTCCGGCGACGGCGCCGGACGCGTCGAAGAGAAATTGAACTTAATCGAAAAAATCGAACGTCTCGGAATTGGGTATCATTTTGCCGAAGAAATTGAGGAACAAGTCCTCAATTTTCACGGCGCCGCCGTCACCGCCGGCGATCTGAACACCGTCGCGCTTACCTTCAGGTTGCTCAGACAGCACGGCCATCGCATCTCTTCTGGTACCCAAAATTAAAATAAAAATAAAAAAGTATACTAATTTCATGTAATACAAAAACCCTAATCCTTAATTTTATTCATAATTTTTCAGGAATCTTCCAGAAGTTCATCGGAGACGACGGCGGATTCAAGGAGTCCATAAAGGGGGACGCCAGAGGCCTACTAAGCCTATACGAAGCTGCTAATTTAAGAACACATGGAGAAGACATTCTGGATAAGGCATTAACATTCGCCACAGGTTGTCTGGAATCCATGGCGCCCAAATTGAGGTCTCCATTAAAGGACCAGGTGACGTACGCCATGGACCAAAGCTTCCACCGCGGCATCCCGAGGGTGGAGGCGTACAGATTCATATCCTTTTACGAAGACGAAGAACATTCGAAAGACGACCCGTTATTGAGGCTGGCAAAGTTGGATTTCAATCTGCTGCAGATTCTCCATAGGAAGGAGCTTTCGGAGCTTACGAGGTGGTGGAAGAATCTAGGGCTTGTCTCGAAGCTAAGCTACGCTAGGGATAGAGTAGTAGAGTGCTATTTTTGGACATTAGGGGTCTATTTCGAACCACAATACTCACAGGCTCGGATCATTCTGGCAAAGACCATCGCCATGGTTTCTGTCATCGACGATACCTACGATTCGTACGGAACCATTGATGAGCTCCAAATCTTCACCGAAGCTATACAAAGGTTGTATTAATTAATTTCTTGCATCCATCTTTATAATTACGAACGTATAATTGAGGTTTGGATTTAATTACCAGATGGGACATTAATGAAGTGGATAGACTCCCCGATTACATGAAAATATTGTACAGTGCTGTTCTTGATCTGTATGATCAGTACGAGGAGGAACTAAGCCACCAAGGACGATCATTCGCCGTCGATTATGCGAAATCCAAGGTACGGATTAAATCTTATTACGATCAAATGATTCGACCCTTTTAATTTGTTGGGGACTTTCATTCATAGATAAATAAATTAATGATTTGTTTCCTTAAAAACTTGAACTTTTAGATGAAACCGTCATTATTTTGTACATCCGACATAATTAAAAAGGACTAAATTTACTAATGTTAATGTCGTTGTGTATTTATGAATGTTTGTAATAGATGAAGGAGATAGCGAGGAGCTACAACGTCGAGGCAAAGTGGTTCATCGAAGGATTTATGCCATCATTCGACGAATACATGTCGAATGGTTTCATTACAAGCACTTACTACCTGTTGGCGGCGACATCCTTTGTTGGTATCGACTACGCTACTAAACAAGATTTCGATTGGCTCAAAAATAAGCCCAAAATTCAAGTGGCTAATGTCACCATTTGTCGTGTTGTCGATGATATCGCCACCTATGATGTAAGTACATACATAAAATCAAGTCAAGAGGCATGAAATATGAAGGATGACTATAATTGCATGTATGTAATAATTATTATAAAAAATTCAAATGCTGACTAATGACTCTAGCTAGTCTTGATGATCGATGATCTTCTAATTTGCTTGTCTAATTAATTTTATTTTTATTATTTACTATTATATATTTATAGATTGAGAAGAAAAGAGGACAAAGCGTGACGGGGATCGAATGCTACATGAAAGATTATGGGGTGTGTGAAGAAGAGGCTATGGAGGCATTTCAGGACATTGCCGAGAATGGTTGGAAGGACATAAACAAAGAACTCGTCGATGAGAAATCGGTGAGCATCGACATTCTTACAAGAGTGGTGAACTTGTCACGATTAATCGACGTCGTTTACAAGCACAATCAAGATGGATACACTCATCCTGAGAAACTTCTCAAGCCCCTCATCACTGCTTTGCTCGTCCAACCTTTGCATCTGTGAAGGAATTATAGCTCAAGTGGTTGAATTATTATTATTTTTTCTTTCATATGTGGGAGAAAATATATATATTTAAAAAAAAAAAAAAAAAAAAAAAAAAAGAAAACCCTTTGCACCTTAATTACTTCAAATGAATGTAGTGATTCATTCAATTGGTCATAAATAATTTTATTTAATTTACGTGTGTTTTGTAATTAATAATGTTTCCATGCAGCTTCCTTAATTAATTTTATCTTGTTTTTGTTGCATTCATCTAAAACGCGTTTCAAGGGGATGAGTGTGTCTGAATAAATTTCATCAAGACGTAATTAATGCTCTACAGGTCTACCGCTTGAACCTAAACATCAAATCAAACACCTATTTTTTATTTTTTATACTATACTAAAAATCAATTTTACATTTAAAACATTGTATCAATCCATATTTATATCTCATCGTACAACTATTCAAATTCAAATTTTTTACTATTCAAATCTCAATCCAAAATCCAAACCCCAAAACAAATATTTTGCATAATGTATATATCAAAATATTACTATTTTTTACATAAATTACAAATATCTTATGTATATATACATAATGTACAAATGATAAAAAATATCAAATTATTTTACACATTTTGCTAATTTATAAAATACTCCCTCCGTCCCGTAAGAATTATACTATTTTTCCATTTTGTTCATCTCAAAAAAAGATATAATTTTTTAATTTAGTAATTGTACTACCTACCTAATATAATTAATACCCTTACAATTTTTAATACTCGCTCCATTTCGTAACAAAATATCCATTTTCTTTTAGTAACTGTAGGATCTACCTAACATTACAAATATCTTTACAACTTACAATATATTACACAAATGTCATTACATTTATATCATACCTACTAAAAAAGATTATTTTAGTCATTTCTATTTTATTTTTACTATATCCCAATATAATACTAATATTTATAAAACTACGTGCAAAAAGCAAATTGATAGTTCTTTTTGGGACGGAGGGAGTATCACTACAAGAAAAAATCATTTTTGTAACAAAACGTTTTTGTCTCTAAATCTACTTTTTTCGTTACTAATGACATTAGAGACAGAATTAGGAATGGAATTACGTTAGCTACGTGAACTTTAGGGACGGAATTCCGTTACAAATATATTATTTTTTTGTAGTGTATATTACACAAATTTTTTTTTTTTTATCACACAATCTAAAAAAGGCAATTTTATCTTTTCTACTATAAACTAATATAATATTAATATTTAAAAATTTATGTGAAAAAGCAAATGTTATTCTTTTTACAGAAAGGAGTAGCTAATACAAAAATTGTACTACCTCTGTCCCATATATCGTGTTTGCTAAATTGTAGATACGATATTTTAGAAAGGATGTAATCAGTAGATAATTAAAAATATATTAGTGAAAATAATTATAAATTAAGATTAAGATAACTAATTAATTTAATTAAAATTAAAAAAATTAAAAAGTTTAAAATGAGATTAAAGTGTGTAATCATTTTTAAAAAGAAAATGACATGGAATATGAGACGAAAAGAAACGATAACGTGAACATGGTATGCGAAACAGAGGAAGTAACTTGGAAGACAAGAAGAAGGCAATGGAGGTTGACGGGGCCATTTATTATGATTTATCAATGTTGACTTTAACAGGTCAAAGCCCGAGGACGCGCGTTGACTAGCTTTTATTTATAATTTTATTGCTAAACTTGCCCTTTAAGAATCAACGCACAAAAAATTAACACATTAAAAAGCTATCAATAAATTTCCTTTTTAGTGAGTTCGCTGGACTCTAAATTTTATTATTATTATAATATAATCTCTATGATTTTTATAAAATGTTATATTTGATAATTATTTAAATATAACATACAAATGCAAATAATTTTTTGTCATAACAAATCGACGGAAAATAATGATGTGAAAATAAATTAAACCTTATATTTATATTTGAAGAAATTGTACAATTTTGCAAGTTCATGTCAGTATTTTTTTGTTGTTTAGTTGACGGTGGGACCAAAAAAAAGATAAAGTTTGATTATTTTGAGACAAAAAAAATGATGAGTTTTGATTATATTGAGACAAATAATGATGAATTTTGGTTATATTTGGACGGATGAATTTTAGTTATATTAGGACCACAAATAATTTTTTCCCTATGTTTTATATAAATATATATATACGTGTATGTTTATATATAATCTCAACTGTTGTATAACAAAAACTGAAATTAAAAATTTAAAAATAATAAAAAAAAAAAAAAAAAAAAAAAAAAAAACATAAGTGTCATATCTACTATAAGTAGCAAAGTCCTAAAAAAGAAAAAGAAAGAAAGGGAAAAATGAAAAAATAAATAAAAATGGCATAGTCCTTCCTATAAGTAGCAAAATGAAGTTTAACTATAAAATTTGGGAGATTAGGCTTTAGACTGGGCTTTTGAGCCCATCAAATAAAATGATTTCATATCCCTGCGACGGTTGACGTCTTCGATTTTATTTTGTTTTGTTTTTGTTTTTTTAATTATTTTCGTCCCCAAATCGAAAATTAGGTTTTACTCCGTCTTCCTCAAATAAAACATGGAATATCTTTTAGCGTGGTCGAATTTCAAGAATTCTTCTTGTGTTGTTTTGTTCTTTTGGGATTGTTGGTGGCATATTAACAAGGGCAATCAAGCATCTGCAATTTGCGAACAGACCGCCATAGACGAACTCTGAAGTTTAGTAAAGAAGGAAAATCCATTGTTTATTACACGTAAAAGTAAAGACGAGACAAAAAAATGAAGGAAATAGTTGCAGAGAGCCAAAACAAAAGAAACTATTTAACACATCATTTGTATTACTATATCTTGAGGCCTGTGTATGATCGGAGAGAACCCTTTGATCATCTCCTCTGGAAGTTAAATGTCTTGATGGAGAAGGCGAAGATGAAGGCGAAAAGCGCGACGAATCCGAGAAGCACGCCTGCAACCATTCCCGTCATGCTGTTCTTGAATCCAAGGTACCTGTTCAAGAACTGCTCCACTGTCTCCCCAGTTCCGTCCATTAGATCCTGAATATCTCCATATTGTGTGATGATCAAACCATACAAGGAGTAGGCCATCGGATTAACCCAGTAGTACCATCTCCACCATATCGGAATGCTCTGTTGTTCATAAAAAACTCAAACTTTAATTTATCTATATAATTTCTTGAATGGCATGCATGTACAATGTATGTATGTAGGTGCAAGAACAAGTACTCACCGGCCGGGGGACGACGAATCCGGAGAACAAATTCCATATAGCGTAGAAGAACGACGATATAATGGAAGAAATGTACTGGTTAGGAGTGACGGCTACGGTCATCATACCGTAGAGCACGAAATAGAGCAACGAGAAGAAGGTGAAGAAGATGAACCAGAAGAATTTTTGAGCAGTCCAGTCGAAGCCCATCATCGCATACACGATGGTACCGTAAACCACGGATTGCGAAAAGATGTAAGGTATCTCGATGAGGAACTGCAAAAGATAGGATCTTGCACGTTAAGGTTCTTGTCTGAATTCGAATTATAGGAACGAAAGTTGTTGTTAACTTATAATCAATCACTCACCTGTGAGAATGCATAAGGCAGGGGAGAGTACATTCCGGCTGCTTTTTCTCTGTAGAATACGGTTCGTTCGATGGCCACCACCGGCTGCACTGTCGAGCCATACTGAAATCCCAAGAAGTTGATTGCAGCATACATAGAACCCATGGCGTTCATGAGATCTTGCTGAGTGTTCCTGAGATTAATCGTTGCAGGGCGTTAGCGTTTGATTGAAAAAATGTCGTATTTGTCCAAGTCTTTTTCTAACATGCTTACCATTTGGAGCCGATGTCCCAAAATATCGTGCCAAATATGAGAGCTATGAAGGTCGTAAACGAGAATCGGACGGCCGTGTAGGGAGTGTTTCGCCAATACGACCAATGTTGCTTCCACAGGCAAGCGATGCATTGCACGAGGAAGGATTGGGAGTATTCCGTAGGGAAATATAGATCTTTCGTGCCGGGGCGCGGGACGCCTAATTCCTTGATCAAGTTCTTGTTCCTCCTACAAGATTCGTTCGATTCAAGAATGTTAGGTTGTAATGAAAACAGAGGATAGTCAAGTTTTGGCTATGGAGTTTTGAACTCACATGAACAAATCTGAGTTCTTGTAGTGTTCGGTGAAATCGATTCCCAAGATCTGTTCTTGCGCCGAAGTCGTGACTTCCAACATCCAAGTAGCGGGATTGTATCCGTCTTTGATCTTCGGGACTCCTTCGACTGATTCAAAGTACTTGATCAAATGCGACGAGTTCTTCCCCAATGGTCCGACGTATATCTCTTTTCCTCCTCGCTTCATCAGGAACAACTGCAGATCGTTTCGCATGTCAGAAACAGAATCCATCGGAATCTATCTGATTTTAGTCTTTTCGAACGACATAGTATTATTACCTCATCGAATGCTTCAAATATGTCGATGCTAGGCTGATGGATGGTGCACACGACAGTTCTTCCCGTGTTCACGGTGTTCCTTACAGTTCTCATCACGATTGCAGCTGCTCTCGCATCAAGCCCTGAAGTCGGCTCATCCATGAATATGATCGAAGGGTTCGCCACAAGTTCGACTGCAATTGTAAGCCTTTTTCGCTGCTCGGTTGAGAGGCCGTTGACGCCTGGCAGCCCGACTAGCGCGTGTCTCAACGAGTTAAGCTCTACGAGCTCCATTACTTCCTCGATGAACGTCTGTAAGAACGAAAGAAGAGAATCAATACATATTTCGTTAAGGCAGCCGATCCTGCACTGATCTCTGGCTAAGTCAGTATAGTGTTAATTTGACGGAATCAACATATACTGTAGGGGTAATCAGATGTTTATACATATCTAGTATATATTGTATTATAAGAGATTATATGCTGTTTATCCGGGGTCAAATTAGCATGAACCATGCTGATCTGACCGAATTAGCAGCTGAATCAATCCCTTTTGTTAAGGTTGTAATGTAGGGAACTAACCTTTCTTTTTTCGGCATCGACATCTGATGACAACCTTAACCAAGCCGAGTAAACGAGGGACTCGTAAACAGTGACATTGGGGGAGTGGATATCGGTCTGCTCGCAGTATCCGGATATCCGAGCAAAAGTTGCGTGGTTCTTGGGATACCCTGAGATTGTGATGTTTCCCTCGATGTATCCCCCGGTTTTTCTGCCGGCTAAGACATCCATCAAAGTTGTCTTCCCGGCGCCGCTGACGCCCATCAGCGCTGTAAGAACGCCGGGCCTGAAAGCTCCGCTGACTCCTTTCAAAAGCTCTAGTTTATCGTCCGTGGCGCCCTGTGCTTTCATTTCCTGCAGGATCGAACATTAATGGCATTGTCGAGAAGTTAAAACAGCACGACATTATCGACAACTATCAGAGCATACCTGCGGCATGTCGACTGAGTATCTAACATCATCGAATGTGATAGAATGTGGTTCGAAGGGAAGAACCATCCCTTTACTTTGGTTGTTGCTGCCTTCTGGTGTAATAGATTCTGATCCATCGCGTGCGCCGGCATTGTCCTGACCGGAAGCTCGGCTGGTTGCAGCGACTTTGTCTTCCTTGGCTTCTTCTAACAATGTGGCTTGAGGCTTCTCAAAAGCTGCAGCATTGATGTAAGAAAATGGTTAGTTTCTGCAACATGATCCATTCTATAGGACAACAGAGGCTTCTTCAATTACAGACAGCCGGCGGAGAAACTCACGGTTGAGGAATGTAAGAGATGCGAGGAAGAGGGTGTTGAACAACAACACGAATCCGAGGGATGCTCCAGCTCCGATCCAGTACCAGCGCGACTCCGGGAAGAATCCACGCGATTCTGTAACAAGAGTTCCAAGTCGAGTTCCATTCACTATCTGCAAATAGAAAAAAGTTAATATGGTTCGATCTTAAGCGCGCGACGCGAAAGAAGGATCGAAGAAAATGTCGCTTACCATGCTCCAGCTATGGCCGGTGAATTCGTTGACAAGAATGGCGTTCTGAGCATACATCAATGGTGAAGACCAGAAGCCCCACAGCCACCAGTCCTTGACATCCTCTGCAACAACAAATCAAGACATCCGAGGTGAGATCGAAGAATTTTTCTCATCTACTTATGTAAGAATTCGACACCGATCTTCAAAATCCATACCTCGCGAAAGAACAAAGCCACCCAATGCAAAGAGCATGAGCAATGCAAACAATCCGAACGTGTTCGCTATGATCATGTTCCTACCGGCTGCTCCAATGAATCGAAACAGCGCAGACGCGTACTGGTGAACTAATAACAGCAACAGGTACTGCTTCAGAAACCTGCAACACAATGGCGTAAACTCTAAATCAGCCATGGATCGTTTACAAAGAAGTCGACGCAGAAATTAATCTGTTTATGCGATGCGTACCTTCCCACATTCGGATCAAATCCGATCACATAATAGGTAAGGAATGTCCATATCCCGACTTCAACGAACGTGATTGGTATTTTCAGGACCCACGACGGAATCCCATAGGCCCAAGCGGGGAAGAAGTACATATCCCGTTGCTTGTAGAAGACGGGGAGCTTGTAGATCGTCATCGAAAGCTCTGAAATTCCGTTGAACATGACCATAATGATGGAGAAAAAGAGCGCGCCGGAGAATATGCCTCCATCCGCCACATTTTTCCTCGGCATCTCTGTACGGAAGAAGACTGTCATTGCAATGAAAGCCATCACGACAATCTGGAAGATCTTGAAGAAATACACAAATGAGTTTCTCTTCATCAGCAAGAATTCTCTGTCTGCACAGGCTTTCAGTAGCTCTTTCTTCCCGAGACCGAACTTTGTGGTCGCCAACGCAGCTGGATGGCTTTTGCTCTTGTCGAACGGAACTGCAAGCTCAACCCCGACTTTCCGACCTTCAGAATACGATTGGAACGCCTCTGCGAATTCAGTGACTGTGACGAACCGGTAAGGCTCGTCCCTGCGTGCCCAGTATTGCTCCTGATCTTTCTTCGACGTTACCTGAAATGTAAGTTTAGAACAGTTCAGTTCATTGTCGTAACTTCGAATCTTTTTTGTTCCTTTATTAGGCTTACTTCTTGCAAGAAATCCGCGACTCCTTTTCTCTCCGGGCATTTGAATCCCATCGACTCCATAAAGCCGAGCACGCCCTCTCGAGGGCCTTGATAAACAATCTGGCCATCGGCCAAGAGCACGATGTCGTCAAACAGATCATACGTCTCGGGGGCAGGCTGCAACAGCGAGATGAAAGCAGTTCCCTTCATAATGTGCACATGTTGCCCGAGCATGTTCACGATCTGGTAAGTCGTCGAGCTATCCAATCCGGTCGATATTTCGTCCATGAAAAGCGCTCTGGTTGGTCCGACGATCATTTCACCTGTACATGTTTATGTTCGAACATTAAATGAAATGCACAAGATCTTGATTCGTGTTAGTCGAATGTTTGTTTACCTGTAGTGACACGCTTCTTCTGCCCTCCCGAGATCCCTCTTATCATTTCGTCTCCGACCAATGTGTCGGCGCAGATGTCGAGCCCCAGAACCTTAAGAACATAGTCTGTCACAACACTTGCTTCATCTCCTTCACTAGCTGCGGCCTATAAAGATCGAATATTGATCGTTAATAAGATTCAAGCCAACGCGCACATGGTTCGATCTTTATTATACGATGGAGATAAATCGAGAGCTTCTTACCTTCATGAAGATGTCGACGTCGGGATCTGGTTTAATATTAGCTGCCTTTTCTCGTCTCGACAATTCTGCGAGCATCTCTGCAAAATCGAAACTCTTTACAGTTAGCCAACAAAATCCAAAAGATCGAAACTTGAATATATACATTAACTATAAAACTGTATTTAACTAACCGTAGCGCGAGCCGACGCCCTGAACTCTAGCGGAGAAGGCCAGCGTTTCTCGGACAGTCATTTCTCCTATATGCAAATCGTGCTGGCTTATGTACGACGATGTTCGTTGGGGGACAAACTCCTCCATTCCATGTCCATTATAAGTTACTTTGCCGGAAACCTGATCGATAACATTCATGTTAGAAAAAAGTTCTCCTCGCAAAGCAATCAACCAATTAAGCCTGAATTCGATCTACCTTTAGACTCTGATCGAGCTTTCCGGCCAGAGCCAACAACAGCGTTGTCTTCCCCGAACTTGGAGGGCCTAAAAGCAACGTCATCCGACCTGGCTTGATGATCCCGCTGACATCCTTAAGAATGGTGAAAGGCTTCTTTCTGTTGGGGAGTATATGAAGTGTATTCAAAATTCCCTGAAAAAGAAAGATCGATCAAATCCAGACGTCGACAACCTTAAAAGAAACTGAAATTCAGAGAATTTCGATGTCTGAATACGGTGGATACCTCGACCATATTGATGTGGAAGTTGACAAAAGTAGGCAATGCCCTGCCTGCACTGAAAGCTTCTGCATCGATGTTCAGATGTTCGTATCTGACTTCGATCGTCGGCATATCGATCCCAACTCTGTCGATTCTTTCCTTGAGCTTCATCAAGAACTTCTCATTATCTTCCTCGACAGTATTAACGAGTCTGGCTATCAAATCATTTTTGTCCCCAAATCCAAGGCTATGAACATCGATTTCATTGGCACCTTTCGATCCAAACAGTAGCCCTTTCCTGAGACGATCGAACGTCGGGAGCTTTTCGAGGGCGGCCCATTTCAGGGCCTCCTCGTCGTCCTCGTCCCGAGCCGACCGGGAAAAAGCTTCGATTCCGGTGTTCCTCCATATGGTCGAACTGGCAGCACTTCTGAAGCTCCCCGATGCCCTTTTGCTTGCTCTTAAGCTATTACTAGCTCGAAAAAGATCCCCTGAATCCATTCTAGGTTTACCAGCACAACGTGCTGAAATGAATCGAATCTCTTACACTTTTCCTTAAATCCTTTTTTCTTGTTCGATTTGTGTGTCTTAATGAATGAATGAAAGAATGGAGGATTTTTGAATTGCAGAGTTGCTGGATTCGGGGAGAATTGGAGAGCTTTATATAGGTCTGCATTATGGAGTCAAGCTAAGGCTGCTGTCTTTCGATAGTTTTCAATGTTGGGACTTTTCGTTTCAGATCTGGGAAGACACCTTCGTCGACCTTGCATGGCCCATCCTTTGAATGTTCTATGGATTCTTCAATTATTACACGTGCGTCCCTGTCCCAAGGTTAACTGTAGTTTTCTCATTTGGCGTGCTAAATCGAGGTTTTACTTTTAACCCTCGAACTTTGTACATGTTCCATTTTCACCCCCGCGTTTTCCACCTTTGCTCGTTTGGTCCTTTGATAACCAAAACCGTGTACATATTATTTTTCAATCATTTTGAATAATCTATGTTTTATTTTATTTTTTATTTTAAAAAAAAATAAAAATTACACGTTTTAATCGGGAATATATGGCGGTTCAGAGTTGAAATAAAATATTAGAATGGGTATATTTCTATGTATTTGACCATTTTTATTGATTTATTTTTTGTACGAAAATACGTCAATGAAGACGTATTACTGCATCTGCGAACACTTCGTTGTATGCCACGTGTCATGTTTTTGTTGGATGAAGTTTTTTTCGTCAAAATTTTCAATGCGTTTCTAGAAGGTCAAAAAACAATGCATCTATGTTGGCTACGACAATAGTTGACCATAAGCAACTAATTCAAACTATTTCAATTTCTTTTAGAGATTTTTTTTTTTTTTTCAAATATTTAATTTTCATCAATTTTTATAAATATATTATTATTTCTAAATAAATATTATATTTAAATTACTATTCGAAAAAAAAAAAATTAAAATCAAAATTTAAAAACAAATCAAATATTGTTTCTTTTACATACGTTATTTTCTTCAATTAATTATATAAAACATATTATTTGGCTAATAGTCATATGTGATGCTGATTGAAAGTATAAAATTTGTTGAGCATATTATTACATAAATTTATTTAGTTACATCTTATTCTCGTCTATGTTACTATGTATATGAGATGAAGGTAAATATGCATCTGTTGTTCATTAATTTAATGATACTGTTATTTAATAATAAATTTCTTGTTAAGTTACTATTCCTATGTTATATATGTAAAAGATACTACAAAATAAATATTTTATTATTAATTATTTTTTTTTAAAAAAAAAATCTCATTTAATTTATTTATAATTATGAATATATGACATGTAAATTACAAATACATAAGTTGTCAAAACGTACTACAAAAATTATTTTTATTTCTAATTGTAAGGCCTTCTAGAATTTACATTAAGTATTTTATATATATATATATATACATGTCACTAGTCTTCTTTCTTCCCATCTTGTTGCAGCAAAAGTCTTTCAGAGTTCATATCTATATTATTATTATTATTATTATTATTATTATTATTTCTAGAAGCAAGGTATTTTATTGTATATTTTATATTATCATTATTTATCAATTACTGGAGGCTAAAACGTGAGGTTACTATTTTAATTCTAGAACCGTTAGGGATAATATAAATATTAATAATGAGTTAAAAAATGATAATATTAAAATTCGCAGTCGCTGTCAAAAATAATATTATATATTGTTTTAATTAAGAGAAGTCTATGATTAGGGTAGGTAGAGGAGTGAATAATTATTATTTATTTTATCTAGTAGCCATCCACAATGGATTTTTTCTTTATGAGGAAAACCTCCATATTTAAAAATATAAATAATACTTCCACCGTCCACTTATAAAGTATACAATTACTTTTGACACGGTGTTTAAGAAATAATAGTATTTTAATTTTGTGAAAAAAAGTAAAGTATTTAATGAAATGTTTACTTTGTAATTGGACGTCCCTAAATAGAAATATGTATACTTTCTAACTGGACGGAGAGAGTATATATATAAACTAATAAAATATAAATAAAAGAATCTTTCATTAAAATCAGTAAAGATTCAATGATTTTTTTTTTTTTTTTTGGTACTTGTGATTTGTTACTATATTACCTAATTTTGTATTAACCATATATCTTTATTTTCAATTTTCCTTTTAATAATAAACAGATCTTATTTATTTTAAATTATTATGAGTATATATTAAATTTTTATTGCTGAAATAATGATGCCGAAGGGTACATTAGAACAAATACACTGGTGATGTTTTAGACAGTTTCTTTAAATAGAGTTATGTAAACGAGGGCTAGTGGTAACATGGATAGTAAACTTGTAATTCTGAGATTATTAATTCAAATTTTGATCTCTCTTCAGGTCCACTTGTCATACATGATTAGCATAGTATAACTTAGTTTATCGGATCTAATTTGCAGAGTTCAACTGCGATTTCAAAGTTATAAAAGAAAAGAAAATAGAGGAACTATCATACTACAATATTTTTTTATTTTTTTATTTTTTCACAATTTGTGCAAAATAACTCAATTTTCTCTTTATTTTAGGACGTATACAAAAATCATTAAAAACTACTATTATATGTATTTGGATGGAAAATTACTTAGATCAGAATATATATATATATATATATTGACAGCTCATCAAATAGAAGTTTATTTGTTTTTTTCATTTTTTTCAACTATTGTGTTGCTACTAGTTGTTGATGGTTTAGGATGTAAGAATTACAATTGAAATAGTAAAATTTAGTTTCTATTATAGTAGTGTTACGTACAAAAAAAAAATAATAATAATAAAAATAAGGATAACAGGATTTTAAAGAAAGTTAGACACAAAGTCGGGTGGAAAAGGAAAAAAATTTGCATTTAGGTCGATTGGTCAGGTCGGTTGGTCCGGTTGGTTGGTCCGCGGTCGGATAAGCAGGTCTGGTGGTCCAGAGGTCGGACGCTAAGGAGGTCCGGAGGTCAGCTGCTACAGAGGTTGGCTGATAGGGAAGTCGGCTGGTTTGCGGTCGGATAGATAGGTCGGCTGGTTCGCGGTCGGACAGACAGGTCGGTTAGTTCGCAGTCGGATAGATAAATTAGTTGGTCCACGGTCGGATAAGCAAGTCGGTTGGTCCGCGGTCGGATAGACAGGTCGGGAAGTCCGCGGTTGGATAGACAGGTCGGGAAGTCTGTGGTCGGATAGGCAAGTCAGTTGGTCCGTAGTCGAATGAGCAGGTCGGCGGCTATGAAGACGGCCACTACGGAGGTCGGCGAAGTAAGGTCTGGTAATTGATTGCCCATTTTAGTGAACAGTAGTTTGGTCGCTTGGTGGGGCGGTCAATGAGTCTTTTTGTCTAGCGACCTGTTGGTCTCTGATTTGGTCGGTTGGGTTATGAGGTTGGCGAGGCGGTTGATGTAACCGACCAGACGACATTTCAAAACATTTCGTCTTAGGCGGTTGACGGCGGTTGCTGGCGACGGTTCCAAAGCGTCTTTTCAAAGAATATTTAAGGATTTAAATTTTTCTTCTACAATCATTTTCAATCAACTTCAACAAAAGCAAAATCAGATTTGGGGATCACCACTTTAAATTTTCAGCATTTTAATTTCCAGTTAATCTTTTTATGTACTGTATAGTGTTTAGAGATTCATAATTTCAGTCACTGATTAATGAAATTTGAGGATATTTCCATATGTTTGAATTTTACTTTTTGTTTGTTGAAAAAATACATCAAAAAGTAGTATTTCCTTCGTCCCACTTATCGTATTCATCTTTTTATTTTCGTTCGTTTCATTTATCCTGTTATTTTCTTTTTTTTTTATAAAAGAATTATACATTTTAATTTTATTTTAAAAATTTAATTTATATATATTTTTAATTTTAATCAGATTAATTAGTTATGTTAATCTTAATTTAAAATTATTTTTATTACAGAATAATTATTTTCACTAATACAATTTTTTAATTATTTACTAATTATATCTATCCTAAATTTTCATATTTATCGTAAAAATGACACGGTAGCCGGACGGACGGAATACTATTTAAGCCTGGCATTATTAATGGGAATGTGATTTGATTTCATCATGATCTTATCACTGAAAGCCACACCACATTTGCTGATGATTCATTTATTCTATCAATATTAGAAGATTGGACAGGTCAATATGTAATTGTATTACACTCTGGTCTGACCCACCAAATTATCATACATTTATTAATCATCTCCGACAAAATATTTTTGGTCATTCGTTTGTTTGTTTTTGCTCGGGATTTACACTGGCGGCGGTCCTGTTCGTAATCGTGGAGCCGAGCCGAGCCGAGCCTCTTTATAGTTCAAATAATTCTCTAATCAATAATATTAGCCGCCACTACTTATAACATAGCTAAAAAAATTAATATAATTATATATATATATATATTTCTAGCCATCCACTGTCACTATTTATTTCAATTTTTAGGGCAGACATATATCCTACTGTATTAGACCATTTTTTTTTTTTTTATGACATGAGAATCCGTGCGTTGATTTTCGATCCAATCTAATACTCTGCAAACTAGGCTCGACGAAAAAATAACTATACGATCATTATTATGTATTGGGTTGGTTTAGTTTTGGGGGCTGGGCTCTGACCCAATCCTATTTGTTATTCCAAAAATAGAATGACACTGTAGCTAATTTCAATTTTGAACTTAGGTTTTTTTTTTTTTTCTTAAATAGTAATAATTATTTTAAAAAAAATATATATATTTTTTTATATGAAGTATGAAGAATAATTTAATATAAAAAAAATAATATTTTGTCTGTTTCGAATAAATTATTTAAAATATATTAGTAAAAATAATTATTAAATAATATAAATAATATACATAAATAGTTTAATTAAGATTAAAATAATTTTAAATTATTTATTTTAAAATATAATTAAAATTTATAATTATTTTTTTTAAAAAAAATTAAACTATATGGACAAACCAAAATAAAAAAAAATAAACAATTTATGTGGGATGAAAAAAATAGATTATATTAAATTGTTGATTTTTTGTGACTAGATATAATATATATATATATATACACACACATTGTTTTAATATGTATATATATTATACTATATTTATAGAAAGTTATGCCATTAAACAAATAGATTAAGTAAACAAATTAATAATGTAATTTCATGAGAAGATAATACTCTCTTATACATTGAGTAAAAAGTACTGGTAATTTTTTATTTTTTTTTTGTCCTTATGAGTGTATTAATGTAAAAAGTAGTTGTGTAATAATAATGAAAATGTAAAAATAGTTTTATAGTGATATGGTTATTTATGAAAATAAACCATTGTTTTAGGATAGACAAAAATGATAAACAATTGAAAAAAAGTGATAATTTCTTTATATTAAAAATAATAATATATACTCCCTCCGTCCACAAGATAAGTATACATTTACTTTTGGCGCGGAGATTAAGGAATAATAGTATTTTAATTATAGTGGGTAGGTAAAAGTAGTGAAATGACATTTTTGCCCTTACTTTTTTGGTATAAAAGTAATGATGTGATGTAAAGTAAGAGTATTTGTGGAAAAAATGAGGTATTTAATGAAATTGTTACTTTGTAATTGGACGTCCAAAAATAGAAACATATATATTTTCTAGCTGGATGGATGGAGGGAGTATTACTTTTTTAAAAGATAATACGTGTTGTGGTTCAAACTTTGAATAAGGTTATAAATTTAAATTTTCTATAATATAATCCGTCGAGGGTGACTTGCGACAGCTTATATTAATAAGGGTGTGTTTTTTTTTTTTATCAATTTTTACCCAATATTTATTATTTATTATATATTTTTATTTTTTTATAATTAAATATTCAAATATTTAAAATTTAAAAAATTTATTATTCAATTTTCAAACCAAAATTTAAACTCCCAAAATAACAAACCCTTGGAGTTGAAATGATTAAACTTTGACTTTAGGAAATAGTGAAAAAGTAGTGGCCATTACGCACGCGGCAGCGTCGATTATACCACACTCATCATTGGCCTTCGTCGTTTACTCCAGACAACAATTCAAAATTGACTCTACCCTCGCATCTGCTGAGCTCCATCTACGGTTCCGCCATCATTGCTCAATCATCTGCTCCGGTTTCCCGAATAATTGGAGCCATTTGGGCTGTCGCCGCACCCTGGCTTCAGATTTCCTTCTTCTTCTTCTTCTGTTGAATTTTCAGGCTTTGTCTGGAATGGCGCAAGGGGATTACGCCGATAGCTTGCTGAATCTCGAATCCGTGAGGAAGAGTTTGATTCGACAAGAAGACACAATCATCTTCAGTTTGATCGAGAGAGCTAAATATCCTCTCAATTTGCCCTTGTATGATGGTGATTTGCTCGGTTGTAATTCCTCTAGGTCTTTGTTTGAATTCTTTGTTAAGGAGTCGGAAGCTCTGCAAGCTAAGGTATATTTCTTCGTAGCCAATTCTCCATTTCCTTTGCTTACATGGATAATTGTTTAGTATGTGGATAAATTGATCATTGTTTGATTTTTAGATTCAGGTTAATTCTGTATCCAAATTATGGTAATCTCTTGTGTAGTTTATCTGTAGGAGGGTTGATGTGTGCACCACTTTTGATTTTCGGTTTCGTTCCTATATAATGGACAAATAATAATGCCTAAACTGATACTTGGAGTGACTGATTATGATTACCGACATAGATTTTTGAAAATCTGATCACAAATCATCACTGGAATCAATGTGGAATCTAGAATTAACTAAATGCTTCCATGGTAGGTACTAAACTTTGGTTTCTTTATAAATGTCATTCTGGTTGGCTACTCAGCGGCTGGCATCTTGAATTGGTCATCAAATACAAATTCCGATGAATCGAAGGAAAGGAGATAAAAAAAAGATAGACAAACTTAGTATAGTTTGGATTTTACGTGATCTGTAAGCAGCAGATCTCCCAATCTTTTAGCATCCACTACTTCATCAATAGGAAATAACTTCTCAGCTCATTAATCTAATTGGCCTAGAGGTTTGTCTGCTTATCTTTCAACGTATACACTTGACATAGACCTAGATAATGTCTTGGGACATGAAATCTGATTCTTGGTTTTGGAAGGTATGTTTGATTGCATTTCAGGAGGATAACTTGTATATGAATGAAAAAACATCCTTATGCATCCTAGAAGAAGATTTCAGGCATTCATTCTTGTTGATGTGTATCCTGATTGTTTTTTAGGCCGGACGATACTTGTGGCCGGAAGAGAATGCCTTTTTTCCAGATAATTTGCCTACTTCTCTACTGCCTCCACTCAACCAACCACCAGTAAGAATTAACAATGGTTGTTTGTTTCACAAATTTGAATTCCTTTCTGGGATTTTTAGGCTTGCCATTTCAATCTTAGGTTTTGCATCCTCGGAGTGCTACCATTAACATAAATGAGAAGATAAAGAAACTGTACCTTGACTCATTGCTACCTCTCATCGCCGCTGAAGGAGACGACAGGAACTATGCAGTTACTGCTGCCAGTGATCTAAACTGCTTGCAGGTAAACTTTACAGTCCGTCCATTCATTTGTTCCTCGTACATTGCACTAATTTCATTAATGTTTCATCCTTCAGGCCATATCTCAAAGAATTCACTTTGGAAAATTTGTGGCCGAGGTTAAATTCAGGGATGATCCTGAGGACTATATTCCAGCTATACGTGCTAAGGTATACAGTGCCTCAACACAAGTTCTTCGATATCAATTTCAAACTCTGATTCTGCCATTGATTTCAGGATAAGGAAACACTGATGAAATTACTGACTTTCGAAAGTGTGGAAGAGATGGTGAAGAAACGAGTGGAGAAGAAAGCGAAGATCTTCGGGCAGGACGTGGGAGTCGAAGATCATTCCAGCAGCAGCAGCTCCTACAAGGTTGATCCATCAGCAGTTCGTAAACTGTATGCAGACTGGGTGATCCCTCTAACAAAATTGGTCGAGGTCGAGTATCTTCTTCAACGTCTCGATTGACCAATCCCAAGATTCTCCTACAGACTAAATAATAGACTAGTGCATGAATATTGAATATGCCAACAGCTGATGGCTGTCTTTGATTCCCAAATGCAAAGTTGTCACAATAATCACACACTCGTTAATTATTATGCATTTCCTCACGTGCTAATTGTAATTCCATCTTGTTAAGTCCCACATCGGAGAAATGATGATGAAATATTCCCTTTATAAACTCCCGCAAGGAGATTAATGCTCGCCGGGCTTTGTAACGATAGCCTGTGACTCAAGTGAGGGCAATGAGTGTTGGAATGTTGGGCCGGCTCAGACGGGCTGGGCTTGGTTGCTATCTATGACCTGCCCATTCCAAGCATGGAGTTGGGCCATGTTGCTTGGGCGAAGGCCCAGGTGATGTGTCCCTTAGACCGGAGGGCAACGCGCCAGGCTGGCTTCACAGAGCAGCGACAACCTCCCTCTCCTTGCAGTGGAAGGATAACGGGCCGTTGCAACTCTGGCCCATCAAAGCCCAATGGGCCTCCATAATTAAACCAACACTTTTTTTGTTGCCTCTAATTATTATAAATTAACGAGATTTGATTATATTATTAACGTTGTCTGTAGGGGAAGCACGTGGGCACGGAAACATAGTACAGAGAGTTGGGAAAGTGACAAGAGAATGAATATGTGTGGAACAATCAGACAGACAGACAATCCATAATTATGTTATGTGAATTTTATTATCTGGTAGAGTCAGACAGAGGCACAGATCGTCATGGTTTCCTTTCCTTTCCTCCCATTGAAAGCCAAGTAAGAAGCTAAAGCTATTTTAGTGTTTCAGACAGACGCACACACGCACACAACAAACGAAACAGAGAGCAAGTGTGGCTGCGAAGAAATGTATCACATGGAGGTGAAATAAGTATTCCTTACACCCTCAGCAATTTCGAACCTCCTTCTTCCCACTCCAATTTCTTCAATGCAAAGATACTGCCTCCTACACACACTCAAACATAGATTATATATATATATTTATTGCATTCAATTCGTGCGGTGTTTATTACATTCTCACCTGTCTCCGAAATCCCCTTTTCGAAGATTTTTGTAACGCGAGCGCAATGTGAGCCAATAATAGGGTTTTGTTTCCCCCGGCGGTGATTTTGGTGGCCGCGTATGGCGCTTTTCCGCAAATTCTTCTACCGGAAGCCGCCTGAAGGGCTTTTGGAGATCTCCGATAGGGTTTTCGGTACGTTCCAAATTTCCCCCTTCCTTTATTTAACATTTCATTTTCAATATTCCTTCTTCGTATATACACTCTGATTCTGGAAATTTCCAGTATTTGATAGATGCTTTGCTGCAAACCTAATTGAGGGAAACGGGTATCAAGTATACATGGGGCGAATTTTGAATCAAGCCCGAGAATACTTCGAAGATGCCTCGTTCCTGGTGTTCAACTTCGGACAAGGAGGCCATAGGAACCAATTCACAACCTTAGCATCTGCCCACGCAATGACAGTGATCGATTATCCTCATCAGTACGAAAATTGCCCTGTCCTCAGCCTAGAAATGATCCATCACTTCTTGAGATCCAGTGACAGCTGGCTGTCGATCGGGCCGAGGAATGTGCTCTTGATACACTCTGAAGACGGGGCTCTGCCGGTGCTGGCGTTCATTCTCGCAGCTTTCTTGATTTACCGGAAGCAGTACGGCGGCGAACGGCGGACTTTAGATATGATATACAAGCAAGCGCCGCCGGAGCTTCTGCAATTGTTGTGTCCTTTGAATCCATTGCCTTCACAGTTGAGGTATCTGCAGTATGTGTCGAGAAGAAACATGGGCTTGCAATGGCCCCCCCTGGATAGGGCCCTGACATTGGATTGTATTATTCTAAGAATCATTCCCGACATGGATGGCGAGGGGGGCTGCCGCCCCATCGTTAGGATATACGGACAGGATCCTCTCATGGCTGCTGATCGAACTACTAAGGTTCTGTACTCTATGCCCAAAAATGGCAGAGCTGTAGGGTATTTCAAGCAGGTACTCTTTGATTGTCTGAAATTCTTGGGAATTTTTTTGGCATAGTGTTTTGTAAATTGTTGCGATATTATGGTGTTTCAGGCCGATTGCGAACTTGCTAAAATCGATATCAGTTGTCATGTACAAGGCGACGTGGTGCTAGAGTGTATTACTTTAGATGAAAGGTTAGAGCAAGAAGAAATAATGTTCCGAGCAATGTTCAACACTGCATTTATCAGATCGAATATATTGATGCTTACACGTGATGAAATCGATACGCTGTGGAATGCGAAGGATAAGTTTCCGAAGGAGTTTAGAGCAGAGGTATTTAACCCCTTTCTTAACATCATTTGAAATCGATGTGTTGGATGATGTTGTTTATGGTTTGAATTTTGTTGGATTTAAGGTGTTCTTCTCTGAGTTGGATGCCTCGTCTGCCATTGTCGGATTAGACTCGCCTGGCGTACAAGACATTGAAGGTCTGCCCATCGAAGCTTTCTCCGAGCTTCAAGATATGTTTGGATTGCTAGAGGTGATGGGTTCCAAGACTGACATTGCGCAGAATGTGATCCAGCAAATGACTGCCACCGCCATTCTTCGAGAGAATTTGGAGATCAATGCTTCAGCTACGGCTGGGAGAGAAAACTGGCAAAATGTTTTTCCCAAGAGTTTGAAAGATGAACAGTTGGAATGTGCCCTTCTCCGAAATGCTATCGAAAGAATGTCTGAAAGTGGAGCTATCGAAGATCATGTGTCGCCATTGGCTTCTTCTGCATCGTCTCAGTTCAAAATCAGATTGCTGTCGACTCCTCAGGGTTCTTCTTCGGGAAGCTCTGTGCAGAATTCGCCTGTTGCTGTGTCGAGATACCGCGGTGCTACTGGTATGCCGTCGGCTCTTGGGATTACAGCGCTTCTGCACGATGATGCTGGTTTTATTAGCAGAGAAGTTGCCTGTACATCGCCAGAAACTTCCATTTTAGGAGGTTTAATTACTTCACCTCATCCGCCACCGTCGCCTTCATCACTGCCACCACCACCACCTACTCCTCCTCCACCTCCACCTCCCCTGCCATCTTCTTCAAATGCAGTACCTACTAACAACCCCACTGCAAAATCACCTCCAGAAGAACAATCAACCTCAACCACAGGCCGACCTCCTCCTCCCCCTCCACCTCCGACACCTCAATGTTCTGTTAACGGAACTTCGGCAGCTGTAGCCCCAGCGCCACCTCCGCCGCCATGTCCTCCCAACTCTGTCTCAAAGAATGCACCAGATAAGGAATGTGGAACTGTTCCTCCTCCACCTCCTCCACAGATGAATGGCCTATCAAAATCCGGCAACATACCACCGCCGCCATTGGGTGCAAAGGGGAAATTGCAGCCAAGAACAAACACAAGAAATCAGGCGCAGGCGAAAAAGTCATCCCTCAAACCTTACCACTGGTTGAAGTTAACGAGGGCCATCGCTGGCAGCCTATGGGCTGAGGCGCAGAAACCCGAGGAAGCTTCAAAGTATGGTGTTATGCCTTATCCTAAATTATTCAGCATAAATTTCTATAATCATTGTGTGTTTTGTAACAATGTCATCTCCTCTTATATCATTTAGAGCTCCTGAGTTAGACATGTCTGAACTCGAGAGCCTTTTCTCAGCCGCTGCTCCGAATTCTGGGCAAGGAGGTGCCGAAGGAAAGGGAAATAAGCGTGGCGCAGGGCCTAAATCAGACAAAGTTCATCTGGTACATCAATTTTTTTCTCATTTTAAATATAAATGCGTCGTAGTTTCAGCTGATCTTGCTGTTATATGCTGCAATTCTTTCTGGCTTACTAGGCTTTGAAGTGTAATCTTTTGAGCATTGATCCTGTGTAGATTGAGCTGCGGAGATCATATAACTGCGAAATTATGCTGACAAAAGTTAAGGTTCCTTTGTCCGAGTTAATGGTAGGCTAATCATTGATTCTTTACTAGCATTATCTTTTGCAAAATATTTATTTGATTGTGAATTAGGAAAGAAATGAAACAAAACTTGTTTGTTGTTCCCTTTGCATTGACACATGTCTTCACAGAATTATGTCCTCGCTTTGGATGACACAGCACTGGACGTCGATCAGGTTGATAATTTAATAAAATTTTGTCCAACCAAAGAAGAAATAGAACTCCTCAAGGTATGTCTTTTTGCTCTATCCCTTCATAGTTAAGCAAGTTAAAATAACTGTCTGACCGAATTCAAGCATCCTATTTTCGATCTACTTTCCAGGCCTAACCATGTTCTTCTTTCAGAACTACAAAGGTGAAAAGGAGAACCTCGGAAAATGTGAACAGGTGGATAAGTCGATTATCTTAGACTTACAGCATATATATCATACTCAGTTTACAGGTTTATATCATGTTTCGATGCCCATTTGTGTCGCAGTTCTTCTTGGAGATGATGAAAGTTCCTCGTGTAGAGTCCAAGCTACGAGTTTTCTCGTTCAAGATTCAATTTTTCTCCCAGGTCAGTAGAAAGTATAGCTCACACAATGCAACTTTAAATTCTTGTGTTCGTGTATTTACCTGAAATTCTCTGATTCAAGTTAGTAATAAAATTTTGTTTCTGCCCCTGTTCATCTTCAGGTATCTGATTTGAGAAACAGTTTGAATATTGTGAACTCTACTTCGGAGGAGGCATGTAATCTCACTCTTTCTTTTCTTTATTTTCATTCCTGCATCGAATTTTTTTATCTGAAACTGATTTTTATCAGGTCAGAAGTTCTGTCAAGTTGAAAAGAATAATGCAAACAATTCTTTCTCTGGGTAATGCCTTAAATCAGGGCACGGCTAGAGGTGAGGGAAAAAGCCATTGATTTCCTCATCCTCTTTCTGTTGTCGGATTTCACTTGGTCGGCCCAAAAAAACCATCTTATATTTTAAACCACGGTTTCTCAGGTTCTGCGGTTGGATTTCGCTTAGACAGTCTTTTAAAGCTTACGGAAACAAGAGCGCGGAACAACAAGCTCACTCTTATGCACTATCTGTGTAAGGTATGAAATTTCACAATTAAGGATAATGTTGTTAGTGTCTTTTATCGAAGTTGATCATCGTTGTTGACTCATAATATCCGACAAATCTTTTAGGTGCTCGCTGAGAAACTGCCTAATGTTCTAGATTTCCACAAAGACTTAGTAAGTTTAGAGGCTGCGACTAAGGTACACGATAGTTGCCATTGACGTTCTCGTTTCTTGCTTTTGTGTATAACTGGAATCAATATACATGGTCAGAGATGTTTTTCTGTAGATTCAACTGAAGTATTTGGCAGAAGAGATGCAAGCCATCAACAAAGGGCTTGAAAAAGTCGAGCAAGAACTAACCTCGTCTGAAGATGACGGTGCTGTTTCCGAACAATTTTGCAAGGTTACACATAATACTCACTACTCTTTGATTCATTTCCATTTCCAACCAACTAATTATGCACAATTTGTAAGTAGATTTTGAAGGAATTTCACGGCTCAGCCGAAGAGAAAGTGAGATCGTTGGCTACGCTCTATTCGGGAGTAGTAAGTTCTAATCCATGTTAGTTTCTTTTCCGAGAAATTTCAAGCTATTAATCTAATCGACTCTTGAAAATTCTATACAGGGAAAGAAGGCTGATGCATTAGCCCTTTATTTTGGGGAAGATCCAGCCCGATGCCCTTTCGAGCAAGGTTTTTAATTATCATCTTATATTCTTACAATTCTCGACTACATATGAGTATTTGTGTTCATTTCCTCGGATATGTCTCTTCAGTTGTCGCAACTCTATTAAATTTTGTGAGGATGTTTCAACGTGCCCACGAGGAAAACTGCAAGCAGCTAGAAATCGACAAGAAGAAAGAGCAGAAAGAAGCTGAAATCGAGAAGGCGAAAGTGAATGCTTCTAGAAAAGTTTCGGAAAATGAGAAAACCGCGGCACCATAGGATGAAATATTTAGAAATATATATATATATATATATGGTAACTTGTAAGTATTGAGGGATGATCCATTTTTATTTGGTTTTGATTTTGGAGTTCCAAAATGATTCACTTTGGCAAGTAATGAACAATGTACAGTTTTATTTATGGGTGTTGTAGTGATTAGTGAGCAAGTTTGAAACTTTAGTAGTGATAAAATGAATGTGAACTGAATTTCCATTACTTAAGCATCTTATATATCCATTGATTAAAATTATCCAAGAAATTCTTGATTGATGTCATCTTCCTTCAAGCAAGCACCCAAAGAAATCCCATGATTTCAATCAAGAACAAATGTAACTTACCAGATTTGAATTCGGCTTCAATTGAATTGTAGATTCAGAAGACCAGCTTGTCTGAATTGGAGAGGCTGCTATCATCTGATGCATCATCCAAAATTCTGCCGGTGATGGCGGCTGCCAGAGCTTCGGTGAAGCTGTGATTCCTAATCAATGAGGAAGCCATTTGTTCCACAAGCAGCTGCTGGATTTCAGTGATGTCCGCTTTTGAAATAGTACTTTGATGATCTGATAAATCAAGGTTGGATGCTTCAGGCAGGGATGAAAGGCTGCTGCTGTCGCCACGGTGGTTGTGGCGGCCGTCGTAGGTGGCAACTAGAAGAGATGGATCATCGGCACTTCTTTGAACCTTCAGGATTCAATTTAGCAAGTTATGATCGTTTTGTTCTTCAAGAACTGTTTCTGTTATACATAATAATTTATGAGAATATCTTCTTCACCTTCTTCTTGACAGGGCAGGTTGGAGCATAAGAGCATCTGTAATATGCTCTAGGAGAAGGATTATCTCTGGTAACCTTCTGTCCATATTTTCTCCAATGGTAACCATCTTTTACTACCTGCAATTGTTCGTTAATGGAGAATTTGATTAATTTTGGTTGGGAAAGAATTTTGAGCTAGATTTACCAGGCTTGTATCGGATGGATCGATCCGAACGTGAACTTTGGAGATGTTGGATTTGATCTCCTTAGGCGTGCCTGGCGAGCATTCATCGACGCATCTGCAGCTCCGAATTATGGACTGTGGATTTCGGATTTCATCAAAATTCCTTTTCCTTGAGGTGGAGATGTCTCCAGATTGTTTCTGCATCAAATCAATCAAGTTTCCGCACACCATTGCGATCGCATCGTTCAACCTCCGGTTCTCCGATTTCGTCCGATTCAATTCCTGGATCAGATCACCGTACCTCGCCTGCGCAATTCACGAACACGAACAACACACAGTTCTTCATCTCGTCTCCTCAATTTCAACCGCACACAGAGCATAGAATAACAAAAAATAAATTAACCGCAATTCAAATAAACAACCACATCACACACACACCTCGCCATTCGAAGCAGGATCGCAAATCAACTCCGTCTTCTGCACAACAACATCATACATACACTTGCTCAACAAATGAAAATCGCAGAGAAACCGAATCGAACTCAAACCTATGTAAAACCAAATCAACGTATTATTTCATTAGATGCAGTACTGCTGCATAACTGCAGTCAGTCAGGCAATTAACTTACCGTATAGGATTGATGATCGGCATGGTTGTGAAAAGGTTTAGCGTTGAGGTCAATTTCCACGGCCCTGTCTTCCTCCATCCGCAATTTCAATTCCGTTGAAAGAAAACAATGAATTAATTAACTGCAATTGAAGTGAGTGTATGAAGAATGTGCAGCAACTATTTAAAGGAATAATGTCTGAGTAGTCTTCGTTAAATTAAGCGGTCGAAACTGCCCAGAACTTTACATTCTCCCAAGGTCAAAGTCTTCATTATAATTTCAATAATTTATTAATTATATATATATATAATACTATAAATAACATATTAAAATATAACAGACAACACATCGTATTAGTAAATAGTATAAATTTATATATAATGTGTCATTATACTCCGTTAGTCCCTTAACAATCTATCCATTTTTCTATTTTGGTCCGTCCCATAATAAAGTATCAATTTCTTTTTTTACTAATTGTACTATCTACCTAAAATTACAAATACCCTTCCAATTTACAATATATTACACAAACGTCATTACTTTTATATCATACAATACTAATAGGTTAATTTAGTCTTTTTACTATTATTTATACTTTATCTCAATATAATATTAATATTTCTAAAACTAGATGTGAGACAGATGGAGTATTTAATTTGCATAGTAGCTATCGTCATATATAATCATTGTCGATGTAGTTTCGTATTATTCTGAAACACGTTAACTATTTGAGTACATATTTATACGGGCATTTTTTAAAAAAGATTCTTACAATTATGTACAAGTGATTGGATGCTAAAATGGACTATAATTTGCGTGTGATTTTGTAGTCTTGGTTTGAATTTGGATTAATTTATATGTTTACTGTATAAAATAATATATTTTTATAGAAAATTGTAAAAATTGCACTGTAAAAAAATATATATATTGAAACAAAAATTTAAATCAATAATGTCTAATTTATATATAATTGTAATTGGTAGCTTGTTAACATTTATAATGAGGAATATTGTGTAAAGTGTCAAGAAATTGTATCAATTGTTATTTATTTGCAACTATTTGGTATTTTCATAAAGTAACTTGTTAAAATTGTGTATTATGAATAAATGGTTAAATATTTTTATTATGACTTATAATGGATTTATAAATATTTTTGTTTGAAATACTCAAATAAGGGAGTTTTTGTTTGTTTCAGGCTCCAAACAATATTTAGTTACAAAACTAAAATGATAAAAAGATTCGTTATGAAATTTTAAAAAAAAAATCTTATGTATTTGCGGACAGCGCCTATTTGACGGACACATGTGCTCTGACATGCGAAGCGGATGCCACGTGTGCGATGCTTTGGTGCCAAATACTAAAAAATTTACTTGCAATATGATTTTTGTACAGACTCTAATTACAAGTTTGAAAAAAAAAAAAAAAAAAAACAATTTATCAAAAAGAAATAATAATAAAAGCAAAATTTCAACTAAAAGGACCCTTACAATAGTTGTGTTTTCTTATTTAGGAGTATTTCATTTGTATATCCAAAATATTTATATTTACTTTTGATGTGTAATTTAAAAAAGAAGGTAATTAAATAGTAGTTGCTGTATATTTTTTTTTATATAATTTTTTTTCTTATTATTTTAACTTGATATAATTATATACATACAATTATTGCCAAAAAGCACATTAACGAGAAACATGAAGTCTTCAAATTTGTGGTCCTTTATTTATTTATTTTTATTTATGTACGATAATTAATAAAATCATATGAAAGACTAATTCAATTGACTGTGTAGAAAGAATCTTACTTTTTTGGTTAGGTTTAGTTGTCTTTTTTTTTTTTTTTTTTTTTATATGTTAAGTATTGAGTTAAATATTTAATTTTTGAAAATATATAAATATTATATATAACTAATGTATTATATTGTATAATTTATAAAATTAATGGGGAGTGTATGGAAAATTTTGAATTAGACGAACACACCCTTATATTCTTAATTTTATTTTTTTTATATTACTAATAAAAATAATTTAAAAACATCATAGTATATTAAGTAAAATTTGATGAATGTTTTAAATCGTAAAATTTTAAATTAAAATAATTATTTAATGTGATTTAAATGAATGCTTACAAGATATTTTAATTGTAAAATTAATTTTTAATATAATATAAAAATCTAATTGAAAACTTACAAAAATAAAAAAAATAAAAAAAGAGTCTTGTCCACACTATTAAATTAAAAGGAATTGTTAGAAATCAATGAAGGATGTCATATTATGTATGTTATACTGAATTTTGTCACATTTAAAAGATAACGTGTGAACTGAAAATTGGTAGCGAATACGAGGGTTGTTAGAAGATAATTTGGATAAGATCGAGGACGTGTATATAAATATGTAATAGAGAGATAAGGTTTTGACATTGTCCTTTTCTTTAATAGGAAGAAAACTAACCTGCGATGATTAATTAATTAATTAATTAATAATTAATTAATCAATTAGTAAAAAAGTGATAAACAAATGTAACGAGTAGATAGAGATGGTCGACTTTCTTGTTATATTCACATACAAATTTACACATATAAATTTAAAATTAAAGTAATTAAAATAATAAAAGAAAATTCCTCATTTTATTTACTGTATTAGAACACGAAAAGAGTGAATCACTCAATGTCTGTGGAGATGATCTCTTTCCTTATGTTACATCAAATTGTGATTACGGAATATGTGAAATATTTGATTGACCGTGCATCCCAAAATAAAAATACTATTTTTCAAATAATTGTATTACATATCTAATATAATAAATACCCTTCCAACTTACAATATATTACACAAATGTCATTACTTTTGTATTATACAATGTACTTTTATCTTTTTTACTAGAATATAATATAATACTAATATTTAAAAATCTACGTGTAAAAAAAAGTAAACGTCACCGTGGGACGAAAGAAGTATAATACTCCATCATTCTCATAAAAAAGTATTCGTTTTTTCATTTTGGTCTGTCTCATAACAAAGTATTCATTTTATTTTTCAGTAAATGTACTATCTACCTGATATTATAAATACCCTTACAACTTCCAATATATTACACAGATACCATTACTTTTATATCACATAATACTAATAAGGTCATTTTAGTCATTTCTATTTTATTCATACTATATGCCAATATAATACTAATATTTCTAAAATAAAAAGCAAATGGATACATAGTTATGCGAGAGAAGGAGAATTAAATATCAACTTTAATTTAAAACATATTTAATAATTTTTTATATAAAATATTTTATTTAAAATTTATTTATATTAAATTAAATATTTGTTGTTATTAAACAGTTTATTATTTTAATTTAATCTTCAAAACAATTCTAAAATATTTCCAAGAATATAGGAAGTCCAAATGAGCATGTGACGTCATATTGATGACCACAGGTAATAACAAAATTGCTGATGTAATTGTACGACCATGAGAAACACTCCAGTTGATTTCCACGTCAACTTTTTGTACTTGCTTCCCTACCTGGCCCACCACACTTTGCTCTAGTTTTGTTGTTTGGTCATTTTAAATAGTTTTTTTATTTGAATTTTTTTTTTGGATGATCAGAAAGAACGTACATGAAATTTAAAAAAATCTAAGTTCAATAATTTATATGTCATTTTAGAAAAAAATAAATTTATAAATTCCAAAAAAATAATGTGTAATTCTCATTCACATGGAAACACCAGTACTATTTTTATTTTTATGCATAAAAAGACAATTATTATTATTATACTTTTTCGTCTCATATAAATAATTAATATATTTATTTGTCCGTTTTTTAAAAAAATATATAGTTATGTATTTTAATATTATTTTAAAATTTGTAATTTATAATTTATTAATTTTAATTAAATTATTTAATTATTTTTACTAATATAATTATTAATTATACTATACTTAAGTTATTCGGCGTGTCCCTTGCTGACGGCATTTTTATGACATCAGGGATACAATATTCTATCACGTGGACTTCAGCTTGACTTTGACTTTAGTATTTGGGCCTAATGGTCCAAAATGTAAGGAGATGGTTGATGGCCCAATTAGAAGCCCAAAATAGTTTCCTTCATGTTGATGAATTTTCTAAATGGATGTGAACCCAGCTTTGGGTTTCCCCTTCCACAAGACAATTTTCTTCGGCTAACGTGGTTCCCTTTTATAATCCATTGGCTTTGCAAGAGGACTCAAGTTTGATCGAAGGGAAATTAGGTAAGCTTATACGAGCATACGAATTGAATTGATTGGGGAATTGGGATTGGAGTAATGGCAGGCGACGGAGATTTAAAGCAAAAGCTGCAGGAATTGCAGAAACGTCTTGGCAAGAAGCATTTGTTCGAGGAATCTGTTTGCGAAATTAGATCGCTCCTCCTCCAGTATTATTCATCGGTTTCACCGTCAATCCAGCAGTCGGTATGTGAATTATTTATTTATTCCATATGTTTTGTGCGCGCTATGGATGAATAAGTCGTGTCTATCTTAATTTAGCGATCCGTTAGGGGAGGTATTTTATGAGATTAGGTTTAATTTGGTCGAACTAGATGAGATTCTCGTATTCGAATAGAAAATTGAACAATTGCAGACCACTTCTTTGCTGCTTAATGTGACAACTGATTTTCGGGATAATTGTATTATAAATGCTTCAGCAAACTTTTGAATTTGTTGTTTGCATTTGCCTAGTTTGGAAACGCATATTGAAATTGCTTTTATTGCGAAATGAATATTATCTTTGGGCATGTTGGACTCTTTTAAGATGATAATTGAGACTTCTTTTAGAAGATTATTGTGGCATTGTATATATAGGAAGACTCTATTCCTTGATTGCGAGTTAAAATTGCTTGTTCTTCTCAGTTTTACAGTGTGGTATGTCGGGTTTCTACTATTTTGAAAACAAGATACACCTCACCTGGATTTTGGACTGCGGGGCTAAAGCTTTTCGAAGATGCCGAGAGGCTGGTTTCCAATCCTGCTGAAAAGAAACATTTGCAGAGTTGCATTACTCAGGCAAAGGATCAGTTGTTTGAAGCTGAAAACTCGTCTGAGGATTTGCAATCATCGAGGGGTGGAACCAATGGAGGTGCATTAACATCTTACATTTTGCAAGTACAGATTTTATCTTTGTCTTCCATTCTTTTATGTTACATTGTAATTCTTCTAATGTTTGGATATTGGATTGTGGTTATGTTTCAGGGTATTTGTTTGAAGGGCACCTTACTGTCGACCCTGAGCCTCCCCAGCCCAATTGGATGTTGCAATCAAATTTACTGACAGCAGCGGCTACCTTGTTGCATGGTGAATCATCTGGACTGCACGCAGAGGATGGTAACACCCGCGAACATGCTGTCAGTGCACTTCAAGAACTTTTTAATAGACTTGATGATATTGTGCCAGAGGTATTCTTTTTTGATCCCCTTCTTCCATTAATAAGCTTCAGTAAAGGCATTTTATTCAATTTTGTTTGTAGTTAAGAAGTAATGCTACTACTACATGATCATCGATGTTTTTTAGGAATAATTCAATGGGCTTCTAATTTGATTTCTTAATGTTTCTTATGGCATGTTCAATTTTGGTTTAAGATCCTGGACGACGATTCTGGAGTCCCACGAGTGCCACCTGCCAGTAAGGAGGTTGTGGCAAAACTTCCGGTGACTTGTATCACGGAAGAGATATTGGTAAAGCTGGGAAAGGATGCTGTGTGTTCCATTTGCCAGGAGAATTTGATTGTCGACGACAAGATGCAGGAGTTACCTTGCAAGCACATGTTTCATCCCCCTTGCCTCAAGCCATGGCTGGTAAAGTTTCAATTTTAGCCTCGAGTGAACTCATAATCTGCAACTTGTTTTCTAAAATCTGCAATTCCCTTAATTCTCCATATCGTGTTCTACAGGATCAACACAACTCTTGCCCAATCTGCCGACATGAACTCAAGACTGACGATCATGCGTATGAAAGCTGGAAAGAAAGAGAGAAAGAGGCGGAAGAAGAGAGGAAGGGCGCGGCAAATGCAGTTCGCGGCGGCGAATATATGTATGTTTAGACAATAATAAATTGTATCGTTACTATCTGCAATATTGTTTGTTGTTAAACACAAGAAAGTTTATACGACATGGTGTGTAGATGTTTGTTTTCATGGTGTTGTTCCAATTTAAGTTTTGGTGAGGACTTGGCCTACTCGACTGAGCCCAAGAAGCAATTTACCCAAGAAAACTTTTGAACTAAAGAAAATTGGAATCTTGAATTTGAATTTGTGGTATGTTCCTCTCCTCAATCAAGATCAATTATAAATCCACATTACACTTGTAATAGTTGGCATCATAATGCTAAATGTGACTTGTCATACCCATCATACAATATGGTCGTACAAATCAACATAGATTCTTCTGCACCAACAAATTAAATCAAAGATGGAGATGGAGGTGGAGATGATGGTGGGATTGAATGAATTAAGGAAGGTCGATGGTGAATGGAGGAGAAGGGCGGTGGAGAATGTGCTGTGGGGCTGTACAAATGTGTATATATACATATATATATGTTCGTGTGTAAGTATATACTATATATATATATATGGTCCCCCTCCCACCACCACCCACCCCACCCCACTCCATCCATGCACATACACGGCTATGAGCTGAAGAGCAGCCGAAAGCGACATCTCAGTTTTTTTCGATTTGAAAGCAACGGTGTGTGCTCTCTCTCTCTCTCTCTGTGCAGAATCATTAGCTAGCTCCCTCATTCATTGACTTTCCATTCCGATCCCACTCATTAATTACTCTTCGATGATCTTGTCTATCTTTTAATTCATCATATTCCGTCGTCGTTCAGCTTCACACTGCTGCAAGTACCCCCCACCCCCAACCCCACCCACCTAAATGCCTTAGTTGTATACTATAGTGTAGAAAGTAGAAACTCTTCATCGTTAATCGACGATCAAAATCCCAATAGCAATATTGCATGGCTTGCACTTGCATGCATGCACACCTACCTACCCAGTATGATATCACATATATATATGTATGTATGTATGTATATATATGATGAGAGAGAAGGAGGGTAGCCTGGTAGGGTGAATTAATTGCATTGTCCATTTGTTTGTAGGCCACGTGTACGGCTGTCCCCCATCGGCCGTTGATTCTGATCCGTCACATCCACCACCGTCTCTGTCCCCGCCATTTCCTGCCTGCATCCATGCAGGCCTTCCCTCCCCTCCCCCCCCCCCCCCCCCCCCATTTTATATCTATCAATACATCCATAATCTACAATCAATTCTTCCATTTTAATTGCAGTTGTTGCAAACACGAGCAAGTTGTACGCACAGAATGGTAAAGTAATTGTTGAACATATCTCCTGCCTGGCTGCCTCATTGTCTGATCGAATTATTTGACATGGTTGCCTACCTGCCTTGAGCATTCTTTAATTTGAAGTCCATGGCCAAAAAAAAAACACAATTTGATTAACTAGAAAGTTCGTACTTATCCCCAACCAGAGACTGTAAAAAGAATGCACTACTGAGACTTTGAGCAGCAACAGCAGTGATCCCAATTTGGACCACCGATGGCTATAAAATATTACAACTAAGGACAAGGGACCACCCTCTTTTTTTCGTCTCCTGTCTATCTTAGCAAACAAGTTTCAATTTTTGCAAAATCCTTGTCGTAATAGTGGATGTTTTCAACTTGCTAGATCAATATTTGGAATTGTTCATGTATGGATTATGGTCTAAGAATTTGATTGATTAGGGTTTTTTATTTTTTATTTTTTGGGGTTAATGATGGTGATGGGTAAAAGTAATAGAGGGCGAGGGGTGAGAGGAATTGTAATTGTACGTATGGGGAGGGATTGTGGCTGCATTCACATCTGGAAGTTGAAGAAGACAGACAATGAAGGCGCCCGCAATCGCGACGAGGACTTGTGCAGAAATATTTATATCGTAAGCAATCAGTCTCAATCAATTTTAACCTACTTTTTCTCCCCCTCTATTTGGCAACTTGGCCATCATCCCTATCTCAAATCTCGTTGCTTCGCTCGCTGCCTCCGATGCAGACATTTTTTTTCTGCAGTCATGGCGTGTGAAAGGAATCCCATGGAATTTTTAATTCCCAAATAATGCGATTCGTCGAAATCATCCGAGGCATCTGTGGCCGAACGGGATTGGTGAACCTGCGGCAGAATGGATTTTTTTGGTTTTTATTTAATCAAATTCAGGAAAACCAAAAAAGAGGTAAATGCGGCGGTGTGCTTCGAATGTTATCCACAACGGCGCAGATAGATAGGTCAGACCTGTTTTTCTTTTTCTTTTCCTTTTCTTTTCCCGAACCCTTTCATTTTATAATCATTTTTAGTTTATATACTGATTTGCCTGCTGATCATCGTTCTGTGAGGAATTGAATTCGATCATTCATGCATAATTTAGGTTAGGGTTTAAATTGGGGGAAAATATAATTTGGAACTTGAAGTCTTGAAGGTATCAACTGTTAGTATTATATGATTCATTCCAAATCAACAGTTCTGCAACTGAAACAAATTCCCAGGAAATTGCACAGTTGTAATTCTGTTTTTGAATTCATCGTAACAATTCAAAATGTACTCTGAGATCATGTTAAATAACGGAAACTGTTGAATATAATTGGAGCATATTCAAGATCATCCAAAAACAACAGTAGATGGCTCAGTTGATCCTTTAAACATTTGCTTTTTCTGAATGACGCTGCAGAGGCATGGTTCATCGAACCCGTTGTTAATACAAACTTAGGCAATCATAATCTTGAATTAATTGCCTTGGTGATGTGAAGTGTAAACAGAGTATATCTTGTAGATTGCATCATGCCAATCCACATTATGGATTGGTTATCTGTATCATGGAAAATTTTTGAAAATAGAAATGATGTCACTCATTATGGAGTTTGCTAAGTGTGACATTCGACTAATGCCGTTTGAAATTGAAGAATGCACGCATGCGTTTGTTTTGTTCGTGCGTACGTGTGTATTTAGCAAGATAAGCTTGTCGAGGTTCATGCACAGACTAAATTACGAATGCTGTCATCAAACAAATTGTTATTACTTCAGGGATGAATACATCCGAAATAATAATATGCAAACGATAATTTTGCAGCAGGTGCTGACATGGAACATTGTAAAAGGAGCATGAAACCGGAGGAAAACTGAATCAATGAGACAAGGGTATGGAGCTTTTCTGTCCTATTCTTGGTGTGTTTTTATGACTTTATAAGAGTCCATGTTCTTTGGTTCATCATCTGACTAATCTTGTCCGGCTATTAAACGGAAAACAATAGTTGTTGGGGCATCTCGTCACAAAACGATATATATGAATTATTGAAATGGTTTTTCTTGCAATCTATCAAGTGGAGGTTACAACGGTAAAGTGGCTGTCAGTTTCTATTGCCCTTTTGCTGAGGTTTCCAGACCATGGTCCAGTTGCATATGCCATTGCCATGCACACTAGAGCTTTCAGTAATTGCTAATCTTGAATTTGTTGCCACTCCAATAAGTTTCTAATATTTCCCCCAAAGAGAAAAAAAAAATTCAGTGAGGCATTAATGATTCAATCTTTAAATCTCAATTTCACTGCGTCGAATTCTTTTCCCTTTCTCCTTGTTTTAGTTCATAAGGGTAGTTTAATCTTGTTTGTGATACTGCTATGATTTTGGATGAATTTTAATGCATTGACTATTGAGATTATAAATTTGTTGACTTCAATTTTCCATTAATCATTGAAATGTCTTCTGTTCATGTGAATTCAAGAAAAGTAATTTTACAAAAGGCTGGTTTGAAATGATTTGCAGCAAGTTATGATGTAAGCAGCACATTTATGAACCTTGATTTGAATCCTGGAATCAATTTTAGAGCCCATCACTCTGGTTTGAAAATTTCTAAGACAGTTCAATGCTCTTATATATGTTTTAAAGTTTTTGATGCGGAGAATATGCTTTTATGGTAACATTTTAAATAAAAATATATTTTGAATGTGATATCTTAGAGATGAAATTTTGATGAACAGGGCGAAAACATGTAAGTAAATAGAGTGTGATTAGTAAGAACAGCAGTACACTTAAAAGATAGTTTAACTATGCTGTTTATGATTGATTTACTAGGGTATCAACTGCAAGTTTAAATTAGTAAATGAGAGCACTATTACTTTACTGCTATCTTAGTTGGGTCTAAACATGGCTTCATGACATAATTGAAGAAAGCTGGATAGTAAATGCCTCTGCTGAATGAATTTGGGTAAAGGGTCAATAGTGGTGGTAAGAATTAATTGAGGATGATATATATCACCATATATGCTGCTGTAAGAAGAAGGCAAAATCAACTGTGAAACCTCTTCTTCTAAGTTATCTTTCATTATCATTTAGTCAAGATAGAAAATGCAAAATAAATATATAAATAAATGTAACCACCCCCTATAGTTGTTTGCCACAATAGGGAAAATTCCAAAAGAATTTAAAAATCCTAAGGTGTGTGTTGCCAGCTATTTATAGCACCCACGAGCGCACCTCCATCCAGACCTGTGTGATATCTGCATTCTGTACTTGGCCTCCCAAAAAAGTGAGTAACATGTTTTTCTAAACCTACACTCTCTCTACTGTCCCCCCCTTCTGAGTTTCCAAAAACTTGAGCAGCCATAACTGAAAGCTTCAGATTACCTCAAAACAGAGATATGAGGGGTAAATCATCTTCTTCATCAAAGTCTAGAAATGGGGGGCTGGAATTTGAGAAGGTTGAGAAATCCAAAGAACCCCAATTGTCTGGTGCTTACATTCGTAGCCTTGTTAAACAATTAACCTCTTCAAGAACCAAAGATTCCTCGAATCTCAATGAGTATGAGAATTTAGAGGAAGAGGGGAATCAAAGTTCTTGCAGAAATCATCCTAGTACTAGATTCTCTGATCAGAAACAAGAAACTTCAAGCAATCAAAGTTTGTGCATAAGCTCTTGTGAGGGGTTTTCTGATGAGAAATCTCATCTCCCCCCTCAGCAGCACAAGAAGCAAGTCAGGAGAAGGCTTCATGCCAGCAGACCTTACCAAGAGAGGCTACTTAATATGGCTGAAGCCCGCAGAGAAATTGTCACTGCCCTTAAGTTTCATAGAGCAGCTATGAAACAAGCCAGTGAAAAGCAGCAGCAGCAGCAACAACAGCTGCAACAACAACCAAACATGGAGTCAGGGCCCGAAAACCAACCTTATGCCTCTGCTGCATCTCATCACCTCTGTTTGGAGCAAGAAGCCAAATTGAAGTCCAGGAGGAACCCCAGGATTTATGCTTCAAATTCTTCTGTCCCAAATAGTTTCCCTGCCAATTATATGGACGGTATCTCCTCCTACTCACCCGGGTACTGTTGTCCATATTCTTGGTCATTATCTCCAATGGCACCACCACCCATTGTCCAGGAAAATCTCAATTTCACTCTGCCTAGCCAGCCACTTGGCCTTAATCTCAATCTTCAAGATTTTAGTAACTTGGATGCTACTGCTTTCAATTGCAGCACCAACCCCTCATCGATTTTCTCATACTCAGCATCAACCTCTTCCTCTCCTGTTTCAGCTTACACCGATGAGAATCCATGCTTTGAAGCAGCCCCACCTTCGGTGGCAGCTGAAGCAGGAGAATATGGGGATTCAGGGATGCATCCAGTAATGGATGATAAGGAAATTGCTGAGATCAGGTCAATTGGGGAGCAGTACGAGATGGAGTGGAATGACACTGTGAATCTAGTGAATTCAGCTTGGTGGTTCAAGTTTTTGAAGGAAACAGAAATGAAACCTGAAAATCAACAAGGTGAGTATTTTGTGAACTCTCCGTTTGATGAAGTCATGGAGTTCCCTGCCTGGCTCAATGCAAATGAGAGCTGCTTGCAGCATGTCAACGATCACTGCTCTGATGGCTACTATCCAGAACCTGCTTTGCCATGGTAAGAATTGACAGATCTCTGTTATCTCTTGTTCTTCTTTTACTTTTATCGGGGTGGATAGACGATTACCCTTGTTTGATTTTCTTTATGTTTATGTTTGTGATGAGTTTCCTTGCCTCTCCTCTCCTCTTAGGCTGGAAACGAATTTAGGGTTTCCAATGAATCCAAAACCCTGTTTTTTCTTGAAGCTTCGTGCTATGTAAACATTTTTATTATTCAGATTGCTTTCATGGAAAATTTGATACTCAGACAACCAAACAAGGATAAAGCTTGATCCCCTTATAGCACATAATTCACCATGACTGCTTGCTTGTGAATTGTGAGAGCAGATTAACTCCTCCTCTCTTATTTATTTCTTTTCATGTTTGTTTTTGCTGATTAATTTGAGCCAATTCACTGATGAATTTGCATATGATAATATGTACTATATATTTTCAGCATGGACATTGAAGAAATTGAAGGAATGGATGGAGACTGGTTAGCCTGAAAAAGATTTTGATGGATAGCTGGGCTGGCTCTGTTTCTTCACAACAGCAACAATAATAATGATAATAGTAATAATCAGATTGTTGGTGGCCTTAAGCCTTTTTTACTGCCTTGGGCACCTGCGTTTTTTATTTGTAATTTTTTAATGTTGTTGTCGGCTCTGTTCAACAAGGCTTGCTTGAATCTGTAATGAACAGACAACCAAATAAAATAGTATTAGCTAGACGATGATGATGATGGGAAATTACTATATACTCCTATATATTTATTCAGTTATTCTACCCTTCCCTCCCCTCCCTCTCAACTTTTGTTGATTCAAGTGTTAGTTGTCGTACAAGTGGATCCATGCTCTGTACTTTCTTCCCCTATTCTTTATTAATTAATCAGTCCTAGCTTATGTTATTTATTTATTTTTTCTTACAGTCAGGTCAAAATCTCTGCACCAAGATCAGCTTATTTGTTGCTGCAATAACTCAATACATCAGTTTTGAATCTTGATTGTCAGCGAGTCAATCTCTCTCTCTCTCTCTCTCTCTCTCTCTCTCTCTCTCTCTCTCTCTCTCTCTCTCTCTCTCTCTCTCTCTCTACCATTAATAATTGATTCCAATGGAGTGCTAGTTGATGAGATTGTGCATCTAGTCATACAAGTTTGGGATCTACATTTGATCTCTTTCTTGCACATTATATAATAAAACAATGTAATGTATCTGTTACATTGATCTTCATGAACCTCAACATGGATGCTATTCAACTATGTTACCAGTCACTGAAACCACTTCTTTGATCCTTTCCAGGGCCTAAGACTCCCTTGTCGGATACCGATCGACGCAGTCAAGCCACGGGTTCCTCTCGGGCCTCTTGATCCTTCTCATTGATGTCCAGACGACACTGTTGCATTTAAAACCAGACCCGAATGCCATCTGCCAGATTCGATCGCCCCTCTTCACCCGCTCCTTGGCTTCCAAGTACGCAAGCTCGTACCAAATGCTGCTGCTCGATGTATTCCCGAATCTGTGCAGTGTTGCGCGCGATGCCTCCAGGTTCTCGTCGCTTAATTTAAGGTTCCTCTGCAGTTCATCGAGCACGGTTTTGCTCGCAGCATGCATGCAGAAGTGCTCGAATGCCAGCTTGTAGTCGGGGATGTAAGGCTTCGCGGGCTTCGAATCGAGGTTGTTGCCGAATAGAAGCTTCCAGATGAGTGTGGAGAAGAAGAAGAGCTGCTCGGAGAAGGGCAGCACGAGAGGGCCTAATGTAGTGATGTTGGTCTTGATGGCTTCCCCGCCTATTTCAATTAGGTCTTTGCTGATTTTGATTCCTCTCAGCTTCTGGTTGTCTTCTTCTTGATAGATGCTTCTGTTATTTGCAGAATTTTCAGAATTGTAGTATGATATCAACGATGCCTATAAATAGCGTATTACATACTCATACCTGAAGCTGCGATCATCAGCGCCTTTGTGAGTTCTGACGATGTGCTCTAGTCTGTATTTCGCACGGAGGTAATCGCGGCGGCGATTGGAGAGCAACACGGCGGAGCAGCCCATCCGGAAGTAGCAGTTGGAGATGAGCATGGAGCGGTCTTGCCCTGGGTACCAATTGTAAGCTACCATCTCCGTGCTCACTACCACGGCGTAACTGCTAGGGTTTCCCTGAAGCATGTCGCGAGCCAAATCGAGCGCGATTATCCCCGCGCTGCACCCCATTCCGCCCAAATTGAAGCTCAGAATGTTGCTCCGCATCTTGTAGTGGTTGATTACCATGGCGGAGAGCGACGGCGTCGGATTGAAGAGGCTGCAATTGACGACGAGGATTCCGACGTCTTTAGGTTGGATTCCAGATTTCTCGAAGAGCTCATCCATGGCGCCGAAGATCACCGTCGAGGCTTCCGCGCGGCCTTCTTTCATGGTGGCGGTTTTCTCCGGCGAGCCGATCGATTTAGGTAAGTAGGTTTCGTCTCCGATGCCGGACGAGTCGACGATTCGACGCTGAAAATCGAGGCTCGCTTCGTCGAATTTGCCGGACTTCCGAGCGAGTTCGATGAACTGCTCTTTACTCACCTTCATTACGCATCAATCAAAAACACAAAATCTCAGAAACGATTTGTCAATTAAACCACTCTCAACCGGTCATCTCCAAACTGATTTGAACTCCATACCTTAAGATCTTCATCCGGTTTGTAGCAGGCAAAGTCGAGAAGATAAACACCCCGCGGGCTCGACATGAAGTAAACTGAAAGAGTGAAGGCGAACAGCGCCACAGCAGAGACAGCACCGGCGACGTCGTAGGCGGCGGCGCTGTGCCCTAACTTCCGCCAGAGCTCCACCCCGCTCAGACTCCGAACGTCCGTTCCGAGAAGCAAGGCCAGGACCGGAATGACGACGAGGTACATTCTGCGATTAATCAAATAATGGTAACCTAGCCTGACATACTTGAAATTGACAGAGTGCACAAACTCCGGCAGCTTCCGGCGCACGGTGACTGAAAAATTCTTCAGGCGGGACGACTCCTCAACGCATTCCGTGGAGAGGAGGCGCTGCTGTATGGCCATGGCCAAGGTACACGCTCTGCAATTCTGTTACTAATTTCTTCGAACGATGGAAAGGGAAGATGATTGATGATTGTTGATTGTGTTCTTGGGCGGGGTATTCATTATATAATCAAATGGGTACAGGTGGGAGTTGGGGTGCCATTGAATTGAATAAGAGAGAGATAGAGAGAGAGAGAGAAGGGGGGTTTAATTAAGCAGGCAGTTGAAAGAAAGATTTCAAAGAAGACGCCATTAATTCTCCGGATGGCTATCTTCATCTTCATTGATGCTAAGAGTAGTTGGAAAGATGAACAACACAGTGACACATATACATGTCTTTCTTGTTTGTCCCTCTACCACGTTAATAAAATAATACATAAGAAATACAAGAGATAGATTTCACATTATATATATATATATATATATTATATATTACAGTGTAAAGACGATGGTTGGGTGGGTGGTTGTTAGTTGAAGAACTTGTACTTAATTGATCTATACAGAGAGGAAAGAGATAAACTATAAATAAATGATACTAGTAGTAGTAGCAGTAAAATTTTAGTAGGTCGGGTTGTGTTGGGTAGGGTAATACGTATATACTTATATGATAGTATTTTAATGAAGGTATTTATTTTATATTTATTACTTAAAGTCAAAGGCGAGGTGATGAACCAGTATGTTAGTATTTATTATTGGTTGAAGTCAAAGGTGTGCCATAAAAAAGTGGGCCTCTGTGGGGTTTGGGCTGACTCCGATACCACTCTTGTAATTGAATTTTAATATTGAATATTGACCGACCGACTAACTTTTGTCCAAAGATATCTGAAGTCAATATTTTATCATATTTTCGGGGGAAGGCCCAAATAAGTTAGGTGATTACCCATAGCAGCCCATTAACTAATTAATTATTAACCCTATTTCTTTCTATTGCTTATTAATATATACTTTTATCATTTGTTTTTGTATGTACAACTCTAAATTAGAATTATCTATATTTAAATTTATGTTTATTTTTTAAAAATTGTCTTAAGAGATATTTTTAATTTTTAATAAAAAATATTATTTTTATTTTTCTTTTTTACTATAGAAAGAAAAATTAATTATTATGACTTATTTTTATTAAAATTTATATCCAATAAAATGAACATAATTTTTTATGAAGGAGTACAACCCAACACTTTACAATTAATAATATCACAAATTAGAGATATGGAGGGATCAGAGAAATGAACTCGTGATATTTTTTTTGAATAACACGGGAACCGCAGCCGCTACCCGAAAGTGACCTGAGACGTCGGGGGTTTGAACCTATGACCTCACGATCACAAATCCAACCTCTACACCACCAGGCCATCCCTTACGGGACAATAAGGGAAGTATTTATTGAATGCACGTACGGTATGTAATGTTTTCTTGTCACACTTAAAAAGATATATACATGCAATATAAATTATAGGACATATGCTTTGTAGATGACTTATTTGGAAATGCTTATTTAATATATTATATTTATGGTTTTATAACTGTATATATGTTTCCCAATTAATTATAAATTTTTAAAATATTTTGCATAAACAACAGTAAGCTATACATTTTTTTTCCATACAAAATCTTGTACAATATATATGTACAATTTTACATTTTATGTGGTGTTCCATGCTTATAGCATATGCTATCTGTAATAGATCAATATACTATTCATTCATATATAACAAATATGATGTTGTATTATATATATTCGATATAAAGTAGCTAGAATAAAATATAAAATTGCTAGTTTAGCCCTAATACTAATAGCATGGAAATCAACCCTATATATGATATATCGATATTATATTGGTAGTCCGTAAGGATAAATGACTTTTTAGCCCTTGTGAGTATATCAGTATAAAAAGTAATGGCAGTTGTACAATAATAATGAAAATATATGAATAGTTTTACGGTGATATAGTTATTTATGTAAAATGAGAACAAAAATGGTAAACGAGTATAATTGTTGTTGATTTTTAATCTCACACCACGTGTTGTCAATGTCAACGGTACACATTATTAATTAACTAATATGTATGATAACCGACACATTATCATGGGATTAATTTAATTTAATTTAATTATATGGTAAAGTTAATTGTTTACCCCTTCTTTTCGAATAATTAATTCAATTTATTTAATTTAACTAACGACAAAGGTGCATGAATTAATTAATACTGCGCAAGTTTCACGCTGCTACAGTAGTGTCATATTATTATTCTTACCATAATAATAATAATAATTCAATTAATTATAATATGTGTTTTATTTATTTTATTTGTATGCATTAATTTTTCTGGTGCTACATTAATTAATTATTTATTTATTTTTATTTTTTTACTTCTAATTAATGGAAAAGAGGGCCTGAATTGGTATAAGTAAAGCTTTGTGTATTGTTTGGTTATTAAGAAATGAAATTAAAGCCATATGGTCCCTGCATTTTCATTCTTCATGTGATTGACAGGCATCCAAATCAATTCAATCCATCGAATGCCTATGGAGGAAAGAAAATTATATATAAAATTAACGGTACTATGGTAAAATAAAATATTTGTAAAAAAAAAATAAAAAAATGAAATTTATAATTACTAAAAAAATAATTATTTTATTAATTAAACAATTTTAAATAAAAATATGTATATTTGTGATATCTGTTCAAGATATATCCATAAATCTTGTAATTGGGTCAAGTTTTTGGCAACGTGCGTGAAATGGAGGAGTAGAGGACAAAGTTGTAGTCAATCAGACGATGATTATTACCTTCTTCGCCTTCGTTCGATTATTACGCACATGATGACGACATACATACATACATACATTCATATCCTTAAATTAAGACACATGAGATATTCCGGCCAATCATAATTATAGTACATCAAAATCTATATATATACGTAAACCTGATCACGACCGCACCACACATGTTACATTGATCTAATGTGATATAAACTGATAATATATATATATATATATAAATAAATAGTTCCTACAACGCCTATCACAATTAATAAGTTAATTTTCAGTCATGAACTAAATAAATAACACATACACATTGTATCAACTCAAAATATAGTATAGTAAGAACCCTAAACTCACATATCATGGGAGCCACTCTCACAAATATATATATATATATATATATATCAAGTTGCAATTTGGTATGAGGACATGACAAAATAAAATTATGACCCCAGACGTGGACATGGGATGTTCGAAAGAAAATGAAATAATTATAGGAATAATAATATATATATATATATATATACATACACATACGTATAGATCATAGTTAATCTGGCACCTGCAACATATGCGAACAGGGTTTAGCAGAAATTAAGAAAAAGGATTGATGATGTGGATAGATGGACGGTGTAGATCATCTGGTAGTCCAGGTGGCGCCTGGATCGTGCGCTGACCATGATTAATTAATTTCGATTGAGGACGTGGCATCTGGACCTGCTTCGCTCTGGTGTGTCCGTCCGACCACAATTGTCCGTACCACCGCTCTACGCTAATTTGACGCTCAGTTGGACTTTTCCCCTACCCCTCAATTCAACGCGCTTGTTTAGACTTGTGTTTTTGTCAACGGGTAGACCTCCTCAAAGATCGACTGTCCACTCCCATGGATACATACATATAAATACAAGTATGCTATATCTGCTATCTGGATCAGATCAGCCGCCAATTTCATATTCACCAATTGAATGCCATCCATCTGCTGTCTCATCGTTGTCTGCACTGGTTTGCTTTCCGGACATCATATATATTTTCAGAATGGGTAGGACACCCGCCGGCGCCGCCGCTGCTCCGTCGTCGTCGTCGCCGGAGATGATGAATATTAATAATAAGTACAAGGGCGTGCGGCGGCGGAAATGGGGCAAGTACGTGTCGGAGATACGCCTCCCCAACTGCCGCGACCGGATATGGCTCGGCTCCTACGACACCGCCGAGAAGGCGGCGCGTGCTTTCGACGCCGCCCTCTTCTGCCTCCGGGGCCCCACCGCCAAGTTCAATTTCCCCGACGAGCCGCCCGACATTGCCGCCGGCCAGTCGCTGGCTCCTACGGAGATACAGGCCCTAGCTCAGAGCTACGCCAACCGTTTCGGCGGCGGGGGGTCGAGTAACGCGGCGGCGGCGGCGACGCCAGGGGTTGAGGTGGAAGACACGTCAGCATCGACTGATTCTATCGATTGGTCGTTTCTGGACATGCTGGACTCGAATGTGGATGCGAATGCGGGTCGGGTTACGGATCTTGGACTATTTGACGAGCCTGGAGATCATATGTATATGACTCCGGCAGGGTTTGGCGTGAGGGATAATGCCAACTTCGTTAACGGCGACGGCGACGGTGACGGTGACGACGACGGGATTGCTGGGAATGTAATAAACGTGCCGTCTTTCCTCTGGAACTTTCATTAACAACTAATATCTGCTCGTAAGTAATAAATAATTGATATAGACATATATGTGTTTGTAAGTTTGTGGAGGAGATATATATATATATATATGTATGTAAACAAGTACTAAAATGGTAATAATACTATAATAAAAATTTTGTTGCAGAGTTAGCATTTAATTGGATCGGATTAGTGTACACTGTGTAGTGTACTAGTGAGAGAGAGAGAGAGAGAGAATTGAGTCGACGTGAATGTTTGTTTGTTTGTTTGTTTGTTTGTGATTGATTGGTTTGATTGAGTTATCTTACTTTAGCGTAATTTTTTGGTGCGGGTAGTTAAAAGTAGTATAATATATTTTTGCTTTTATTTTTTTTTATGTAAAAGTAATGATGTGATGTAAAGTAAGGGTATTTGTGAAAAAAAAGTAAAGTATTTAATAAAATATTTACTTTGTAATTAGACGTCCCAAAATAGAAATATGTATACTTCTTCTAACCGGGAGGAAAAAGTATATTTTTTTTTCTCACAAAATATCTCATTAAATATTATTTTTATATCAAACTCAAACCAAATTTTTTCCAAACTCATCGAAAGAAAAACACTGGTACACTATTTTATTTTTATTCGTTTACATTTGATTATACTAATATAAATAGTTTCAATTTTTTACACACAGACCACCAACTAGTATTGTAACTTTTTAATATATAAACAGAAAAAAATGTATGTATATATCATGCATGTTAGTGGATAGAGAAAATATATTATATTAAACTTATACTAATTTTTTTTTTTTATTTTAACTATTTACTTACATTATTTTAAACAAATACTTTTAATTTACAATTTTTTTAAATTAAAAATAGCTCAAATTGAAAACTAAGAGGCAAACCCTAAAAGGGTTCTGGGTTAAATTTGAAATTAAGCACCTTACCTAAACCTATATAGCTACATCTTGATAAAAACACTAAAAATAATAATTAATAAATTATTATTATTAATGAAAGACTCTTATACCCTTCTTACACTTTTCATTAAATTTTTTTTACTTATACTAACATAAATGATTGGACAATCATTCATATATTAGTTATAAATATGAGATATAATTATTCATATGAAAGTATATTAATTATATAATTTATTAATATTATATTATATATATATAGTTTAATAATATTTATATGATTATTATTTAATATTATTCTTTTTGATGTATAACATATTGTTTTAGATATATATTCGTTAGATTTTTTTGTCAATTTGAATTCTTGTTATAAAAATAATTTATCAGAATTTAAATTGACAAAAAATAAAAAATAAAAAATCTAACAATTGAATGTAAAATGTGTGTTTAGTTATTTTTTGAGAAAATTTTTATGATATTTTTTATTTTATGTTCTTATTTATTTTAATATAATATTTATATATGTATTTGGAAAAATAAAATAAGAAGAGAAAATATTTAACTATCAATAATATTTTTCACATATCTCTAATTTTTTCGCATTAAGTTCGGGATTTAGGTCAACCAGAGCTTGCATTTGAATATCTTCATTTCATTCACGATGTTATCTTCTTGAAAATCTTCATATTAATCATTTTTTTCTAAATCACTACCAAATAAATCGTATACAATATTTGCTATATTAAGTGTTAATTTAAATTTAACAAATAAAAAACTACATAATTAATTATTAATTACTATTAAAAAATATAAAATACGTTATTCAAGAAAAATATAACTGTTATAATTAATGAGAAAAATATTTTTTATATTTTTAATAAAAAATAAAATTTATTAATATGAAAAATAAAAATATAACCATTATATTTAATAAGTAGAAATAAATAAATTAATAGTGGTATAATAGTCTTTTACTATACTAATACATAATTAATAATTATTCTGCCAGCATATATATATATATATATATTGATTGATGTTTCTTGCATGCACGTGCAGTGAATATTGGTGCCCCCGACACCTTCCCCACTAATCCATTTATTATTATTTAACAACACAAAATATTTATCTCCTTTAAACAACCTAAAAAAAACACATTAATTTTTACTATTTAAATTTATATTTTTGAAATATAAATATTTTTCATAAATTTAAATGATGCATTTCAACGTGTCATTTAAAGATGAAAGAGTTTTAAATAAATTTTTTTTAAAAAAATAGCCGAATTGTTATTATTATTATTATTATGGATGTGACAGCAGCAATTGCAAATTGAAATAATAATAATAATAATAATGCAAATTAGCCACCACAATAATTCATTCACATATCTTGCGGGCCAGCTCAGCCTCTCCAACTTACACAATGTCACTAGTGTTGTCGAGTCAAAAATTAAAATTCTGTTTGTTGTATTTCGTAATTATGATAAATGAGCAAATAAATTATTTTTATCCACAAATAATATTTTTAATAAATAAAATACATAATTTTGAGATTTGGGATTTTGGACCACGCTTGATCATGGGCGCAAGTGCAACCCACTTTTGCGCCCTGTTTGTCTATTCACTAATTTTCACATGATCTTCCTCACTAAAATCAGATCATTGTATGTTCGATAGGAACAGGCGCTAGATACAAAGTTACATACGATATATAATCTAATTAAAAAATAATAAAAATAAAAGAATATCTTTTATGATCTTCTCTAGCAATTAATTAATGTACATTTAAAATAAATAAATGATTGCTTGGGATGCAATAACACATTGGGCCATGATATTTTAATAATGGTTTACTCTAGAATTAGAGAATATTTAATAATAATAATAATAATAATAAAAAGTTGGGTAAGAAGAATAAATATAAATGGATCAGTGTGCAAATTGGTATAATTAAGGGTTATGAAAGTAAATTCGTACGGAACAATATGTCCGTTTAAATCAACGGAAAAGAACAGAGCAATGGAAACCGGCCATGGCGTCGCTCTTCTCTTCTGCAAATTTTTTTTAGAGAGAGAAAGAGGAAGAATAAAGTGATTTCGATGAGTCACGCCAATTTTCGCTTTTCTGAACCACCCAAATAAAGCAGAATAGGGGGAAAAAAAAAAAAAAAAAAAAAAGCAAAGTGGAGGATACAGTCGCAATTTGTGAAAAGCTTCTGCGTAGATTCTTGTTCCGTTCAGGCTTTCTTTGAATCCTTATGCTCCGGTTGTGCTGCAATCATTTCTCAGTTGTCTAAAGTAAAGATTTGTGCTTTCTTTTTAACATTATCTCTTGCCTTTCGCATCGACTGTGGAAATATTGGATTTTCGAAGAAATTTTCAAATTTCTTGTGATGCGTCTGCGAAAGATGAATGCATTGACCCACTTTTATTATTGTTTTTTTTTCTGGAAAAAAAGGGCAAAGACGATTAGCGAGCAACGACCAATCTTCCATTATGTTTCTACACTTTGAAAGTTCAAATTAAGTGTCGTTAAGAGTATATTCTTATTCGTATTTCAAAACTTGTGTTTTCCCTCTCAAGAACTTTTGTTCAATCTCCGAACAATCCCACTTGATGGTTCTTGGTTTTACTTTAGATTCCGATTTCAACAGCTTGTTTATTGAATGATTTGAGAAAATGGGCGGTGGGATTGGAGGAGGGCGGGTGGAAGTTATTACCGGCAAGGGGTGTTCGAGGCGCTTTAGGGATTTCTCTGCCTCATTCAGGGGCATCCCCTCATTCTCGTTGGAGCCCTTCTCCCCAATTTCCTCTGCCTCTGCAATTTCTGACTCTCCAGTTACAGCAATCAACTCCGATGGACCCTTCTCTGGTCTAGTCATTTGCGTTACTGGATTATCAAAAGGTATGAACTCTTCATTTTGAATTCTTATAATTCAAATCTATGTTGAAAGAAATTCCCAGTGAATAAATTCATGGGGCAGTCTTTGATCAACTACAAAATTAATGATGGTATATGATTATTTCCCTGTTGGAGAAGGGCTTAAATTTCAGATTATTTCTTGTGTGGATTTGTTGTTTTAGCATCCCTAGGGACCTCAACTTCAAGCAATGTAATGAAAAATGAAAATGTTCTATTTTAGAAACAAGAAATCAAGTCAAGGAAGCGACGGAGAGATTGGGAGGTCAATACAGTGCTCATCTTCATCCTCAATGCACTCACTTGGTGGTTCAGATATCCTTGGTGCAATATTATTATTATTATTATGAATATCTTTGGTTTTGTATGTGCCAAAAGCCAGGTTTTGATTTGGTTTATCAAGAGTGTGCTTGGGTTCCTTTAACTATTATTACAGTTTCCACGGACGTAAATTCGAGCATGCTTTGAAACATGGATCAAAGAATGGGCTATTCCTAGTTACAATCGGCTGGTTTGTGGATAGTGTTAGAAGGAATGGTAAATAATTTGTTTCCTTCTTTTAATCACTTTCCTGTCTTTTTATCACTGAATACAAGTTTTTTATGGGTTTGAGATGAAAAATATTTGGTTTAAGTTACAATTTCTTATGATGGTGTTAAGTGACCAGCAAAATGAAATTTTCGACGAAATCTTTGTCTGCAGCTGACACAATAAGCATGTGATTTGTACTTGCTTTTTATTCGTAAATCCATAAGCTAAACTATTGGGCGAATCTGGGAGGTAAAACTCAAACAACATTGGTTGCATTTTATGTAAAGCTAATAAAGAACCACCTCACTTCAATGATTAAGATGGCTCATGTACACAATGTTTTGCAAATTAAATAATCTTTCTTAAACATGCGTCGGTGTGGACTTGAATAAGAGTGTCGATATCATACTAAATGACCATTTTGTATTTATTCGATCTGAATTTCTTGAACTAAAGCTATCAGTGGAATCATTCTTATGATACATTTAACATGGGAGCATGGTGTCATTTACTTATTATATGCTTTCCAAATGCATGCTTCATGTGTTAATCCATGGCATTGGGTATGTTTTCAGCTAGGTTGAACGAAATGCTTTATGGTGTTAATGATAATGAAGATTGTGGAACCCCAAATGGTGGCTCTAAGCGGTTTGAACAGAAGTCAGGTGCCGAGCGCTCTTGTCTTCCTGTTGGCTTGGCTAAGCCTTCCAGACAACCTGAAATTATTGATGCTCCTGGACTGCGGTATCCAGAGTTTGATGGTAAAAGACAAACTGTATCATCACCCCTGTCTGGACAATCCTTCTATGTTGATGTAGATGTGCCCCATGAACTCCGCAGTAAGGTAAACTTGAATTCTTGGAATTTCTATGAGGAATAGAGCACTCTTTGTAGTCTATTTCATTGACTGGACATATATGATGATTGTAGAAAAGCTTAGGCGCATTGTAGATTTACGAAATCATTCCTTCACCAACAATGATCTGAGAGATCTCTCAAATGGAACGCCTTCATAAAACCCCTTATTCACCTTCAAATATTCTGAGGGAATTTTTTGAATCGATCTCTTCGTAGGTTACTGAGGCTCTCTCTGCTGAAGGGGCTACCTTACTGGATCAATGGTTTGTGGGCTGCCCTGCTACTCATGTAGTATGTGAAGGACCTGCCACATGTAAATATCTGGGGCATTCGAGTCACCTTGTCACTGTAAGTAGTACCCAAGCTGTTTGCCAGATTGTTTTTCCCATGCCTAGATTATGACAAGAATTGAGCGTAATTTTGTTGGTTGATTTTTCAGCTGAGTTCTCTTTTCGATTGCCTTCTACAAAATTCTAGTAGTGCAGAGTATCTTAACCAATTCCATTTGGCTTGGTATCTTATATGACTGGTTATGGATCTGTATTTTGTTATTCGATTCAAATTCCATGTGCATCACATTCCCTTTTTTGATGCCAGCCACTATGGGTTTTGAAGTCGGTGAAAGAGAACTCATTACAAAGACTTGTCCACTTATCGGTTGATTTGGCTAGGTATACTGGTGCAATGCTCGATACATACCACGACATTTCCAGGGAGGTAAGCTGTGTTTCAATATACATATATATATGCTGCTAAATCTTCTTGTTTTCCTTAATTTTGTCGTTTTTGCTTACTAATCTATAGAGCTCCCTCATTCTTCATTCAGGAAATTAAAAGAGTAAATGGTTCTCAAAACATACCTTGTCCCGTCTTGAAAACAAGTCACGAAGAAAGGAAAATGAGAATGAACCTGGCCAAAGATGGTGTAAGAAAGCGCCGAAACCGCAGAATGCAGGTGCATTTTCTTGACACTATACTTTTCTTGTTAAGTGTACAACTTTGTCTTACATCAACGATCCTAAATAATGTGCTAAACCGCAGACATGCCAAACTCCAATTCGGCCAATATCATCGGGCACTCTCTTGGATTCCATATGTTGGTCAGTCTCAGAGCCTACGTCAAGTGCTAGTATATACACGGAGTCTTCAAGCGTAGAGAATGCCAATGATAATGACCAGACATCCGTCTTCCTTGATGCTAAGGAAGACGGAAAGGAATCCGACACTTCATTTGTGAACTTATCTCGACCTCTCACAGAAAGCGAGAAGTCTGAGTTAGTACTCAAGAACCATTTCCTCACGATCTTGTTTCCAGTTGATCGATTTTCAGAGATGGGCCCGACATCGAGGACATTATTCAGCAGTAAAGGCTTTATGTGTTTGCAGTTACTGGATTATATCTATGAATTCTACCAGGTAGACGACGCCGCTCAGCCATTCCTTTAATTACTCTTTTTGTCCGTCAAATTCATCTCAAATTGTTCTATGATCCTCAGGAGAATATGTCGACCGAGGAAATAGAAATGGCGATCCACACTGACTCGAGGCACGCTGATCGGCTGCGATTTGCTTACTCTAGCAAGGAGGCAGCGGAATCCGGGCGTGTGGAGTTCAAGCGGATTGATTTTCTTGGCAGCCGAAAGAGTTTTGAGATGTTGAAACGAGTGTCGGGCGACAATAACAGTAATGTTTACGAGTTACGGATCAGAGCATGACATTGCAGCTGCATTATGTATACATACATTTTTAGGATCTGTCAGAAATTCGAAATTCTTAGGCATAGAACAATGGTTGTGGTCTGAGATCAGACATCAATGGTTCGAATAAGGGATAGCAGAGAGAGAGAGAGAGAGAGAGAGGGTAATCTAGCTATCATCCTCTTTTCTTAGTAATTACACATTCATTTATATTTATTGTGCAGGTTATCATCTCCTTCAAGTGTGTATAATAGCAAGCATTATACGACAACATGAAATTGGCTTGTAATTGATTGATTACATGTGTCTGAATGTCATCAGAATGTAGTTTGCTGTTATTACTTCTTATGTTTGTGTCTGAATGTCATCAGAATGTAGTTTGCTGTTATTACTTCTTATGTTTGTGTCTGAATGTCATTAATTGCTAAAGTTCAATTTTCTTTGGTACAGATACCACATTTGATGTATTAAGCTTCTATGGAAATTACAGATAGCATACTACTTTTGGTGTATATTAACATGAAATTATATCCAAGTCTGTTATTGTTGATATCCATAAGTACATGATCTGGATTGTGATTTGACATTTTGACCCTAAAATCCTCATCTCACACCTTGTTCAATTCGGACAACATTTGAAAACCCACTTTCCTGTCACATCTCATCTAGCTAGCTCTCTTGGCTATCAAATTTCCATCACCACCAGCCACTCTTTTCTGACCAGCAACATATCTGATTTGATGGTGTCAAGATTTGAATTCAAGAAATCTAATCTTGATACATACATACATACATATATATACACTTCAACAGAATAATCCTCCCTCTTTAATTAAAGATCAACCAAGCTTCCAGCGGATATTTAATCTTCCCTTCCACTGCAAAACCCTAATTCCAGGTTGCAGCAACCCTAGCCCCTAAAAATTGTGGAAATGTAAAGAGACCATAAGATAAACAAGAGGCAGCTGCGGTTAGACGTGCAACCATTGCAATTGAAGGGTATAGCAACGCCTAATCACATTAGTAGGAGTGAAATTTTCAAAATTTTGTTTTTGTGGCAAACAATACATATATATATATATATATTTATATAATTCCATAAGCAAACCGTTTTTGGATATGGGTTTCGAAAGTTTGATGTCCTTCATTCCAACAATGGGAAAGGCCAAACTGGCCATCACAATAGCTAGCTTGCTTCCTCTGCCCTCAATCGCATCGCTGGGCCATTCATTTAATTTTCATCTCAATATATCTTTCCCAAGGGCTTCTCCCCTGGAAAAGAAGGCAAAACAAGAGAAAGAAACAAAAACTGGATCTGGGAATAATCAGTTAATCAGATATGGGTAGAGGCAAGATTGAGATCAAGAGAATAGAGAACTCGAGCAACAGGCAAGTTACTTACTCGAAAAGAAGAAATGGTCTCATCAAGAAGGCTAAGGAGATCAGCGTTCTTTGTGATGCTCAAGTGTCTGTCATCATCTTCGCTAACTCTGGCAAGATTCATGAGTTTTGCAGCCCTTCTACCACGTACGTTTTCGAATTATATTTACATTGAAGATGTTCTCAGCAATATTGAGCTGAATTAATAAATCCTTTTTGTTTTGTTCTTTTGAGAATCAAGATTGGTGGACATGTTGGATCAGTACCATAAGCTGTCTGGGAAGAGGCTCTGGGACGCGAAGCATGAGGTGCTTTTCATGTGTTTGTCTCTATTTGAAAATTGAAACCCTAGCTGGTCTTCTTCCTCTTCTTTTTTCTAAGAAAAAAAAAAAAAAAGCTGGTTCTTATTCAGACAATATGGTTTTTGCTGAAAGTAAATCTGTAAGAACACAAAGGATGACTTCCCTGTCAAGATCTGTAAACAGTTTTATATGTAAGTAGTTTATTTTCTATCTCAATCTCTAGATCTATCCCTAACCCTAATTTCCCTTTTTCTCTCCAATCCAAGTGTTTTAATTTACTCCTTTTCCATGTTAAGAATGCTCAGTTGTTCCATCTATGGACAGATCTGGTAAAAATATGTTTACCTCTTTCTTTCCTTTGGCAGCAAAAATTTATGACAAAAAGATCAACGAGTTTCACTTCAGTTTCTTAGCAGAGATTTAGAGAGATTTGAACATACATATATATATATATATATATGTATGTACCTCGGGGCTGTTATCAGTCCCTTCATACACTTCAAAAAAAAATTACTAATAAATAAAGGACTTCCAAAAATGCCTCTTACTTGGACTGTGGGTTCAATCAAACATCTATATGGTCAAAACTAATTGTAGATCTGCATATTTTGCCTTCTTTGGGTATGAGTAACATATATATATATATATGTATATGTATATGTACATATATATTATCTCATCCATTTTTAATAATTTCGAAAAATACAGCATTTGGAGAATGAGATCAGCGGAGTGAAGAAGGAGAATGATCTCATGCAGATTGAACTCAGGTCACATGTATATATATGTGTGTATGTATATATGTGATTATTAATTATTGATGATTTTATTATGTAAAATTTTCTGAAACTTATTAGGCACCTGAAAGGAGAGGATATCTCCACACTGACTTACAAAGATCTCATGGTGTTGGAGGAAGCCCTTGAAAATGGGGTTTCAGCTCTCAAAGCCAAACAGGTACCCATTGAAATAATTCATCACCATATGCATACATTCTTGCCAAATTACTATGCATCCTAACTTTCTGCTTTTTTATTTTCGAACAGATGGAGTTCGTGCGGATGATGAGGAAGCATGTAAGAATTTCACTTCTCTAAAACATATATATATATATATATATATATGTAGAAGCAGCTGATTAATGAAGATTATATCATTTGATAATGATTTCAGAATGAAATGGTGGAGGAGGAGAATCAGAACCTCCAATTCAAGCTGGTACGGTTTTAACTTTCAGACATGAATTTGATGAATCGATTTCATGATTCTTACCTGATGCATTAATTAACAGAAGCAACTGCATCTGGAAACCATGGACGATAATGTGATGGGGACAAGCACCCATCCCCACCATCAGGGCGTGTATGATCATCACCATGGAGCTGCTGCTGCTACTGCTGGGGATTACGAAGCCCAGATGCATCATCCTTTTGCATTTCGTGTCCAGCCAATGCAGCCTAACTTGCAGGAGCGATTCTGATATATAATTATATATATATATACATAAATCTGAATGCAGATAATGGGAAGTTATCTTTGATCTAATTAGTTAGCTTCCATTATATATATTTGAGGAAGACTGACCAAATGCTTCAAATTAAGCTTCAGACCAGTTAGTGTTTGTCTGTCTGGAAATGTTCGACTAGATCGAAACAAGTTTGGTTGTTCTATCATTTCAGTTTAGTACAATTATCTATCAATTAATGTATTGTCGAATGTGGGCCGTAGCAAATACATTTGATGTCCATCAGATCGGCCCAAAGGTTCTCTTTTTTGAGGGGTTGCTCTGCTATTACACAAAACTACATGGATTCAATGAGGAAAAAAAAGATCACTTTTTTGAATTTATTTTTGTGTTCTATATAAATGAAAAAAATAAAAAGATGGGTATATAAAAAAGCAGTCTTTTTGTTGCACCAAGATTTGGATTGGAGTAAGGTAATATATGAATTAATTAACCAATTAATAAAAGATACGCTTCCATTACATTCCAATTCCATTACAACACTTGCTCACTCTCGTTCTAATTCCAACAAGAAAGATGCAGCAGAAGCCATGGACAGAGTAATACCCTATTCATAATGATTGCCACCACCTGTATGTATCATGTATGTAAACCAGTTCACCAACATTAATGGTGTAGATGAAAGAAATTCGACAATGCTACTAAAACAGAACATTTAAACCAACATAGGTATCCCCGAGAGCATGCTATGCTGCCTGTTATTGCTCACAAACTTCCCAGTTTCAAGAGCTGCTTCTACTTGTATAGTTATTACTATGCTCTAAGTTTTAGTGCTTCTTTCCCCGTATACCCAGAGTCACCTCCCAAAATTGTTCGTGCTAGTGCCCTAAAACCCCAATCTCGCAGTCAACCACTGACAAACAACATCCATCTCTTCAGGAATTGTGTAATGACCAAGCCTGCGCGCAGGAAAAGGAATTATCGACTCGTGGGTTATTTGAGAAATAGCACAGCTGTTTGAAGTTTTGGTGTATCATCATACCTGTTATATGACCTAAATGTAAGATTTTGAAATCCAGCAGAACTCAGCACTCGCGCAGACTTTTCTCCATGCTCATGGCCGACCACATCGTCCTCTGTAATACATACATAAGTAACAATTTTCAAAACTATGAGAATTTTCCTGTAAGACGAAATGCCTTCAGACACCAACAAAGCTAATGAGTGTATAGTAAGCCATCCATCCACCTTTAATTGAGTTATTTAATTTGTCTTTAAAGTGTAGTGAGAGTTGAGAAATTTTCGACTTAGCTTAACCATTGAAATTACTAAGACATACCAGAGCCATGACAGAGCAAAATGGGCAATGATCTTGCACGTCGCCCAGCCTCGGGTGATCCTTCAACCCGAATCCTTAATGTCCTGGACAACAATTAGCCGGTTAGCACTACAGAACATTCTTATCACAAAGAGCAAACTGAGTGTTCTGCTCGGTAAATGTGTTAGGTGGATGAAAGTATATGAAATGAAACCTGGAACATGGAAGCCAACCGCTAAGACCAACAATGAAGCTCGGGTTAACTGGGTATTGGCTCCGGTGCCCATACTGACCAAAAATGTGGCACATGGCTGAGTAAAGAGCTGTTGCAGCGCCCATGCTAAACCCTCCGATGCCTAATTTGACTGGAAAAATGGCAAAAATGATATTAAAAATTGTGAAGTGATATGCTTGTGCAGATAGGATTTTAAGATGTTTATGAAACCATTACCATTCAGCTAAAAAGAAATGAATCAGATTGATAAGACTACTCTTTTGTGCTTTCAATCTGCATTTTTCTTTTCATTTCTTGAAATATGTCGAGGGTTGTACTCTAACAATATTCTTCTAAAAGTATAGCTTTAAAAAGGAAATGCACAATGCAGCGTAGAAGATACTTACTTCCAGCAGGTTCTGTCGACAAGAGATTTGCAACATGGGCTGCTGAGGCATCCAATCCTTCCACATCATCGGGTGCATCCTCAGAAATATCTTGCACATCAAACCCTGTAATATCGGTGTAAGCTCTGTGCTGCATCTTGATATAGCAGTTGAAAAAAGGAAATGAGTTCTTCAAACAATATTAGGCAGCAATCCACTATCTGTGGTTTGTTGTCTAGTGCTCTTTAGTCACTCTGGAATGGCTTTGAGACGATTAAGAAACTCAAGTAATGCTAAGCTTTGTGAGTAAATGTACAGAGTAAGGGAAATTTTTCTTACAGGCAGTGCAAGGAAATCCACCAAATAGAGACACTGGACGAGTGGGAGCCGTTGGACAAATCCATTTTACCTGCATAATGTTGGTTAAGAACAAGACAGTCGTTATCTACACATCTTACAAACTTTTCAACATTTGTTCTTACATTAAGCAAGTGGTTTTAGAACTAACATTAGGGAGAGGAAGGCCTTCCAATTGTTGCGACCAGCTGCCAAAGCAAAATGAAAGTTAAAAATCACCATCAAATTCAATTAGGATGTGGAATTATGTTCATAAAACAGTTCCATGGCCCATATCTTTTACACATCTACTTGGCATCCACATATGCATAAAACAAAAACCAGGAATAAAGAGATATGTAGATAAATAAATAAATAAATAATAAACCTAGTGTGTTTTTTTAAAATCAATCTGACAACATAGCTGCAGATCTCACATGATTCATGATACGATCTTGATCTTCAAGTTCACAATCTAGATTTCATTTAAATTACAAAACTTTATGGCATGTAATAATCTAATAGTTCTGGGACCACATTATTGAAATAAATCGAGAATGAACTGCTATAAGAGATAGAAAAAGAGTATATATATAGTGCCCAACCTTGTCCTAATTTTTGAGGACAATCAACAACTTCCAGCCTATGATACTTAAAAAATATAAACATATTGAGTACTAGGGTCTTGGAGGCAAAAGAATGGCTAGTGTGTAAGTGGTCCCCCTGTTTTATGTTGTCTAACAAATCGATTAAAAATTTGATGACAAATGAATATGTTGCTCATTATCAATCCACTGTTATCAGGTGCCGATACAAGAATGGAACATGTTAACATCACAGCATTCTTTGCAACCAACTGTTTCCTTTGATGAGTAATCAAGAGGCGGTAAACACAACACAAATATGAGAAATCATATATTGTTTACCTATATAGCAACATATGAAAATAACCAAACTTACTGACAAGTACAAGATATATTTTATGCATTTCAAGACAAATGAAATGAAACTGAACATTCCTTTCATCAAAATATCCCTAAATGACAAAATTAGGATATTATATTATACCTTGAGCCTTTATCACCAAGGCCATGTAGCCAAACTATGGTTGCTAAGTGCCTGGCTTTCGGCCTCACTACATAAGTCCTTCCAAACTCAAATGTAGTTGTGGAGGCTTGTCGACCTTAAACATTTAAAAATAAAGGTTTCAACACACACATTACACCAAAATAAAGAAGATGAAGTATATATAGTAGCTGAAAAAATCATCACATTTTTATTAAGTGATTAACCAAAGGAGGAGAGAAATTAACAGACCCCCAGCAGAGGTATTGAAGCTCATGGCTTAGCTTTGCTTCTGTGGAACACTTAATGCAGGAGAGTTTTAATTCGAGATGATTTAGTAGAAGCTCCTGCAATGAATGAATCAAAAGTCATATTGGTTCGACTATTTATACCAACTTCAGAGGGCGAAAATGGAATATGAAGAACTTTACACAGGTTTTCCTGTACAATTCCTAAAACAGCATAGCAAATGATAAGGAAACCCTTGAAAAGGAACCGTGGAGAAAGACAAAAAGGAAAGAAGAACAAGTCAAATTACAGAAAAGCTACAACCTTTATGACCACAAAGAATCCACACAGATCAAGAAACACAAATTCGCGAACAACCCATGAGCCAGCTGGGAAGAACTCCCTTGATTATGCAATGTACATTGTCAAAGAATCGATACGAGTGGACCAAATGGGGAAGAAAACAGGAGAAGCGATTGCCACCGTTCAACCCTATAATACTCTTTCTTGAAAACAAAAAATAAAAAATAAAACAAAAAGTTTCAACCAAGTTCACTAGTCAGGTTAAAAATCCCAAAAGAAAACATAGGAATCTTCCAGCAAAAAACCCCAGAATTTCAAAAGTTCACTTCATGGGTAATCAAGAACGAAGATCTAGTTAAAGAAACAGAAGAAACGGCCATAATTTATCTGTAAAGTGGGGTTTAAGGTTTCGCAGCAACCTAAAGTTGGCTCAGGAGTTCGACCTCCACCTCTCCACTCTGCTGTCCGTCCCCCCTTGGTTGGTTGGTTTGCCTACAGGCAAAATATATATACACACACACGTCATAATCAGTGGATTACTGCTGAATTAGAATGCTTAAACATACGCTAATGTCTTAAATTGGATTAAAATTTGTTGGCATAGTGTAATTATTCATTGTTCTCACCAATCTCCTGCAAACAGAAAACCAAGAAAAAGAGGGTTCAAGAAAACCAAGGATGATTTATATATACATACGTGTTCTAGATCTGTGACTCTGAATATTCTGAAGAATATATTATTATATAAATATGGAGAGAGGATCCTCAGCCCAGCTCCTCACCCCATAAATGCTACATATTTCTCAACTTGTCATCAGAATATCATTAATGGGGGATCACAATATTTTCCTCTTACTTTAGTGTCAGCACATTTTTGTCAAAAGTAGTATTCCTTCGACTTCCGTATGTCTTTTCAAAATTTAAGATTACATATTCCGATCAAAAAAAAAAATTAAGATTACATATGGTTGGTTGAAGTTGGAGGAGAAGAATAATAAGCTCAACTTAAACTGCAGTGCTTATATCTCGAGTTTAGATAGCAATGAGATTTATTTGTTTTGAGCATAGATTCCTCCAAAGATTTATGCACCTAGGTTGAAGAAATTCATTTAGCATTTTGTTTGTTTCGTTGTAAAGTGTTTACAGTCAATAATACCTCTGATCTGTTAATTTTTAAATGAAATTGATTATTTAATAAAAATCCAAGACAATCATTCACTGATGTAAAAACACAAGGCGTAAATTAAGTAATCAATCCAGCTACACTTTTTCGAATTTACATAGAAAGGCATCTTCTCTTCTGTACCTTAAATTTCAACATCTGATAAATAGACAGCTGTAAATGCCTATCTCCTCGTATTATTATTATTATTATTATATCTGCCACTGCCATTGAAGTTAAACAATCGATTTTCATTGTGCACATGAAGCTATAAACACTTGAGAGAATTCTTGCAAATTGATCTAATTAATTGTGTGCATGAACAGACAGAGCGTATGGAGGGGCACTATGCATAAATAGATCTACAAAAAGGTATCTCTCCCACTGCATACATATGTTTGTGTATTCAAATAACATATGACAAAAAATATACTTGAACACAAACCCTGAGCATTTGCAGCCAACCATTTCATCATCCACTGGAAACGGTGTCTCAAATAGTAGATTAAGTTCGAAAGTATTTTCTTACTCCCATCAGAATGTTGATCAATGAACACAGGCTTGCTTTACTCATCCCCTCTGATTCCCTTCCAGAGTATAATCTGTTCATCTTTGAATAACAGAGGAATACAAGGAACTATGTCCTGCACAATAACAAAAATATGAAATCAAATTCAATTTAATTGAAGATATATAAATTTAGACAAGATCAGAAACAGAATCAAGAAACTCAAAAAGGCTAAAATTAGGTAGGGGGATTCACAAGTACTCTTAATTTGACGCCGATCTTCTTGCAGTCGTTCGTGCCCACATGAGCACAGTCCAACCGAACTACATCTTCACTTCTGAATGCCGTTCTCACTTTCTCAACGACGTTTACATACACACCGTTCCTAGCTGCAGAAATCATAAATAGGCTGCAAGATCAGGCAATGGATATAACCCAAAAACTATAGATAACTAATTCGGACAGATAGATAGTTACTGAGTTTCATCAGGGGAGTCGAATTAAGCCCTCTGTTCCTCAATTCCTTAGCTTCCTCATATGTCAGGCCATCGGGAACATTCTTCACGAGCTTCGGGTAAATTGGCGCAAGAGGCTTCCATAACATTGTCGGAATATGCGGCCGTGCATTAGGATCGTAGTTACGGCCCCGGTACAACAGGAGGATGTTTATTTGGCGATGGATGATCTTCCCCCCAGACTTGTCCTACAAACACACTGCAACCTCATTAGCTAACAAATTGATACTGCAGATGTTGTTAGAAAATTCCGAGCTGTTCTGGTTCGTCTTAGAACCTCGAGATGGAAACAAACGTTGTCCATGTCGATCGTTGGCACCCCCAGAACCTTTATCCGTACTGCCTCTGCTCTTTTCCAGTGGTTATGGATGTCTTCAAGCGCGTTGTGTGTAACTCCTCCCCTTCCTAGGATGATCAAATGTTGTTTACAGAAAGATCAGACAATGCACAGAAATTAGAAGTACCAGAAACTGAAATTTACCCAAATTGATTTGGCGTGAGCAATCGCTGTGGCGATACTTCTCCACGAGCGCGGCGACCTCGTCGTCGGAAAGTGGCTCCCCCAAAACCCTAGCTCGCTCCGCCGCGAATTTCTCCAAATCTGTCTTCTGCTTGGCCGGAGCTCTAACCCCAGTCCACTTCCGATCGAGCCGGCCCGGGCCGAAGGGGGAGAATCGCTGGGGCTCGCGGAATCCGATGGGGTTCACGCCAGGGCTGTTCTCCGAGTAAGAGTACATAAAATCAAACGGCAAATCGGACTTCGCCGGTAAGTGCTTAGCCGTATTGAGATTAGTTCCATCGGAAACTTTGGCAGTCTTACCGGAACTGGTTTTCAGTTTGTTTTTCTGATTTCGGGTTTTCAATTGGGTGGGAGAAAAGGGGGGGTCGTGAATGTCGTCTTCTGGTTCGGCGGCAGGCGAACGGCGGCTTAGAAGACGTGAGAAAACCCTAGACGATGCGGGTAAATGAGGAAGAGATCTGACATAGCAAGATCGAAGACGATGCCATGGAAAGAGCTTCGGCATCGGGGATGCTATACGAAATTATTAATTGGCTGCGCAGGAATCTTGCAGTGAAATAAGGTCTACCTTTTCAGGAGGCGATTTTCTTCCTAGCGTTGGGTTTCCGCCTGGGCTTTCTTCTTCGTTGAGAATCCGGCGATGACGGCCAAGCTATATTGCACTTTTGGTTGCCCTAATTTTATCTATAAAATGAAAATGCATTATTTTGGGGGGAAAGTTACCATTGCAAGTCTATTGAAGCCATTGTTACTACAAATTCCATTCAAGAATTATTTTTTTCTGGGTTTGTTCCAAGAATGCAACAGACAGGAAAGCCAAATCCAAATCATTCTTGAAGATCTTCAATTAATTGATAACTGGCGTTTCTGAAGGGAATCAAGATCACACAATCAAACTCTATCAACCATACTCTGTTATATTCGAACTACATACATGGCAGCTTACAAGCAGCTGAACCAAACAAAACGACAATTCAAGAACACTTATATATTGTATGTATATATAATCAGTAAAAACTAAGTTGAAGGATCATCTTCATGGGGAGTGGCGACCACAACGAGGTTCTGTTTTCTTCCGACAGCAATCCCTTCAGCCTCAGTCATGTCCAGATCACAAGGCTTCACTCCATCGGGAAGTTCCCAGTCGAAGTGATACAGAAGCTGAGCCAAAGGCAGCTCGACGGCAGCCAACCCGAAGTTCATCCCGGGGCAGATCCTCCTGCCCGACCCAAACGGCAGATACTCAAAATGACCTCCGAAGAAATCAATGGAGCTATCCTCAAACCTCTCAGGCATAAAGGTCTCAGGAGCCACCCAGTAGTTAGGGTCCCTCCCCAACCCCCAACTGTTGATCAAAACTTTGGCATTCACCGGAATGGTGTAGCCATTGACCTCACATTCTTCTCTGCACGCCCGTGGGACCATAGGGACTGCAGGGTGCATCCTTAGGGTTTCTTTGATCACCAATTTTAGGTATTTCAAATCCCTAATTTCAGCCTCATCGATCGTCTCCTTCCCCTTGAAAGCTTTCCTCACCTCAGCTTGCAGCTTTGCTAGAACCCTGGGGTTCTTCATCAATTCCGCCATAGCCCAATCCAGCGTCGTGGAGGAAGTTTCTGTTCCCGCAGAGAACATGTCCTGCAAGAAAACGACAAAAATCATTACAAATTGGAGTCCATTACAACGCCAGTGGGATCTAATTTGCTAACAATGCTTACAAAGATGACAGCTTTGATGTTGTCTTGGGTAATTGGGAACTTAAAATCTCCACTTCTCTGCAATCTCAGCAAGACATCAACGAGATCTTCATTGCTGAATTCTCCATTTCCCATGGCCTGATCCTGATTCTGTTTATGCTCATCGATCAGGCTGTCCAGAATGGAATCCATTTTCCTACGCATCTTCAAAAGCTTAAATCTGTTCCAGTTAAGGATTGCGAGCATCTTAACTGATGGAAACAGGTCAGCCATGTCAAACCCTCCTGCCATTACCACAGCTTCCTTAATATATCCGATCAATGTCTCCCTGTCCTTCAACATCTTCCCGAACGCAGCCCGGCATGTTACAGCACTGGTAAACATGAAAGTCTTCTCTGTCAGGTTGATTGTCTTGCCTGAATTCGATCGAACCCATCCGATTAGCCGGGAAGCCTCGTCCTTCCTAATGTTCTCGAATGATCGAACGTTTTTGACACTCAGTAATTCAAGAATGCAAATTTTCCGCATCTGTCTCCAGTATTCTCCGTAAGGGCTAAAGGCAATGTCGACGTAGTCGTACCACATGATCTTGCTTGCCAGGCTTTGAGGCCTGCCGGCGCAGGCCGGACACACGGTTTTCAGCACCTCTTTCGCCATCTCCGGCGAGGAAACAACGATGGTGGAGACCTGGCCGAGTTTCAGGTGCATCAATGGGCCGTACTTCTTGGCCAAGTCCCGGAAAGCGTGGTGTGGAAGAGAACTGATAATGTGGTGCAAATGGCCGACCACCGGCAGCCTCCATGGCTCCGGCGGCAATATTTTCGGCGGCCCCACTGTTTGGGATTTGGATTTTGGGTTTGATTTCCTGTTCCATTCCTTTGTAGCCAAGAAGATGAAGAGGATGAGGAGAATGAAGTTTGGGAGATAATCCATTTTGATTTCGAATTCGATTTCAAGACACTGGATGATTAACGTTTATGGAATTGGTGGAATTCTTTGCTCGTAGGTTTCGATATTTATAGTGCATGAGTTTGAATATTAAACTATGTGATGTGATGTGATGATGTTTCTCACACAATTTCTTATCCCTGACAGGTGTGTGTGTTCTTGAATTTCGATATTTGAATAATTAATGATTGTTTTTTCGGTGGATTGAAATTCCAATTCTTGACTAACATCCTATTTTCCTTCAAATTTCTTCCTCGTGCTTTGGTCTTTCGACGTCTCAAGGAAGTTAAGAAAATAATTCATTAGAACGTGAAAATATAGACAGTTAGCAAGCAAGATTTGAGGCTTAGGAGAGTATTTTATTTGAATTTTTGTTACATGAGATCTATGAACTGTGTGTCTTCCATATGAAAAATAATACTTTCTTCGTACGCCTGTAAGAGCTTCATTTAGTGTGATTATATTTAACATTAAAAATATAGTCTCGGTGTGATAACATTATTATTATTATTATTATTATTATTATTAACTAACTGATTATTGAATGAAGGTTTCTTGCTAAGTAAAAATTCTTTCATTAAACATACTTGTAATTGAGCCCAAGTCAACAGGGGAGACCTACCTACGTAAGTAAGTAAGCAAAAGTCTTCCCATTAATTATTCTCCACCAAACAATTAATCATATACTTACATGAAATCAGTAATTTATACATACATGTTTGAGAGTTGAAACTTATACACAAGTTTACATTCAAAGTCCAAGTCTTTAACCCTATTAAATGATCTCATCTGTCTTATTTACTTTTTACATCCATTCAAAACAAAACTTGAAGAAGAAGAAGAAGATTTTCGAGTCTGGTCATTCTCCATTTTCCACTGCAAATACTAGTAATTATTTATTTATTACTAGTAAATAACTAATGCATGTAGTATTTCAATACAAATAATACACTGACCAACTAATTCACATTCTGAATTGATGATTTCCTCTGTGATCAAGAAACTGAATGTCTCCTAATTCTTGAAGACGACGACCCTGATGCTGAGGACTTCATTACACAACTTGGGCTCCTCGACACTTGGATCTCCATCTCCATTCCCATTTCCGAGCTCCTCGTCCCGCCATTTTCGAGCCCCTTTCCTGTAATCCACAGCCTGTCAAATATCCTCCTCGACCGCAATGGCAATGGCAACGGCAACAGCTGCCCACCTTTGCTACCCTCTTCCTTCTCATTTATCATCACTTGTCCCCTAAGAGACTTGGATTTTTCCATCAATGGCAATGGCAGCTTCAACTTTTCTTCATTGTTATGATGACCACTTGCCATGGCTGCTTCTCTTCCTGCTGCTGCTGTCGTCGACCTCACCTGCTCGAAAAACAGGACTTGAACGACAGTGCGTAGAGGCAACAATTCGTTCTGCGCCACGTGCATCGTCATGTCAGTCGTGAATTTCTTGACATCCATAAGTCCGCACAATCGCTTCCTCTCGGATTTTGCTAAACTTGGATGCTCCTGCGATTCCAAGTTTTGTCAGTCTTATTACATCAACAAAACATTCAGTATGTGATTTTTCATTGCAAGAAGAGCTAGCTAATGCACCTTCAAATAAACATCAATGGCAGCATACAGCCTGTCGTGAACAGGTCTCGCCGAATCAGGAATCCCTCGCGCCAATTTTATAAAGCTCGACACCGAGAGATTAGGATCATGACTAATGGCTGCAAGATAGCCATCCACAACTTTCGCAATCTTCTGCAAGTTTGCACACTTGGAATCAATTCGACTACCCCTGTTTTCATCCAAAATCCGCTGGACAAGATCGACGTCATAAACTGTAGTCCGAGGATGCCTCGCAGGGATCAAAAGATCGCTCGAGGAAGCCTCGTCCAATTTCAAAGCGACCATTTTTATTACACCATCCTTCAACGAATCATCGGCTTCGACTAGGACGGCGACTCTGAGTAACTTTAGCAAGAAGCTGCAAGAACATTCGACGCCCTTGTCTGAAGGCAGCAAGAACACTATAGTTTCAAGCAAGTATTTGGTTCTAAAGATGGAATCTTCAGACACCATTGATTCGAGAATTGTCTTCGGCGGCAACCATCTTGCGGCGTAAGCCTTTAATGCCTCCCCGATCACACCTCCATCCATTAAACCTTTCGATTTTAAGGCTACCATAACTCTCTTGTACAGATCAACCTCCAATTCACAGATATCTTCGATCCACCAATCCTTTGGGACAGAATCTGTTTTTACAGGAAGCACTGTTCCTGTCTGAACTACATGGTTCGATTTCCTGTTGCAGGTATAGGACCAAGTGACGGCGGATGGATGGACTAGTGTTTTGGATGCAATGGAATCTATGCACGTTTCGACGATCTTCAGATTCTCAGACCATGTAAGAAAGGGCTTGGCAGTCTGCAGAACAATGATGGAATCTTTCCAGCTTCGAAGAATGCTGGAGTTGAGAAAGATGTCGATTTTTAGAATCAGGTTTCCTCTGTCGACTTCCTCTGTCATCTCAAGATACTCTGCGGCGCAGCGCACAGACACGACATTGTAGGGATTGAGAGTTACCGTTACACCGTAACAGAATTTGGCGCAGATTTCAAATGCTTTAGGACCGCCGGGGAAATCGGGTAACAGAATTTCGTTTGCAGGTGTTCCATTGTCGACTTCTGGCACAATTAGGGTTTGCATCCTGTTGCTCTTGGACAAGAGGGGAAACTGCAAAAGGAAAATCTAATTCCAATCAAACAAGAAATCATCCTTAATTGAGTTTTTAATTCAATGAATCTTACCTTGTGGAGATAGAATTTCACGTCTCCTACAATTACGATAAAATCAGTAGGCAAATCGGAAGACACATATCTGCAAACAGTTCAACAACAATCATCAAATGGATCGAACAGTAGTAGTTCTAAAAATGTCATTTGTTGAGTTAGTGTAAGAAATCAAAAAGTTGTGACTGAAAACTGACCTCACACAGCTGCCTTCAGCTTGGAAGGTATCGGGCTTTGATCCTAACTTCATGAACTTCATCTTTCAACTTCAAGAAAGATATATATCGAAATTACACTGGCAAGAATCGAATAAAACAGGATATATTAATCGAACAAAACCAGAAACTGCAGTCAGGTAAAACAGGATATATTAAGAGCAGCAGTACAAGCACAAGAAAACAAAACCTTAAATCCACAGCCCCCAGCAGGATCAGGATATAGAATTTTTCCTGGGACGTCGAGCCAAGCAGGGAAACGAATTTGCTGATCATCGCATGGCATGAGATCATATGCGCGATGAAAATGCATGGATGTGATGTCATTAATGGTGACAGATTATAGCCCCAACAACCAAACCTTACCTTTACTTCCAGCCGCCTTTGTGTGATATAAAAAAACTTGTCGTCCTCCTCCTTCTGTCCTGATTGGCACTGCAAAAGATCTCGAATCTCAAAAGATCCCACCTTTTCTGAACACACTGAGGAGCTTGTCGCTCTCTGCCTTTTTCCTGAATCCCTGCAGAAGAGTGATGAGGAAACAGAACACTGTATTACAGTATGTATCCATATATATATGTATATATCCATCCTCCTATCCCTATCCCTAGCCCTAGCCCTAGCGTAGCGCATTCGTGTGTGGGCGTAGTAGGGCTGGCTATGGCGTGGCTGAATCGTACGGCTGACAGGGACAGAGTGGAGAAACTCTGTAATCGTCCTTTATTATGACGTTGTTAATGCACGCCAAATTTAATTGACCGTTTTGCCCCTCCCTGTAGTCTACTCTATTCTCTCAAAATGAATAATAAATAATATTATTATTCCAATAATCACTCCTAAGTCCACAAATCATTAATTAGTGTAATTGACAAACAGTAACGTACTCCCTCTCTCCAAAAACACCCTGCAATATTTCATTTCGACATGTCTCAAACACTCTGTAATATTTTTAAAATAAAAAATAATTAATTATACTTAATTTTTATCTAACATTATCCAAATAAAAAAATAAAATATATATTTCTCTCTCCATCACATCACTTAAAATTTATGCGAACAAAATCAAATGTTGCACCTTATTTGGAATGGAGGAAGTATTATTTAGGACATGCAAGCACCCGTCGATTTGTATGTATGCTTATTGATGGATAGGTACGTGACCATATTTGGTAGGGGACCTGATGAAATTGCCTCATTTGGTACACATAATTAAGTCCAATTCATTGGTGTTTGGGACCATCCAATCCAATCTAAAAGAAAAATAAATAAATTACATGAAGATGATGGATGGATACAATCATACAACAACTCAATTAATTAATGAATTTAGATATAGCAAATATAAGTTGGTCGGTCAATGGTCATGAACTCCATCACTTCATTGCAAGTTAATACATCCCATATATTTATGAGTTATTACAAATCCCTTAATTATATTAAATCATATAACTTAAATTGAATATAATCAATAACAAAATATTGCATAATGAGTAAATAATAAAATTCAAAAAATAAATATACCAAAAATAATTTTACATTTCTATTCTTCCTATATTAATAATAATTTATTCGTTATTAATATTAATATTATTTTAATAAAAAAATATACTAATTTTAATTATAAATATATTTTTCGAAAATACACACAGTTCTCTACTCTAAACTGCTAGAGCCGCCGGCCCTAGTATCCATCCTTTTCCTCTTCCTCAGAGGCCCATTTATTAACAGATACGGCCCAGTTTAATTAAAGCAGTCCAGCCCAATTTTTTATTTTGATTAAATCCCTAGGAGTAATCAATATTGTTTAATTTCATACATATGCTTGCAATATTGTCCCTAGTCCTTAGTTTACATAACTTATTGAATAAGAAAAAATGGTATTTATTAGACATATGATATGCTTTCCCGTTATGTAGTGTAACATAAAAGCAAATGATTTAGAGTGTAAATTAGAAATAAACCCAAATATGAAAATCAGCACCTAAATTAACTCCTATAATTTAGTTGTAACAAATATATTTATTTACTAGTCCTTGCGTCGGTGAATGCGTCTGAGTGAATCTCGTTCTTTATTATTTTGAGAAATAATAATAATAATAATAATATCTTCAATTTTGGAAGGGGAGTGGGGCGAAGGAACTGAACCGACAAGCTTGAGATTCACACAAGAACAGAGCCCCATTCCCAGTTCCCATCCATTTCTTCTCTGCGGATCTGGGGATTGCACTGCTCTGCTTCTCCTTCTGCTTCGGTCCGCCATGGGAGGGGCAGCTGTTCGATCCAATACATTATGTGCAGTTATCTTCTCCTTCACCTGCATTTTGCTCTTTGCTCGAGGTGCACTCGGCTTCTACCTTCCCGGCGTCGCCCCGCAGGACTTCCAAAAGGTTCAATATTTCTGTTCCTCAGTATTTCTCGGTTAATTTGTTTTTAATTTTGCTTCTATTAGAGATAGGATTTATAGGACGACGACTGGTGCAAGGAATTTTGGTGATGTTCGCAGATCTGATCTTGTGGGTTTATGTTTGGCACAGTTACTGCTTGTGAGCGTGGTTTTTAGGAAAATGGCATTTGTCTGATTTAGGTTTCGATTAATTGATTGGATTCAGATTTAGTTCAGCGATAGGTTTTTGGCAGCGTCGAATTGATAACGTGGAGCTGCTGTGGTCTGCTCTATTTTGCGTTTGTGCATTCGAATGGTTCCTTCGTAATGCTTTGTGTGGGTTGCGGATCTTGTTGATTGATTTCTTCTGCAATTTTGAATAGCTGATTTGCAGTAGACGCTAATGAATCTTTTCAATTAACATATAATCCGTACGTAATACAATGAATCCAGGGAGATGAACTGAACGTGAAGGTGAACAAATTGACTTCCATAAAAACTCAGCTTCCTTACTCGTACTATTCACTTCCATTCTGTCGCCCGAAGAAGATCGTCGACAGCAGAGAAAATCTTGGAGAAGTTCTGCGTGGGGATCGCATTGAGAACTCTCCATATGTGGTCTGTACAATATTTCAATTTCAAGGTTGCAATATGTTTTCATATAGTTCTGGCAAGTCTCTTGATCATTGACATGTTTCTTGCTTCAGTTCAAAATGAGGGAGCCACAGATGTGCAATGTTGTTTGTCACATGACCCTCGATGCCAAAACTGCAAAAGAATTCAAGAGCAAAATCGAGGACGATTATCGAGTTAATATGTAAGTTAGTCCTTTCAGAAAATGCATCCATTTCCATTTCATAAGCATCTCTTTCTTACCATCCCTCTCCTTGTTGTGTTTTGCAGGATTCTGGATAATCTCCCCTTGGTCGTTCCAATTCCGAGATCGGAGCCTGAAAGCCGCCCGATTTACCAACTCGGATATCACGTCGGGTTGAAAGGCCGATATGCAGGCGTAAGTTAACTGAATGACATGAAATTGTTCCATTAGTTCACTCTCCGAATCCTCTTTCACTGTAGACAAATTTGTATTGGTTGCAGAGCAAGGACGAAAAGTATTTTCTGCACAACCACTTGAGCTTCGTCGTCAAGTATCACCTGGATGACCTCACTGATTCTGCAAGGATCGTTGGTTTTGAAGTGACACCACATAGGTTGGTTGGTTGGTTCTTTCAAGATACAAATGATCATTCGAAAACCACGGTGTTATTTGCTTGCTTTACTGTTCTTCAATGTGTTGTGTTGCAGTGTCAAGCATGAATTCCAAGGAAAATGGACTGACAATACGCCGTTAACTACTTGCGATCCGAAGACGAAGCGCGTAGTCTCTTCTTCAACACCCCCTCAAGAGGTTGATGAGAAACAGGAAATAGTATTCACCTACGATGTCGAATTCCAGGTATTATTATTTGATCGCCGCCTGCTTATTCGTCTTGATGTCGTAAATTTGTGGCCATGGGATTGATCTAGACGACGTTTGGGTGTATTGCAGGAGAGTCAAGTGAAATGGGCTTCGAGATGGGACACTTATCTTCTCATGACCGACGATCAAATCCATTGGTTCTCCATAGTAAATTCTCTGATGATCGTCCTCTTCCTCTCCGGCATGGTCGCCATGATCATGCTACGAACCCTTTACCGCGACATCTCAAAGTACAATGAGCTCGAGACACAGGAAGAAGCCCAGGAGGAAACCGGCTGGAAATTGGTCCACGGAGACGTGTTCCGGCCCCCAATCCGAGCAGATCTCCTCTGCATCCATGTCGGCACCGGCGTGCAGTTCTTGGGCATGATCCTCGTCACAATGGCATTCGCCGTGCTCGGATTCCTCTCCCCTTCCAACCGCGGCGGCCTCATGACAGCAATGCTGTTCCTCTGGGTTTTCATGGGGATCTTCGCCGGCTACACTTCGTCGCGGCTCTATAAAATGTTCAAAGGATCTGAATGGAAGACGATCGCCCTCAGGACAGCCTTCCTTTTCCCATCCGTCGTCTTCGCCATCTTCTTCGTCCTCAATGCCCTCATTTGGCGCCAGAAATCCTCCGGCGCAGTTCCGTTTGGGACAATGTTCGCTCTGGTCTTCCTATGGTTTGGGATCTCAGTGCCGCTCGTCTTCCTCGGCAGCTACACCGGATTCCGAAAACCGGCGATCGAACATCCTGTGAAGACGAACAAAATCCCTCGGCAGATCCCGGAGCAGCCATGGTACATGAACCCTACCTTCTCCATCCTGATCGGAGGCATTCTCCCGTTCGGAGCAGTGTTCATCGAGCTCTTCTTCATCCTGACGTCAATCTGGCTGAACCAGTTCTACTACCTGTTCGGATTCCTGTTCATCGTCTTCGTCATCCTCCTCATCACCTGCGCGGAGATCTCCATTGTGCTATGCTACTTCCAGCTTTGCAGTGAAGACTATCTATGGTGGTGGAGATCGTTCCTGACGTCGGGATCGTCGGCGCTGTACCTGTTCCTCTACGCAGGGTTCTATTTCTTCACGAAGCTCGACATCACCAAGGTCGTATCCAGCGCGCTCTACTTCGGGTACATGTTCGTCGCCTCCTACGCCTTCTTCCTCATCACAGGTACCATCGGATTCTACGCCTGCTTCATCTTCACCAGGTTAATATACTCCTCTGTCAAAATCGATTGATTGTTTGATTGAATTGGATTTGTTGGGTTGTTTGGTTTTGAGTTTTCGCTCTTTCCATCCATTTGTTGTATGTTTTAATATACGGACAGACACAACTGTGTAGCTTTTGTTTTGCATTGTAATGCTAAGAGATGAAGTACTGCAATATATATATATAATGAAAATGGCAATTTTTTCTTTTCTATTTAATTAATTATTACAAGTGCAGGGGAAGCTGATCAGCTAACTATTTCATATATGTTGCTTCACTATTTTCTTGGCTTGGTGTCCTGAGGATCGGCTACGCCGGCGGAGACACGAGCCACGTCGCCGGCGGTGGCTTCGGGCTTTTTCTTGGTGTACAAAGTGAAGTACCACAGACCGCCGACAATGGCAACGCCAGCGAGGGTCATTGTGTAGAGATTGTAGGGTAGATTCCGGCGCTGGTGGAGGATTTCGCCCGGGTTGTGACCCGGCGGCCGCTTGGAAGCCTCCACGCCGGCTCGCCGCACCTCCTCGGAGCTCATTTTGTGCGTGTCTGCGTTCTTTCGCCAACCTTCTTCGCCGCTCGCCATTTTTCAGTGAGCCGAAAGCCGGCGGTGAGCAATTTAAACACTGCGGGGGTTTTCCACGTGTCGTGTTGGCCGGTGATGACGTGTCTTTGCTTTTGCAACGTGTCGATTCTACATGCCTTGCGCTGTGCTCTCCCTTCTTATTTTTGGATTATCTAAGAAAACGTTAAGCAAATCAAGAACCGGTGCGGCCCATTCTAATCCGGTAGTAAATGCTGGAAAGTTACCGTTGATAATCTCCCCCCCTGTAACGGCTAGTTACTTTCAACCTTCCTCCTTATAAATCCATATTCCCAAACTTCTCTCCCATCTCTCTCTCATTCATTTATCGGCAGTGGAGAAATGGCAGTAGTTTCTTCAACTCGTTCAGCTGTCCTGCTGCTACTCGTTCTAATTTTCTTAAGCTTAGCGGAAGGTAGAAACCACTTAATCGAGTGGAAGATTCCCTCCTCGGAATCCGAATCCCTGAATCAGTGGGCCTCCAGAACTCGCTTCCGCGTCGGAGATACCTTAGAGTGGAGATACGACGCCTCAAAAGATTCGGTGCTGCAAGTGTCGAAGAGAGACTACGTGACCTGCACCACGTCGAGCCCCCTCATAACCTACAACGACGGCAACAACACCACGGCGAGGCTGGAGCAATCGGGTCCGCACTATTACATCAGCGGCGCCGTGGGCCACTGCCAGATGGGCCAGAAACTGATCGTCGTCGTCATGTCGGAGCACCATCGCCGGACTGGCGGAGCTTCTCCCGCCCCCGCGCCTTCCCCGGCGGACCGGAGTGAAGCCGGGCCATCAATTGCAGAGGCGCCTGCCAGCGGAGCCTGGAGTTTCCCCGGCTGCCGGAAGTTCTTGACGCTAGAATCGGCGCTTGTTCTGTGTTTGCTGCAACTTGTAATGTGAAAAAAAAAAAAAACTGCCGATTGATTAATATTATTAATTCATTCTTTCATTTCATCTCTTGTTCGAAATTACTATTTTTGATGTCCTAATCACCAAAGTTCGAAACTGTAATTGAATCATATGACCTGTACAAACATTTATGGTACAAGAAACAGAATCCCAAAGTCTTTACATGAATGAAACATCCGAACAGTCATGCCGAGGACATGCCTGATTCTGAGAGCTTCTTAAGTTGCACCAGTATCATAGTCATGTTGTCGCAGCCCTCGCCTCCAGCTGTGGATGGTGCCAGGCATCTGTCAAACACTTTTTCACAGACTGCCGAAAGCTTGCTTTCCTGCAAGATCATGATTCATTCAAGTCCTCAGATTGCAAAAAATGAAGAGAAGAATGCCACAGGAACTTACAGATTTCAGCTGCTCGATTATAAAATCTACTAGTTGCTGGCTTGACATGCAATCCCTGGGAAGAGACAACAAAAGCTACTACTTGTTTAATTTATCGATGATTCAATATATTAGCAATTAAGAAGAGTTCATATAACTTGCCAAATGCCATCACAAGCAAGCACAATAAATTCGTCGTCGTCATGAAGTTCAACCTGGATCATGAATAAACTAGACAAATTAGCAATGCTACTACAAACAAATATGCACGGCGCTCGCGAGGAAAATGCATACAATATTAACATCTGGATTGGCTGTAATAATTTGTTTTTCGGCTGGTAAGAACTTGTTCTGCTTGAATTCCATATCACCTGCTTGAATTAAACCCTGCAGCTACTTAGCTTGCTGGATTTGTTTACAAAGTCAATCAACTTTTGAATTCTAAATTCGAGCAAAATGGAAGGTACGTACCTATGGCTCTTGAAAGATTTAGACTTCCGTTGACACGGCCGACATGGATAAAACCTCCAGCTTTCAAAATTCTCTCTCTCTCAACCTCAAGATCAGGCTTGTGGTCTCTTGAAAGGTTGTATGCCTAAAATTGAAGTTCACAAGCAGAAATCTAAATGATGAACAAACCAAACATGCGAAATAGGAGCAGGTGGTTGTATTGTTACTCGGCCATTTCTGGAAACTACACAGCGAGAATCGCCAGCATTTGCAACAACGAGCTGGTTGTCCCTAATGATGGCAACACAAGCAGTTGAACCAGAAGTCGGGCCAGAAAAATCAGAATGTGGACCCTGTAACAGATTTTTAACACAAGTACAATCGTTTTCTTGATTAGATTAGATTTACAATATGCCTGAAAATTGAGCAAAAAAGCGAAAAAGGTGTGCAATGAAAGAATCTAAGCATTGGTACCTCCTCAAATGGCCAATCATCGACTAGTTCATTTCTGTTTCCACCTCTTGGAGACCATATGAGACCCTCTATCATGCCCGAAAACTTATTTATTGCATCCCCTAGAACAGCCAATTCCCTCCACCCTTTCTGTCCTCTCATCATCTCATCCATCCTGCAAGTGATCAAAGTATTCAGCCGATATGCTTCCAGTTTAACTATTTCTTGGTATCTGAATTCAGTTTAATTGTAATCCTGCCATTGATCCAACTTCACTCCAATGTCGAAGAAAAAAAAAAAGTACTTTCATCTACACATCAATCTGCAGGTGACCTGAGAAACGCCTTGTGCACTGAAGTTCCAATATCGCCAGCCAAATACGCCTCATGCTTGCGGACTTGGTGATGAAGGTACTTGGCACAGAATTTCGAAACTGCCTTACCTGCAATGATATATATCAAAGCATTGGCAATACTCGAGAGGTACTTGTGATCATTATCTTCAGGTTACAACATCTAATGGAGTATATCCTTTGCTGGGAATAATAAATCAAATTGACAGCAATAGAAAGCTTTGTAGTACTTAACATTTAAGAGATCATACCTCCATGGCCATCATAAACTCCAAAGAATGATGTCGAAGAATCCAAAAAAGGAATTGCTGCATGCTGTAGAAAGAGAATTACATCAAATTAATGATGGAGCATTTTACCTCACAAACTAGTGATAAATTAAAACAAGAAATCAGTTTAAGTCTTCACTTATAATTCATTTTGCTGCAGAGATTACAAATTTGGCAGAATACTTACAGCATCTTCCATCGTAGCACGCCATCCTTGCATAGAAGACAGACCAAACCTAAGCCTATTGTTCTCACCATCATCGGAAAATTTCTCTGTTTTTGGTGAACTCAAATATATACCCATCACAGCTGACATCAAGATCAGATAGGTGTTATAAACATACGAACTTCTAAAGAAATTAATTCTAGAGATCTATTGGAATAAACGCAATAAGGCAACTTAATCGTCATGCTATAGTATTAGTATTGTCCTTCAACTTCTTTAAAATTCCAAAACCAAGTCAAAATACAATCAGACTTGCAAGTTCAATTGTGGTCATCAAACAAAACCCCAGAATGATATTGACACCGATCTTATTACTCAAGTACCCTTAAACAATATCGAAACTCAAAACAATTTAAAATTCCATGGATAAAAGGCAAAAAAGCTTTACCTAGAATTAGGAATTTACTGAATATACTAATGAACTTAGAACCTTAAAGTAACCTAACAAAAATAAGTCTAAAAAAACACAGAAATCCCAACAAACAAAGATGAGAGCGAGAACAGGATGTGGTGTTGGAGCTTGAAGATAATAACGAGATGTAATCAAGAAATACATAAAAAGATTATCTTGAAAGAAAAGAAGAACGACCTCTGTAAAGTATGAGTCTTCTTGATTACTTTCTGCAGTGAAAGCTCAGCGATGATGATCAGTACCACCAGGAAATTTTCCCGTGAGGATATGTATAAAATACAGCAGAACAATGACAGTGCCACCAAGAAAACAAGCGACAGCAGCAGCAGCATTCATGGCTGAGTGAGAATTTACTCACGCCAGGCCGGATCAATATTTTCTCACCGACAGACGTATTTGCCCTTCTGAACAAAGAATCCTTATGCTGCCTTTGAGGGTACATTTGTAATATCAATCACCGCTCCTCTGGCATCCCGAAAATTGCTCTGGCAATATTAGCCTAAATTTCCACTCAATAATAGTATACAAGTAAATTATAAATAATCATAATAATTTAGGGTCAAAGACACCCTTCTCAAGCTGAAATCATAGTTGCAATTAACATCAATTTCCCAATTACCACATTTCGGACCAGTTCAATATAATCCACGTGTCGAGTTGTACACAGACAAATGATAATAAGAAAAAGACTTTTTGCAAAGGAATGTTGCTGTAGTAATGCTAATCCTGTCCATGTCTTATAATTAGGCATAATACTAATAAACTTTCATACAACACACCGTACAATTAGGCATTTATTTTTTTTCAAAAAAAGGAAAATTCTTAAGTAGGCTTCTTCCTGGACATACATACTTCTTTTATGGGCTTCTTGAACCTTTTAACAAAAAATGGATAAGTTTTTTTTATATTTTTAGTCCAAACACCTCCACAAACTTAGAATTTTTGTAAATTTATACTTCCTCGGTCCCGATATTTTGTCCGATTTACTATAGACATTAGAATTTAGGAATGGTATAACTAGTAAATAATTATAAATTAAAATTAAGATAATTAATTAATATAATTAAAATTAAAAAATTTATAAATTAAATTTTTTAAAATAAAATTAAAGTGTATAATTATTATTTTTTTTTTAAAAAAACAAAATAAGTTATATGAACAAAAATAAAAGAAATAGACATCAGAAGTAAGAAGTGAGAGAGAGAGAGAGTATTTTTCACTTCAAAGTTGGACTTTTCAAATTTATAGGGCAATTTATATGATTTCTTGTGGAGTTGTGTTTCATCAAGTTGACTTTCTCCTTCAATTTTCTTTTGGATAATTTTCTATGAAGCTTGGAAAGTGATTTGTTGCCCTGACCGTTAAACCGACCAAAAAAGAAATATATATGCATGCACAATTTTCAATAAATTCTCCGTGCAAGCTCATTTTTGTCCCATGGATTAATATTATTTTTAGACTATCTCCAACCGAGCGCTACTAAAATTGGTGTCGGTTGAATCCTGCCTCATATTTTGGCGTTGGAATGTAGCAACTAATATGGGGTTGCCTTTTTTTTTTTGAATTGGAATTTTTTTTTTCTAATTTTTTAAAAAAATATTTTTAATTATAAATATAAAAAAATGTTTAAAATAATAAAAAATTTGAATATTTGAAAAATATTAATGAAAAATAAAGTTATGATTAAAGTAAAAATAGTTAGCAACTTTATATTTGAAGTTAAAACGGTATAAATGGAGTGTATGAGTTGGAGATACCTTCGTCTAATTTATCCAGCCCGTTTCAATTAGATTTATGATTGGGCTTATGTTAAAAAAAACTTTCTTCAATCCCACATAATTTGTCCTTATTTTTTATTTTCGTCCGTCCCAAATAACTTGTCATTTCTATTTTTGGATATATAATTATGCACTTTAATCACATTTTAAATTTTATAATTTCCTTAATTTTAATTAAACTTCTTACTTATCTTAATCTTAATCTATAATTATTTTTACTAAATAATAATTATTTTTATTAATACACTTCTTAATTACTTACTGATTATATTTTACCTAAATTGTCGTGTCTACCCTAATACGTCCATATTACATGAAAAAGAGGTAACAAATAACTAAATGAGTCTGGATTGATTTTATATATTTTTGGCCCAAACTCAAATCAAACAATCTCATGGGCTAAGTTAATATCTAGATATTTAATTTTAATTTTAATATTAAAAAAAAAAAACATTTCTTGAATAAAGTAATTAAGAAAAATAAATATAGGATATGAAATTTAATATTTTAGTTTGAATTTTTTTTTTTTGACGTATAATATGTTCGAAGTGTTATAAAAAAGACCCAAAACGGAAGGGCATATTGGTAATTTAACTATGCCTAACACCGTAAATGGAATAATAATTTGTTTTTCTTTTTAATACGTATAATATAATTTGCAGAGAAGCGTAAAGGAACCCGAATGGTATGAAACGGGTCGGGTCGGATTACAGTGGTTCTAGGGAAACAAGAAGAAAGTAGGCTCCTTCACTGCGACCATCGTTCTGATGTTTTTGGCTTCAGCCCTTCAGCAAACGCTCCTCATCAGAGTCCTGCTGTCACAGATCCATCGCCAACCGGTAACCTCCCTTTATCTATCCTACTGATTGCATTTATTTGCTAAATTTCTGCTTTGTTGGTATGGTAGCTACACGATTTGATTTCTGACTTACTTATTTTGCTATTTCACGGAATTGGATGAACCAAGAAACCCAAGTTCTGCCTCCTAAAAAGAAGCCCTTGCTTTGAGTTAGGTAATTTTTCTGCGGCTTCTGTGCTTAATTGGCTTTGGTTTGCTGTTCGTCAAGGCTCCTAGACCAAATTTGATATTGATATTGTGAACATTGAAATTTGCTTCAATTTTATTTTGCTGAAACTGTGTTGTAGTGAGTTCTAACTAATGCGTCTGTTTCTATACTGGCTGGGATCTGTTTTCCCTATTAAAATTTTGATGGGACTGTTATTCTTCTTGGCTTTTCTTTTGTATTTTGTACATGGGTTTTTCTTCAGCTATTTGCCTTTCTTTCGCTGGCTAGATTTCCCTGTAGCTAATGTGGTTAACTGACACTTTTTTGTGTGTGTTTGGGAATGCCATTGTCAGGAAAATGAGTTCTCGGAAGAAAACACCATTTCAGAAGCATAGAGAAGAGGAGGAGGCAAAGAAAAAGGTAACTCTACTACTTGGTCTTTTTAACCTCTTAAATGGCAATATAATTCAAACATTGATCCCCCGTTTACCCTTGTTTTCTATTTTTATAAATAAATTCCAATTTCCTTATATTTGCAGAGGGCGGAGGATGAAACTGCAAGATTATATCAAGAATTTGTAGAGTCATTTCAAGCAGATAACACTCCAGGGTCGAAGGCTTTTGTCCGAGGTGGAACCATCAATCCAAATGAGAAGCACAAGAATGTTTTGGAAGGTCAGTTTCTCTCAGTTTTCCATTATTATGTCTGCAATATTTTCACAAGAACATATAGTAATTTAGTTTAAATTTTTGTAATATGGATAAGTCAATGATATTTCCTTTTTTACATGGACACATTAATAAAAACATGGACCTTTCTATTCATTCACGGATGGCAGGTGGAAATTCCAAAGATGAGGGTTCTGGTTTAAAGAAAGGGAGTAGGTAAACAAATGCCTTTGATTAACTATGTGTTTGCGGTTAGGAATTTTTAGTATGAGAACTCTATGGTGGTAATATACTTCACGTGCAGATTTTGGTGCTCTGGCTATTCATTGAATTGAAGTTATTACAAATGGTTGATAGATTCTATATTTTCTGCCTTTCACTAAAACATCTATTTTGAGTATATTGTTGCATTTTTTTTAATCCAACTTAACAAGAGTTACAGACTTTATTATTTTTCTGGAGATTTGCTTGTTTTGTGTATAGTTTCAATTTCTGCTCTTGAGTGGAAGACTCTTTTTCTTTTAAAGTTTGGTGCAACTAGCCAGGAGTGCTTGGGCCATAGATGGTTCTTGTGCACTGGAAAGTCAGAACTACCAGGTTACATCGATAGAAATATAGTTCCAGCTTGAATGTGTGGCATCTGAGCCTGGTGTACACTCTCAAATTGATGGAAGTGCATGTGTTCTGTTTCTAGGCAATGCTAAAATGTTGTACTATTTCACTTGTTAATATGCAGTCAGTAGTAAATTTAGGACAATAATGTCTTGTCTCTGGATTTTATGGAGGAAAAAAAAAGTGCTTTTTGTCCATGCATTAATCATATGTAGGAGCAATTTTGTTGATCATTGGATCTCTCTGGGCTGCTGACCTCCTTCAGGCTTCCAACTTCTTCAAGCATGGGATGTGTCTTTTCTTTAAAAGGAGAACATGTGGCTTTTCTTTTTTTGTCCTAGCATATGACTCAAACCTGTACCTTGCCTTTGGGCCACCCCTTCGTGGAGAGAGCTGATCTAGTAAAAGTTGTGATTAATCTATTGAAGGAAAATCAATAGTTGGGGTGCTTACTGTGAGGTGCTTAGTTTTTGTGATGGAAAAAGTATTCTCTAGATTTTTTTATTCAGTTTTGGTATGTGTATGGAGCAGAACAGAGTTAATCATGTCAAAACAATTTATTTGTATAGTTTCTTAAGTACCATTTATGAATTATAGATCTTTTTTTTTGCTCTTCGGTATTTATTTTTCATCTTCCAAGTATAATCTTAATTTCCTATTGTTTGAGCACTTCTGGCAGAAATTTGGAAGTAATTACAGCAATATGATGTATTTGTATTCCATGTGAGAACCTTGAACTTGAAGAATACATCCAACACCAGTTACGGTTATGCAACAATGATTGTGATTCAAAATCTGACACAAAAATAAAAACTTAAATGGGGTGCTGAGTAAAGTTGCTATATGGAAGAAATTATGATAGCAGAAATTTTCTATTTTTAAATGGAAATTGATGTTTATTCTTGTTAAACTACAATAGTTTTTTTTTTAAAGAGTGCACTTTGTTTATCACTTCAAAACTCTTGGTTTGATATTTAATAGTTTGGATATGGTGTTGCAAATATTTGAAGTGAACCAGACGTTATATGTTTTGTAAGTACTTTAATCAAATTGTATTGGGGCATTTGGTTTCTTCAATCTTTCTATTCAATTTCGTGGGTATATGCACTGTTTTAGACTAAATTTCTTGGAGAGCACTTATTATATGGCATAGATAGTAGATCATAGTCTAACTTTATGCAGGTATGTACCATCCTTCATCCCACCTCCTATGGCCACAAAGGGTAAAGATCTTGAGAGGAAGGTTAGTATCGTGTTTCCCTTAAGCTCATGAAGGATGATTACTTTGTTAATCAATTTTAATTTCAATCAATGACCTCTAGAAAGATGAGAAACCAAAGGAAAAGGAAAAGGGGAAGGCTCGGAATATTGATCATTTTATGGAGGAGTTAAAGCATGAACAAGAGATGAGAGAGAGGCGGAATCAAGATCGTGAAAATTGGCGCGATTCACGTTATGGTGACAGTCATGTGGTTAGTGCTTTCTGAAAATTGGAGATGTGCTGATTCACATATGGAGTTTTGCTAATGTATATTATTCTATTGTGATGCCCAATATTTCATGCATTTTCATTCTCTGAGCAAATTATGCTTGTGCCCTAGCTTTTGAGTGGTCATATGTGTTATATAGCAAGTTTCCATGTCGAAAAAGTCTTGTTTATGGTGAAAGTGTTTTGCTCAACTCTTCAGTGCAAATTCTTTAGTGATTCATAATGTAAGAATAAATTCATTTTCGTACTTCACTTCTAGCAATCATTAAGCATTATTCTGTCATTTGTTTTCCTTCTTCAGCCATCTAGTCGTTTTGATGAGCTGCCAGATGAATTTGATCCAATGGGACGACATGGTTCATTTGATGATGGTGATCCACAAACGACAAATCTCTATGTGGGAAACTTATCACCTCAGGTTAGATGTTTGTCACTCTCCACCCTAATGAGATAATGGTTCATTCTGGTGCTTTCTTACCTGCCTATAGCCCCTTGCTTCCTCATTGTTTTTGGAGCTTCTAATAAATTTTTTTATTTACCGTGTATTTTTCTTCCCTTTAGGTTGATGAAAATTTTCTTTTACGCACTTTTGGAAGATTTGGACCTATTGCTAGTGTAAAAATTATGTGGCCAAGAACTGAAGAGGAACGAAGACGACAGAGGAATTGTGGCTTTGTGGCTTTCATGAATAGAGCTGACGCTCAGGCTGCAAAGGATGAAATGCAAGGTGAGGTTCCCCAAATGTATTTTTTTTTTGGGGTGTTGTTGTTATCCCCACTTTCCTTCCCTCCTTGGTGAGTGTACTTGTTACTGATCAATCTCATGTCTTCAATTATACCTACTTAGCTAGTAACCTAGTCCATGATTGAAAGTATTGTACGTTTGATTTTCTTTTTCTTTTGATATCTTAATGCCATTGTTAAGTTCTTCTGTAAGTATGAATCCACCGCCAATGTGGAAGTTAATATGGAACTGACAAACAATCCACCACTGTGAATTTAATCTAGCACCTGCTTTGTGTATATATATTTCTGACTCGAGGTATTCTAAATACACTAAAGGCATACTTTCTAAATCCAGGGGTTGTGGTCTATGAATATGAATTGAAGATTGGATGGGGAAAATCTGTTTCTCTTCCATCACAAGCACTTCCTGCTCCTCCACCTGGGCACATGGCCATCAGGAGCAAGGAGGTAATTATATCTTTGTTTCGCTATCATATATATACAATACATTGATGTGAAAATTGATGAGCTTTTTCCAGTAGGTCATGATTGTAAAGTTTTCATTGCAAGTATATTCTGTTCCCTAAAGTTTTGACAATGAAAGTTCTTTCTTGTGACAGGGTGCCACTGTCATTCTGTCTGGACCTTCAGGTCCCCCAGTGACCACTGTTCCAAGCCAGAACTCAGAGTTGGTAGGTGACAATGCAAGTCATTCTGTCTGCATGTTTTTTTTTTGGTTGAAATGATTTATTGTGACAAACAAATATTATGGGGCGGAAGTTCAAGACGCAGTGTTAAATATATGTATATTAAATTATCACACAATCACATTCTCTGTACTCAAGGCCCATGCTGCTGCATTGCCCCATACTTGTAATTCGTTGGGGTTTATATCTTGCTATTTCTTCTAAACTTCTTTACTGTTCATAATGAGGTTGTGTTAAACATCCATCTATTTGTTTTTAAAACATAACTGTTTTTAAGGGAAGAAGAATAGCTTATCTTTTTTTTTGTCTTGAGATTGTCTTTAAAGAAACCTTATGATTGGATTTTGATTTTTAAGTGTACAATAGTAGAGATAAAAATTTTTCTCAATTCAGGGACATGTTCATTTTTTTAACCACACTGCAATTGCTTTCCTGGGCATGCAGGTTCTCACTCCAAATGTACCAGATATTAATGTTGACCCTCCTGATGACAAACATCTTCAGCATGTGATTGATACAATGGCTCTGTATGTCCTTGATGGGGGTTGTGCTTTTGAACAAGCAATAATGGAGCGAGGACGTGGAAATCCTCTATTCAGTTTTTTGTTTGAGCTTGGGTCAAAGGAACATACTTATTATGTATGGAGGCTCTATTCATTTGCTCAGGTGAGCTTGACATTTGCAACCAATATGCTGTTTGCTGACATGATGATTTTCCATCCATTAGTGCATCTTACTACTCACGGATGATTTAATGGATTTATTTCCTAGAGCAATAATCTCTTTTAAGTGGTTAACCATTCAGGCATTCCCTTGTTGAGTTTGAGTTACATGAGTTTAGTAACATAGATACACCAGCATAAGCATAGAAAGTTACAAAATTGTTGCAAGGAGTATTTGGTGTAGTTACCTTCTTTTTTGCTTCAGTGGAATTTATGATCATATAGCACAAAATGATACCAAATTTTATCTGTGTGAGTGCAGGGTGATACACTTCAGCGATGGCGAACAGAACCTTTTATCATGATTACTGGTAGTGGAAGGTAAAAGAAGGTTTCTTTTTTTGATAAGCATACACAAACTCCAATTTTCATTTTAAACTTGATATTTCGGTTAAATGGTCAATGAATCAATTTTTGCATCTATTGATGAACATAAAATGTATGCTTGAAAGCTGCAATATTAGTCTTGCGTAGAAAGATGTGTTGATATGTGAAGCACATGTTTAGAAGATTTCTTTTTTAAGGACAGCTGCAAAAATTAATCTTAGAGTTAATTCTTCCTCTGTCTAGAGCTTTTACTACATATCATACTGACTTGCTGCTGTTTGTGTTTAAGATGGATACCACCTCCTCTACCAACATCAAGAGGCTTGGAGCATGAAAAAGAAGCTGGGAGCACTTACGCTGCTGGAAAAAGCAAAGTTTGTTCTAACCCAATCTTCTTAGTATTGTTTGCTGTTGTCTATGGTTGATTTCATTTTCAACAACATGGTTCAAATATTTTATGTTTACATTATTCCATCTAATGAAATTTGCAGCGTGTGGAGGTGGAAAGGACACTGACAGATTCTCAAAGAGATGAATTTGAGGACATGCTGCGTGCATTAACATTAGAAAGAAGCCAAATAAAAGAAGCCATGGGGTTTGCACTGGATAATGCTGATGCTGCAGGAGAGGTAATTGCATGAACTGATAATTGGTATGCTTAGTGTGCATGAATCATATGTTCAAGTACAATGTAAAGCTAGTAATTTTACGAAAAAGTACACTCACTGTTATTATGTCATTACATCCAAACATCAATTACATGCGACATCACTGCATTAAATTTCAGGTGGTTGAAGTTCTGACTGAGTCCTTGACACTCAAAGAAACTCCAATTCCCACAAAAGTTGCCAGGCTTATGCTTGTCTCTGACATTCTACATAACAGTAGTGCTCCTGTGAAGAATGCATCTGCTTACCGTACTAAATTTGAAGCAACCTTACCAGACATCATTGAAAGCTTTAATGACTTGTATCGTAGTGTAACTGGACGAATTACTGCTGAGGCCCTTAAGGTAACTTTTTTTTTTATCTTTTCACAACTTTGTAGATTCTTCATTCTGCTTCAGAAGCTCATCTCATCCCCTTTCAATTTTCAGGAACGAGTTTTAAAAGTTCTTCAAGTGTGGGCTGACTGGTTTCTGTTTTCGGACGCATATGTCAATGGGTTGCGAGCTACTTTTCTTCGATCTAGCACTTCTGGTGTAGTATCTTTCCATTCTATATGTGGTGATGCCCCTGAGCTAGAGAGGAAATCTGGTTCTGCTGACACCAGTGATGCCGAAAGGATTAACCAGGATGCTGCATTAGCAATTGGGAAAGGAGCTGCCATGAAGGAGCTCTCTAATCTGCCCCTTATGGAACTGGAAAGGCGGTGCAGACATAATGGGCTATCTCTGGTTGGTGGAAGAGAAATGATGGTAGCACGGCTACTTTATCTGGAAGAGGCAGAAAAACAAAGGGGTTTTGACCTAGATGATGAATTGAAATCTGCACACATCCAATCTAGCGCAGGAAGATACACAAGTGGACAGAAGGAACCAAGTTTTGAAACAGATTCAGGAAGAATATCAGGAAGTGGTAGTTACATGGAGGAGGATGTACAGACAAAGGGGAGAGGATCAATGTTGTCAACCTCAGCAGGTCCTACCTGGCAGCCTGGGCTTGAAAATAATGAAGATCAAAATGAATCAATTCTCCCATCTTCAAAGTGGGCTAGAGAGGACAATGAAAGTGATGATGAACCTGACAGAAGTGCTAGGGACTTGGGTTTAACTTATTCTTCAGGTAGTGAGAATGCAGGCGACAATCTCCACAGATCTGAGGAAGTGAAGTTTACTACTGATGCCAGTAATTCAACACATCTTGATGTCGGAATGAATGAAGAACAGAGGTACATGATCATTCAACTTAATTCTTCTTGCATCTTGTGTTGCGACTTTAGATATCAGTGTAAATATTATTGGTTTGATCATGCTTTTGACAAATTAGAATATGCAATGAGGAATTTATCAGATTGTGAATTGTGTTACTTCTGTTGGATTACAACCACTGAGAAAAGATTCTAAAGAATCTCTTATTAGTTGCACTGTATGCCACTCATGTTTTCCAATGATCCTTATGCTGTTGCATGCCAATAATGTTTTGAGTCCTGGGATTGGGCATGAGAAGGATTGTTGCTGACTATGTTAGCTCAGCTAGTTTTTCCTTTCACATTGAATCGTCCCACTTTTCCAACTGATATTTTTACAATTTTTACTAAACCTTTCTTTTGACATTATGATATTTCACTTGGCTACATCCTCCAGACAGAAATTAAGGCGCCTTGAGGTTGCTTTGATGGAATACCGTGAGTCCCTTGAAGAGCGAGGAATTAAAAACTCAGAAGAAATTGAGAGAAAGGTGGCCATTCATAGATCTCGGCTGCAAACTGAGTATGGTTTATTGAATACAAATGCAGATTCTTCTGGCCGAAGTAAGTGTCTAGCTTTTACCTCTAGTATATAGCCATGAATATTGTTTCACTGCCACTTTTCTTTTTAAAATTGGTATCTAGGTAAGGTTTGTTCTATAATAGATTAAAAGTTCCCAGTAATTTTCTAGACTGTAATATATTAAGACTTTCAATTCACTTTCTGTTGAGCCTGCAGAGATGTCATCTCTAGAGAGGGACAGACGCGATGAATTAGTTGAGTCTTTAAAGAAGCGCCGTCGTAGTCGGAGCAGAAGTGAAAGCCCTCAACGAAAATTACCAGCCCGAGACAGAGACAAGGAAAGTGATGGAAACAGGGACAGAGAAAGACGCCGTGAAAGAGAAAGAGGTCACTATTTGGAAAGTGACAGAGGAAGGGAGCGAGACCGAGAGAAGAGTGGTAGCAAGGAGAGGGGTGATCATGAAAGAGAAAAGGCACGGGAACGAGACAGAGATAGAAGGAGGGTCAAATGAGCTTCACAAGAGGGTCGAATGAGTTTGTGATGCGCCTACACATCCACAACACAGTGTCGTTCTCCGGTGGGATATTTTGATTCATCCGATTTTCAGCTTTTGCCATGGAAAGAGATGCTATCCCTGAGTGCCCCTGATGGAACTACATCTTTTAGAATAGGGAACTACCAGTTTTTGCAGTGCACAGTAAAATGGAAGTTTCAGTTCAGTGTTTACTTAAATATCTGTTCATGTGAGCTTAGGCTTGAATACTTTCAGCAAATATGGTGTTCCTTTAAAATACAAATTTCTTGCCCTTCTGACCATCTAGCTTAAATTTCCTATTATGGTTGCTACATCAAGTTTGCCTGTCTTGGAATTTGGAATTAGTTTAAGCTAGTTTATATCTTAGCAGGTATAATTTTACAGTGTCAAAATTCTCTGGTCATTTTTAGGAGCTCAGAGTAATGTTTTTGTTATCTTTTTCCTATGATTCAAAAACTTTTTTTTTTTTTTTTTCATTTATTTTTGACCTTTTTGGAAGCTGCTATTGAGTATTTTTACCATGGATCACACTTTACAGTGAGTCAAAAGAGTGGGAATTGAACAAATCTGAGTATGTGTTAGTTAATAATACTAGTCTTAATTTGACTATTAAATAAATAGGGAAGTTGTCATTAAGAATTACTAAAGTGGTTCTTTCTTGCTTTCTTACATGACATGTTTAGTTTTCTATATTATAATTAGTAAATTAATTGCCACATGATCTGCTTTAATGAGATTCACTACTTGACATTTGGTTATCTTGTCACTATGAAAAAATTTTGATATGTATCCACTAAAATGCCAACTTCTAAGTCACTGGTAAATAATGTCAATATTCTTTCCACACAACACCATTAATACATAACACACTCTTTAGTTACAGTAAAGATCTCTTATTTATATAAAGAGGCAGAGGAAGTAATTCACTTACACTTAATAATAATCCACAAGAACTTTACACATACATACATTTAATGGATCAGTACCTATGGGCAATGCTTTGTTCCATGTTTCTTGTCCTGCTCGGATTCTTCTCTCTTCGACTCTACGATGATTTTGTCGCTATGCCACAAAAACTACGTAGAATCTTGCTTCGACAAGGGATCAATGGCCCTCCTCCAAAACTCATACTTGGGAACATTCTGGAAATCAAGAAATCCCGGGATGCCATGGACAAGGCTGCGATTAAACAGCCACATCCTCCGGTCATACACAATGCGGCGTCTGTATTTTCCTTTCTTGAGCAATGGAGAAAGCAATATGGTAACAGGAGATTATAGAGTAAATATAAATGGAGCTTCTTTCAACCATTTGATTCTTTATTTGAGAATTGAGTTGAATTGAATTGAATTGCAGGTCCATTGTACCTGTTTTCTCTTGGAAAGATGCAGATACTGTATGTGTCGAAACCTGATTTAGTGAAGGCTATAACAACATGCACGTCGCCTGACTTGGGGAGGCCGTATCATCAGCAGGAGGAGTTTGGCCCGTTGCTTGGGCAGGGGATCTTGACATCGAATGGCTCGATTTGGGCGCGCCAGAGGAAGATCATAGCTCCTGAATTATTCATGGACAAAGTCAAGGTATGAAGATGTACACTTAGTTTCAACACATTCACCTTTGGAACACCATCTTCTTCTCTCAGGCATTTCATCGAACACCTTGAATGCATTGGCATCATGATCATTAAACAGGGAATGATGGATATAATCACTGAGTCAGCTCTAACTCTGGTGAATTCATGGAAACATGAAATCGACAACGGAGCCCTGGAAATCACTGTCGATGATTACATGAAGAGATTCTCCGGGGACACGATTTCCAGGGCCTGTTTTGGCAGCAGCCATTCCAAAGGGCAAGAGATTTTCGCGAAATTTGGGCATCTCCAGGAGCTCATATCCAGCAGGATTGCATCACTCGGCGTTCCTGGATTAAGGTAACAGTTATTGCGCAGAATTTAAACGTCAGAAATATAGATCGATTGCTTTGATCTGCATGATTACTGTAGATATCTCCCGACGAGGAACAACCTGAGGATTAGGGCATTGGAGAAGGAAATCCAGGGACTGATCCTGAAAGTGGTGAAGGAAAGGCAACTAGCTGGATCCGAGAAGGACTTGCTCCAGATTCTTCTAGAAAGTGCAGAGAGCAGCCATTGCCATTCTCCATCGGATTCAGATTCAATCCACCAGTTCATCGTCGACAACTGCCGAAACATCTATCTAGCTGGATTCGAGACGTCCGCTGTTGCAGCCTCCTGGTGTGTAATGCTGCTGGCTTCCAATCCTGATTGGCAGACCCAAATCAGAGACGAGATTAATGAAGTCTGCCATGGCCGCCCCATCCCCGACATGAACATGCTTCGCAAGATGAAACAGGTTCAACATCAATCATAAATTTGAACACAACATAACTGAATCATATATATATATATATATATATATTAACGAGCAAAGTAACGTTTGCATCAGCTGAATATGGTGATTCAAGAGACCATGCGTCTGTACCCGTCGACGCCGACGCTATCGAGGGAGGCGCTGGAAGACATTACTATCGGCGATGTGGAGGTGCCGAAAGGCGTCCATGTCTGGACCATGGTGGCGGCGCTGCATACAGACACATCGATTTGGGGCGCCGACGCGCTCGAATTCAAGCCGGAGAGGTTCCAAAATGGGATTGCCGGAGCCTGCAACAACCCGAATGCGTACATGCCGTTCGGATTTGGGCGGCGCGTGTGCGTCGGGCAGCACTTGGCCATGGTTGAGCTGAAGCTGCTCATGGCATCCATTGTAGGCAGCTTCTCCTTTACACTGTCTCCCAATTATGTTCATTCGCCTGCCATGAGAATGATCGTTGAGCCTAAGTATGGAGTCAAGATTATGGTGCAGAAGCTGCAGTGAGAAATGAGTATAAATACAATATATAAACAAAACAATAATCGAAGATATTTTAAAGTTAGTTTATCCTCGTAATTTTAGCAAAAATGGATAAATTCCAACAAATCAAACACTTGAATAACAATGTTTTTCCAAATGTAATTTGTTTTGTACAACATAATTTTCAGACTATTAGATTTGATCGGAGTTACTCGAAGCACTCATACTCATGACTCCCGATTTTCATATTATAAAAAAATAAATAAATAAAGGAATAAGAGAATTTTTTTTTGTAGAAAAGCTACATATTCTAACAAAGATGCATGTGTCTTTTATCTAATCACTCTGTATTATTTTTTGAGCCTTATATGCTTCAATACGAATTCAATATCAACAAAATAACTAACAATGACAATAACTAAACTAACGTATATACATACAACATAACTAATTAAATGAAATGATATTGGAATATATTAACACCATCTGACTTTATATATATGTCACCTCAGCATGTTATATAAAAATATTTATCAAATATATAAACATAAATGTAATAATTTTATTTTTTTTGGAATTTCAAGGCAACAACATATCATATTTAAGAAAAATACATTGAATTAAAGAATATATAAAAACCAGCATAATGTTGATAAAACTGTTATATTATACGGGCCTCCATATAATTGGTCACCAACATCTAGAAAGCATTTTTCCTATAAAATAAAAAATAAAAATAAAAATAAGAATATATTTTCCTATAAAATAAAAATAAAAAACTTTTTTTTTTTTTTTTTTTTTTGCAAAATATTAGGTTGGATGGAAGGTTTACTCAGTGAGCATTTTTGGACCGCTATTAGATTTAGTAAAAAATTTATTTAAAAAGTATCCGAAATAACGCCTGCGGATTCCACATTATCACAAATAAATAAATTAATAAATAAATAAAAATACAAATGAATGTAATGTGGTGTAGCGTGCGAAATCGTGATTGCGTACTTTTACTGCTCATCACGACATTAAATAATAATAATAATAATAATAATAATATAGTATTAGAGAATATACTGCCGTATTTGCCATCACAGACATAATACTTATATTAATAAGCATTAATTTGATACCAGCAAAATCTCATATGTATCTCATTTCATATTATTGGTTCCACGTTCTGAGCAGTATATCTTTTATCTATTTATTTTTATTAGTGACTTGGAAACCTAAATCCTATATAAAGAGAGAAAGGAATTCACTCTTCCACACTAAATTGTCAATAATAAGCTACAAACACAGTTTATATTTACACACTGAGATATAAATGGTTCAAGAAATGTTTGTTTCCTTGTTTCTAATCCTGTTCGGATTCTTGTTTCTTCGTCTCTACGATGCTCTTGTCGCTAAGCCACAAAAGCTACGTAGAATCTTGCTTGAACAGGGGATTAATGGCCCTCCTCCCAAGCTCATACTAGGGAACATTCTCGAAATCAAGAAATCCCGGGATGCCATGGACAAGGCTGCAGCGGCGGCTATCAGAATTAGCCAGCCGCAGCCTCCGGTCATCCACGACACCGCCTCTATTTTATCCTTTCTCGAGCAATGGAGAAAGCAATATGGTATGCATGCATTCAAAGTACAAATTAAATGGAGCTTCTTTCAACTCATTTGTTGAATTGAATTGAATTGCAGGTTCATTGTACCTGTTTTCTCTGGGCACGATGCAGATACTGTATGTGTCGAAGCCTGATTTAGTGAAGGCAATATCGACGTGCACGTCGCCCAACTTGGGGAAGCCGGCTCATCAGCGGGAGGAATTCGGCCCGTTGCTTGGGGACGGGATCTTGACGTCGAATGGCTCGATTTGGGCGTACCAGAGGAAGATCATAGCTCCTGAATTATTCATGGACAAAATCAAGGTATGATTATGAATGAATGAATGAAGGAATGTGTACTGTATCTGTATACATTCTTTACCTTGGGATCTAATCTTCTCTCAGGCATTTCATCGAACACCTAATGGCACAGGGAATGATGGACATAATCGCCGACTCAGCTCTAAATCTGGTGAACTCCTGGAACCATGAAATCGACAATGGAGCCATGGAAATCACTGTGGATGAGTACATGAAGATATTCTCCGGGGACATAATTTCCAGGGCCTGTTTTGGCAGCAGCCATTCCAAAGCGCGACATATTTTCTCAAAATTTGGGCATCTCCAGGAGCTGATATCCAGCAGGATGAAATCACTCGGCGTTCCAGGACTAAGGTAATTAACAATTCAATTATCGCACAGAATTAATACATCAGAGATACATATATATTTCGATTGCTTTGATCGGCAGATATCTCCCGACAAGGAACAACCTGAGGATTAGGGCATTGGAGAAGGAAATCGAGGGACTCATCCTGAAAGTGGTGAAGGAGAGGCAACTGGCTGGATCTGAGAAGGACTTGCTCCAGATTCTTCTAGAAAGCGCACAGAGCAGCAGCAGCAGCCATTCTTCATCGGATTCAGATTCCAATTCCGATTCAATCCACCAGTTCATCGTTGACAACTGCCGAAACATCTATTTAGCCGGATTCGAGACGTCCGCTGCCGCCGCCTCCTGGTGTGTAATGCTTCTGGCTTCCAATCCGGATTGGCAGACCCGAATCAGAGACGAGGTTAACGACGTCTGCCATGGCCGCCGGATCCCTGACATGGAGATGCTTCGCAAAATGAAACAGGTTCAACATCAAACATATATAAATGAATTTGAATACATACATACATATCTACATACACATATTAACGAGCAAATTAAAGTAACATTAATTTGCGTCATCAGCTGAATATGGTGATTCAAGAGACCATGCGACTCTACCGCCAACGCCGATGTTAGCGAGGGAGGCGCTGGAAGACATGACGATAGGCGATGTGGAGGTGCCGAAAGGCGTCCATGTCTGGACTATGGTGTCGGCGCTGCATACAGACACATCGATTTGGGGCGCCGATGCGCTCCAGTTCAAGCCGGAGAGGTTCCAGAATGGGATTGCGGGAGCCTGCAATAACCCGAGTGCCTACATGCCGTTTAGTTTCGGACCACGTGTGTGTGTCGGGCAGCACTTGGCCATGGTTGAGCTCAAGCTGCTTATGGCATCCATTGTCGCCAATTTCTCCTTTACGCTGTCTCCTAATTATGTTCATTCCCCCGCCATGAGAATGATCGTTAAGCCCAAGTATGGAGTCAAAATTTTGGTGCAGAAGCTGCACTGACGAATGAATATAAATAAGCTCGTTCATTTGATTTGGTCACCACTATGGTTGACAGGTTCCGAAATCAGTGTGTCAAAGTGTGCATAAAAAGCATTGGTGTAAGTCTTCCAATTGTCCTCTATGGGAGACAAGTACCCATCGAAGAAACCATAGCCCACGCGCATATTGGGATCTTTGAATTAGTAGCAACAAATATAGTCCTCTATGGCGATTTGTATTGTGTTACTTGTTGCCAAGTGCAACTAACTGCTCTGCTGCACTCATCTTTCATTACCCACCACAAACAACAATAATGATAACGAGAATGAATCAATGTTTGGCTATAAAACAACGCCGAAAGCAAATTAACTGATGATCACCCCAGACAAATATAACAGATAGATACAAACAACATGTGTACCAACAAGTTTGCACCAAAGCATTAGCACTGGTAATGGCCCCCAGGGGTCGTCGATTTAGGACAAATGGTTGAGAAACTACGAGGATGAGTGTAGGGACCTTCGAGAATGCCTTGGGCTATCACTCTGTTTCCGGCCTCCTTAAAGTGGACGCATCGTTTCTACGCCGCATCCTGCCGTTACATTGTAATTATATGCCGAATCCTGCACCATAACAAACAACATACATGAATTGTCACCCGACAAGTTGGAGTTAAGGAATCGGTATGTATGTAAAATATTTATGTATACCGCATTGGTTTGGGGAGAGATACATTTTCATTGCGGCATTGTAGTAGTCGGTGTAGATTATGTTAAGCTGAGGATGAAGCTTCCTGATCCTCTCCAGTTCCCTGACGAGAAGCTTGTTGTGGTACCTGGAGAAGGCATTTAGCCAATTGAGACACCCGGTCCTCGGATCATACTTGCCGGGGCTCGACTCGTACCTTGTAAAGTATATAAGCAAACAACCCAGTGGAAGATTCCCGGGGACAAGCAGAGTTACAGCTCCAAGCTTGATCAGCTCCTGCAGAAGTAGTATTATATTTGTGGGAAAGTTGGTCTGTCCACCCTATTAATCATATTCAGTTATAACCGACTCTTGTTATAAAAAACATTGATTTTCACTCCCTCCTTTATTTATTTAGTTTAATATTAGTCCTTATTTCATATTTTTCCTTTTATCTATATAGTATAAATTTGATGTACTCCTAGAGTATATCTAGATACTCTTAAGATCTTGGATTTTTTTGGTGGGATTGGGATTTCACAGCAGGATTTATATACGATGGAATTTATTATATTTAGGATTTGGAATCCTATATTTGGTTGGTAAAATTACGTGGAATTTATATTTTTCAGGTCTTGTTTGTTTTTTATATGAGGAGAAAGATTTGAATTTTTTATATTCTGAATGACATAATTGTCCCCCCTATGAATTTTATTTATTTTGATAAATTAAACATCTAATTTATAATAACTATAAATTGAAGATGTATTAATAATTTTAAAGGGATTACAATAGGTTATCGTAAACTCGAAACCCGACTCAAACCGGACCTATTTATTTGAAGTTGAATCCAATTATTTGAGTATTATGGGTATTCTAATCGGGTCATATTATGGGTATTCTAATCGGGTCCGAATTGGGTCTAGGGTCTAAGCCGGACCATACCCGCACCCAGACTTGATTTATAATATTAATAATATATCGACTATACATATGAAAAAATAATTTCTAACAATATAATTGTATTAAAAATATTTTTTTTAAGTTTAATTTATTTATTATTTTATTATAATATTTTTTCATAAAATACATAAATAATATATATTGGGTCATGTGTAATTTTAAATTAAAATTTAAAAATCGTAAAAAGAATTAGATTTGTTAGATCCATCGGATTTTACCGGGTATAGTTTCGGCCAGATCTGGTATAATCAGATCCAAAGTCTAACAATATATATTCGGGACGAATCTCAGTTCCGGTTGAATTTGACTTATTGTCATTCTGATAATTTTATAATTTAAATAAAATTTATAATAAATAATAATATAAAAAAATGAATTCATTAATTTATTTAAAAAATATTGTACCATAAAAAATAATAGTATTAATTTAATTTAATATATAATTTAAATAAAAATTAAATTTAAAATTATTTAATTTAATTTTATATAAATATATTTATAATACTCCCTCCGTCCAGCTAGAAAGTACACATGTTTCTATTTTGGGACGTCCAATTACAAAGTAATCATTTAATTAAATACTCCATTTTCTTCACAAATACCCATACTTTACATCGCATCATTACTTTTATAACAAAAAAGTAAGGGCAAAAATGTCATTTCACTACTTTTACCTACCCACTATAATTAAAATACTATTATTTCTTAATCTCCACGCCAAAAGTAAATGTATACTTATTTTGTGGAGAGAGGGAGTATATAATATATATTTTTTTTATATAAGGATATAAAAGTAAATTTAAAATCCCATAGAATGGGATTTAAAAGTCATAGGGGTACCCATTCCTAATAAATCACTCATTTGTAGGATTTTGGACTATGTTTTTAAATTTCATTATTTTAAATTCCATTATCTTTTTTTGAACCAAACATGAATTTCACGGGATTTTAAAATCCAGACCTCATGAAATCCTATTAAATCCTTGAAACAAGCAGCCCCTTAATGTTATTTTATATACTTAAAATTGTCTCGCTCTACTTATATTATTTTTCACTTTACTAAGTATCCCACTTATATACCTCTATTTACATTATGCGTACATTTATTTATGTATCTTTAAAAAATAAATAAATAAAAATAATAATTAGAATCATATTTTATTGTGGAGTGAGGTAGAAAATTAAGAAAAATTGTAAAATATATTCTTTATATATTCAATTATCAAATTTGTCTATTATTTACTTAACTGACAAAATATATCACGTATATTCTAAAATATTCTATTTTTTATATTCTAGGTGCAGACAATTGTTCTATATTAAACACTCTATATGCAATTTATATTTTATATTTATTTTTTCTTCCATTTTTGTATTCTTTATATTATTTTTTTACTCTTTTTTATTTTTTCTATCAAAATTAATTATCTGATTCAAATTTTTTTTAGTAATTTAAAATTTATATTTTCTTTATTATATTTTTATATGAGTATATATTATTTCTTATTGGTATTTATAAATGTGATTATTTATATTTTAATTTTTTTTTATATTAATAGTTAAGAAATTATCTTATTATCGATTAAAATCAAATTGTATAATTTTTTAGAATTATTACTCCTTTCAGCCGTTTTTTTTTACTAAGTAATTAAATTAAAATAAAAAAAATAAAATTTTAAGAAATTAATGTATATTAGATAATAAGATAATTTAAATTAAATATAATTGTATGATAAGAAATACAAAATCTAAAATATAAATATAAAAAATAATGTATATTATTATTATATAATTAATAATTATTTATTTTTATTAATATTAATATTTCTTTATTTTTATAACAATTTAATTATATATAGTAATTTTAATTACAAGTATATTGTAATATACAATTTTAGTTCTAAACATCCACTATCCACATTCTACAAAAACTATGCAGGCTGCAGTTGCAAAGGCTCATTTTTTGTTTTTTTTTTTTTCCATTTCTTTTTCTTTTTCAATTTATTTTTTCTTCTTTCTTCCTGCTTCTTTTTCACTGTCGTCACCTAGGGGTGAGCATTCGGATTTTCGGTTTGAATTTTGCCAAATTCGAACCGATCCGAAAATCCAAAATTTTTGAAAAAATAATCCGAACCGAACCGAAATAACCGAAATTCGAAAATCTAAAATTCGAACTAAAAAATCCAAACCAAACCGAAAAATCCGAAATTTTAAATATTTTTAATTTGTAAATTTCTTTTATATTTTATTAATATTTTATAATATTAAATATATATATAATATGTAAAAGTAAATATATTAAAATATAATTAATAATTTTGAGTTTTTTTATATTAAAATATAATATTTTCTAATAAAATATTAAATATATATAATTAAAAAATATATTAAAATGTTATATTTCGGATTTCGGATTGGTTCGGATTTTAAGTATATCAATCCAATCCGATCCGAAAATTCGAAATTTGTCAAAAATTCAATCCGAATAAATCCGAAAATTGGAACGAAATTTTAAATTTCGGTTTGATTTGGATCGAATGTTTGGATTCCGGATATTTTGCTCACCCGTATCGTCGCCCGCCCATAACATTCCATAATCTACCGTCGTCAATCAATCATCGCAGCCGGCGTACAAGTTCAAAATTAAAAATAAAAAAATAATAATAAAAAAAAAACAATGGCCAAACCGCAGGTTGAAATCGTAAACCGACGGTCTAAACCAACCGTTCGCATTTTGACAAATATATAAATAGTAACAAACGGTTTGAAAACGGGTAAATCGGAGATTCAGAACTACATGGACAAATTTAAGCCGAATGTGTTATAAGTATATAAAATGAATTTGGAAGCATTTAAAGATATTTTAGAGGCACATTCAATTTTTACGAAAGAAAATATAAAAGAGGGACTAATCATATATATATATATAACTATAGTAAAAGGTGTGGACCTCACCCTCTCTTAATTCTTGGCATTTTAGAATTTTGAATTTTTTTACCCTCTTCCTCTCATAATCACATGTGTTTTTTCTAAAAGAGTTTCATATTACGTTTTCAACCATTTATTTTCTCAGAGAATTTTCATATTTTGCTTTGGGTTAAAGAATCTGGTTCTTTAAGAGGGTTTCAGATTAGGCTCTCAACCATTTGTTGCCTTAGAGAATTTTCTTTGATACGAATTTGTTCTTCAGAGAATTTTCATATTTTGCTTTGGGTTGAAGAATCTAGTTCTTTGAAGAGGGTTTCATTCTTTGAAGAGGGTTTCAGATTACGCTTACAAACATTTGTCGTCTCAAAAGAATTTTCATTAATACGCATTTGTCTCCTTAGAAAATTTTTATATTTTGCTCTGGGTCAAAGAATCTGGTTCTTTTAAGAGAGTTTCTTTCAACCATTTGTCTCCTCAGACAATTTTCATATTTTGCCTTGGGTTGAAGAATCTGGTTGAATATTACAGAATAATTTGTATTAAGGTAATTCTGTTTTTATTTATACATCTCAGAAATTCAGAACAATTTTAATATTTTTCTACATATTGTTAATTGTCCAGAGATTCGGAACAATTTTTATATTTTTCTACATTTAATTGTTAATTATTTTATTCAATTTGTTAATTGTTACTTTGTTTCCA